TCAAGCGCAAGCTGTAAATTTAGGTTTGTGCCGTTACAAGTGGATTAAAGCTCTGTTGCAACAAATCCACCTTTTAAAAAGCAACAACAGGCTTTTTGTTGTTAGGGGAATGATGGGGAAATGCACTGAGGATTAACGGGAAGGTGTAAGAAAATTAGAAAAGCCCTGATGGATGAGAAGAAAGGCAGATCTTGTTCAGCATTCTGTTTTCACATTGGCAAACCAGATGCCTGGGGGAAGCTTGAAAGCAGGACTTGAGTGCAATAATAACTCTTCCCTCCTGTGGTTTCCAGTACTGTGGTACCTCGGAAGTCGAACGGAATCCATTCTGGAAGTCTGTTCGACTTCCAAAACATTCAGAAATGAAGGTGTGGCTTCCGCTTGGCTGCAGGAAGGTCCTGCAGCCAATTGGAAGCCACGTCGGACGTTTGGGTTCCAAAGAACATTTGCAAACCAGAACACTCACTTCCGGGTTTGCGGCATTTGAGAGCCAAAATGTTCAACTCGCAAGGCGTTCAGGATCCAAGGTACGACTGTAACTGGCATTCAGATGCCTACAGTATCTCTTTCAAGACTGGAGACGTATAAAAACCCCCACAAAGGATGAATGCTCAATAATCAGGTCATCTGGATGAATCCTATGACTGAGATCAAGAAGGAAACAGATCCGTTCTTATAGTCCTCCTATCTCTTGAAAAACCAACAAGTTTGGGCCAGTTTTGCAGATGAGTTTGCTTAGCTGATCCTGTTGAGCTGTCTTGAGTACACAACTCATTTGAGTCATTCTGTTTGTTATTGCCTGTGGACCTTGGATAGTTTCTTTTCTTCTTCTTTTTAAAGCCAGATGGTTGCTCTTCCCTGCCACTCCCCCGCATCCCTGTTGCTAATTAATAGAGTTGGAGCATTAAGCACTTTAGCAGATTTGTCCCCTTTGCACTAACATCCACCGCAGGCCTCAAGGATCACTTGGAAAGGATTATCCAGGCTGGGTGTGTTTCCATGCATCGGTGACGTTGCTGTGCAAATATGGAATCTGGAAGGGAGTTTGGGAAACTGTGCCAGATTCTCCTATAGATATTTCTGCACTCACATTCCAGATGTCTCTGAAGATGCACATCTGTCTCGTTCCTCTCCACTTTCTGAAGTTTCCTTTCCTGACAGTGCAAGGAGAATTACGGTCAGAGTGGCTGCAGGGAGGGAAAGGTAATAGATTGTGTTTGGGAGCCACAAAGTCTTTTGCCTGAGAAATAAATGCCCCGTCCCAAACACATCGTACCATTAACTTAGGAACAGTAATGGTCACTTTATGGTCATGGCAGCAAAACTAAGTAGACCAGCCCCCTCCCTCTGTTCTCCTCACTTGCCTAAAACATCTGAGTATTAAAAAAGGACATTTCCCACCAGAAGCTACCAAACACTGGCTGCCCACAGCAGCATTCTTGCCTGGACAGACAGCTCTCTGACTGTGATGGCCTAGGACTTGGACTCGGAACCAGAGGAGACTCAGTCTGCACTGGATTCTTTGCCTCAGGCATCATCTGAACCAAGCCTGGGGCCTGATCCTGAAGAGTCCCAGTCTGCACAGCTTCCCCTGCAACAAACACCAGCTGGGCCGAGTCAGGGGCTCCAGATGTGGTGATGACCTCGTTGCCTTCAGCTGCGCCATCACTTACAGATGCTCCACTACCAGTTGGGTCAGGGGAGGCTGAGGCGGCCCCTGGGTCTAGTAACCCGCCGATGTCTCACGAGCTGCGGAGACTGAGGTCTGAGAGAAGGAGAGATCTGAGTACTCAAAGGAGGAGTGCTCGCCTTTGGGCGAGACAGGGAGGTGAGTTGCTGGGGGATCAGGACCGGCCGTTACCCCAACAGAGATAAAGGGCTGTCGGACCCCGCCCCAGGTTGCAGGAGCAACATTGCTGTATGCTAGATCCTGCCTGAGATCCTGTACCTGTCCTTGCCTGGGTTCCTGCCTTGGCCCTGTTGGACTGACTCCTAGTGGAACCTTTGGATTCTGGACCAGTCCTGGACCGCGTTTCATGGGTTACCCCCGGGCCCAGCACAGTGACAGAGTAGAGTTAATCTCTCCCTCCCCAAGGCAGGTTAAGTCTTTCTTCCCCAGCTATGACACCCCCTCTCTGAAGACACCCTTCCTCTTCTGGTGATGCATTTAGACTGGGTTGGGGGGAACTCTGGGGAAGAAGAGTCAAATTATGCCCCACCTCTCCCCAGCTGCATTTTATGTGAAGGCTCACATTTAAATGCATGCTGTTATAATTCGATGTGCATACTGCTAGTAATGTATTAGTCCCTCTAACGAGTTGCTGACTCCCCACAATTTCTGCTTTTTCCATTGAATGCAAAAATCAGCCATGTACTCTCATACCTTCACTGCTGAAAATGTGGATATACTTGTAACAGTGGCCAGGTTGCTCATCGGAGCAAGACGGTTTGAGCATATTGCACAGATCCTGGTCCAACTGTACTGGCTACCAATTAGTTTCCAGGCTCAATTCAAAGTGCTGGTTTTGGCCTATAAAGCCTTAAATGGCTCAGGACCGCAATACCTCAAGGACCACCTCTTTCCATATGAACCTACCTGGACCCTGAGATCATCTTCTGAAGCCCTCCTTCGTGTTCCTCCTCCTCGAGAGGTCCGGAGGGTGGGAACATGAGAACGGAGCCTTCTCTGCAGTGGCTCCCTGTCTGTGGAATGCTCTCCCCAGGGAAGTTCGCCTGGCACCTTCATTACAAACCTTTAGGTGCCTGGCAAAAACGTTCCTTTGGTTGATCCAATTTATATCCTATACCCTTTTAAAATGTGTTTTTTTGTGGGGAGGGGTGCTACTGGGTTGTTGCATTTATTTTTATAATGTATTTTTGTGATTTTATATCTTGATTTTATTCTGTGAACTGCCCTGAGACCCCCTGGGTATAGGGTGGTATATAAATTCGATGAATAAATAAAAATAATAAATAAATAACACACCTAACTTCACGCCAGGGATCTAAGGTTGCCAGGTCAGGAGCATCCCAGACTCTGAGATTTCAGGGCACAGACCTGAGACCCAGCCCCTGGTGATGTCAAGGGAGGAGAGCCCTGGTAATGTCATGGCCATGGGTCCTGGAGACGGAGGTTAAGTGGGAGAAAGCAGCAAATTCCCTAGAGTGTCTGTTCTATAAGTTACAACCAGTTCCTGCTGGGATGAAGCTTGCAAGTTCCTCTTAGTGTTATTGCTGCTTCTGCCTTTGTTGTTGTTGTTATTATGACAATAAAAGACCCTCCGATCCATCTGGAGAGTCAAGCCCAGCACCTGCCACCAGGAAGGGACCAGGCAAACCGGGAGACTTCAGGTCAGACCTGGAGGTCTGGCAACAGCTACATGAATCAGTACTGAGCCTTCACTCTATCTGCATAATCACAATCATTGTGACAGACTCTGCTCCGCTCTGCCTGCTGCTTTCATTTAGCTTATCAGAGCCTGATCTGCATTCATTTAATCACAAAGAGCATGTATATGGAGGTAGGATTTTTCCTCCTATTACAGATACGCAGCTAGAAATAACAACAACCACCGCAATAATAATAATAATAATAATAATAATATTGTTTTTTCCCCAGCCACTCTGGGCAGCTTCCAGCAAAATATAAAAAATAATAAAATGTCAGACATTAAAAACTTCTCTGCACAGGGCTGCCTTCAGATGTTTTCTAAAAGTTATGTAATTCTTTTATCTCCCTGACATCTGATGGGAGGGCGTTCCACAGGGAGGGCGCCACTGCTGAGAAGCATGATTGAATTACAGTAGGTTACAGGAACAGGTCAAAACCTACATTGGCGTTCGCACAGTGGTGCAATGGCTAAAAGTGTTGTGCTAGGACCTGAGAGATCAGGGTTCAAATCCCCATTCAGATAAAGAAGTTCACTGGCTGAGCTTCGCCTCTGGATGCCAGACCAGATGGGCCAATAGTCTGATCCATCAGGGCTTTAAAAATGCCTCTCTGAAATAAATCTGAGAAATAAATGATATTAGAGCGAGGTCCCAGTAACTAAGGACAGTCGCAGTATGTGCAATCTGATGAACTAATAACTTTGCATCTCTTAAATCAGGGGTCAGCAAACTTTTTCAGCAGGGGGCCAGTCCACTGTCCCTCAGACCTTGTGAGGGGCCAGACTATATTTTTTTGGGGGGGGAAATATGAATGAATTCCTACGCCCCACAAATAACCGAGAGATGCATTTTAAATAACAGCACATATTCTACTCATGTAAAAACACCAGGCAGCCCCCACAAATAACCCAGAGATGCATTTTAAATAAAAGAACACATTCTACTCATGTGAAAACACGCTGATTCCCGGACCGTCCGCGGGCTGGATTGAGAAGGCAATGGGGCTGGATCCGGCCCCCGGGCCTTAGTTTGCCTACCCATGTCCCAAACCTTTCAGACCTCTGTATGCCAATTTGTTCCTGCCAGACTTTGGTCTTTCAAATTTCAGTGGAGCCCTGTGTGAGCCCACAATTTGGTACCTCCTGCCTCTTGTATTCCGTTCTGTGCATGCACTATGTCATAGCTGTGATGCCCCATCCCCCCCCCCCCGGCTCAGCACCCAGTGCAGGGGAACTGATCACGCTGCCCTAAACCCACCTCTGCTGTCAGCATGGGCACTTATTCCCTGGCCCTTGCCAAGATCAAATCCTGGCATCACAAGCTGCGATGCTGTCTGTGGGCAGGGGACAAAATGAGTAATTGCATATCAATGCAAGGCAAACCACCTTAGGAATGGCTACATGGCAGAAACAGAAGGGAACTGGCCAGCTGAGACTGGCAGGTACTGGGCAGGTACACAGGTAAACCTAAGAAGAGCTCTGCTGGGATCAGACCAAGGCAAAGGTAAAGGACCGCTGGACGGTTAAGTCCAGTCACAGGTGACTATGGGGTTGTGGCGCTCATGGGAACTGGAGTCCAACTGCATCTGGAGGGCACCAGGTTGGGGAAGGATGGCAGGGCCACTGGGCATTCTTCTTGCTAGAGCTCAGAGCAGTAGGTTCATATTACCTTCTTATGCACTCATCTCAGGCCGCCTGCATGTTAAGGTCAGCGACAGGCACTCTCTCCTGCCCGCCTCTGATAGCAGTTAGATAGTTGAGTTCTAGGAAAGCACCTTCTTTGTCATGGCCCCGTGTCTCTGGAAAGCCTTTTGTTTTGGGTCTGGCAGGCCTTGTCTGCCAGATGGAGGAAGGATCCATAGTACCAAAAGGGGTTCACCTGATCTGATCTGAGTAAAGGTAAAAGGTAAGGTAAAGGACCCCTGGATTGTCCAATCAAAGGCGATTATGGGCTGCAGCGCTCATCTCACTTCAGGCTGAGGGAGTCGGTGTTTGTCTGCAGACACTTTCCGGGTCATGTGGCTAGCATGCTTAAACCACTTCTGGCGCAACAGAACACTGTGATGGAAGCCAGAGCGCATGGAAACGCTGTTTACCTTCCCACCACAGCAGTACCTATTTATCTACTTGTACTGGTGTGCTTTCGAACTGCTGGGTTGGCAGGAGCAGGGACAGAGCAACGAGAGCTCACTCGGTTGCGGGGATTCGAACTGCCGACCTTCTAATCGGAAAGCCCAAGAGGCTCAGTGGTTTAGACCACAGCGCCACCCGCATCCCTATGATCACACCAACAGTCCATTTAGTTCAGCATTCTGCTTCCTGCAGTAGCCAGTCAGGCATCTTCAAGGATATCATAGGCGGGGCTGTGGAGGCAGGAAGCTCACAACTGAGCAGACTATCTCAGGACTTGGGAGGTTTCCTAATAGCCATGTGGCTTCCCTTGGCAACCTGCAGCAAAATCCTCATCCCTTCACGCATGCTTTAAAAGTATGGAGCTGCGGTGTTCAATTAGTTAAATTTGATCCATCAGTTAAGAAGTTGCCACCGATTAAACAGACAGCAGACTCTCTCTTTTTTTCCATGCAATTAAAAAATGCAATTAAAAATTGCAGATGGCAAGATGTCTAAAGAGGCCTACCTCCCTTTCTCTCATGTAGGAGGCATGAATGCCTTCGATGACGGCTACGATGAAACATAAAGAAATAAAGAAAGCCTCTGGCTTCAGAAGCATTGTTTTAGTGCACGCAAATTTATGCACATTTAATTGACAGATTAATTAAGTAAAACTCTGCCAAATAATTGATTAAGAAAAAATTCAATCAGGTTTCCATCTTGTTTAATAGAAGTTGTTCTTTTAGAGGAGCATATGCTCTGATGTTTCTTGTGAGCTAGATAATGATTTGGTTGGGTTGCCCTCCCAACGCACAAGGACAACGACACTTACTGGAAAGTAAGGAAAATATCTTCATTCCGGCTGAGAGCAGTACAGGCACAATGGCAAGCAGAAGGGACAGAAGTCAAGATTCCATGGCACATGAACAAGGCAAAATGCTTAGAACCAAATGGAAGCTATGGAGGTGTGCGGTGGCAGCTTCCTCATTGATGGCCCAGCGCCGCCAGGCTGCCCAATCCACCAGAGGGCGCACACTTGCCCCATCCTGGCCATCAGCAACCTGTGCTATGCCACTGGGGAGAACACAACCCTTATGACAACTAGTTTTTGATAGCCTTTTATTCCATGAACCTGTCAGATCCTCTTTTAAAGCCATCTAAGTTGATGGCCACCAGTCCCTTTTGTAAGAATGTTTAACTACATTCTGTGTGGAATCTAGATATACAGTGGTACCTCAGGTTACATACGCTTCAGGTGACATACGCTTCAGGTTACAGACTCTGCTAACCCAGAAATAGTGCTTCAGGTTAAGAACTTTGCTTCAGGATGAGAACAGAAATCATGCTCCGGTGGCGTGGCGGCAGCAGGAGGCCCCATTAGCTAAAGTGGTGCTTCAGGTTAAGAACAGTTTCAGGTTAAGAACTGACCTCCGGAACGAATTAAGTACTTAACCCGAGGTACCACTGTAGTTGCTGCTTTGGATCATGACACTCTTTGGTCCTAGTGATTGCAGGCAGGAAGCAAAGTCAAGCTCACTTGTCGCAAAATCCAGAAGGCATGGGGTTATCTCTCTGTAACATACACCACTGAAGGGTTTCCTTGCTAAATAGGTAAACTAATATATGGACGGGCTGGTGCTTTATCTACATTTCTGGGCTCAAAGTAACAAACAAAGCCAATTAAATGCCCGATTGGATAAACTGATTGCGGTCACGTGTCCTCCAGCCAGCCAGCCAGAATCCGGGACTCCTAAATGTCGCCGCCATTTGTGCTTTGATCCTTCTAATGAAAGATTAAGGGCTTAACACATTGCCGCTGGCTCTGATGATGCAGAGAAAATTGATTTTGAAATGAATAATAACCTTCCAGTGCCACTTCCCCAGGTATGGGACTTGTTCATTCAGTAGCTCGCGTGCTTCCTGCAAGATTGCTGATGGTACCTGTCTGGCTGTTTAATTAAATTGGCTCCCTTGGAGTTGAAGAATGCGGCTTTCAAAGCTGTCAAAAAAGAAGAGCGAGAATGATTGTTAGCTGTATCCTGCAAAGACGAGAGAAAAGGCAGTGGGCATGATCCCAAAAGTTCTCCTGCATGAGTCTTTTAAACAGAAGGGGTGGGTGATACTCAGACAAGACACATGGAAATTAACGGACATGGGTAATTAAGGTACATTGGGTTGAATTCAACATGGCATTCTTCCATTTGTTCCATCTGTGCAAACATCTCTTTACTCTGAATACCACTGCTGTTCCTGGCTTATAAGGGCCTCTTTTCTAGGCATCATGTTGCCTCTTTGTGTGTGTGTAGTGTGTAGTCAATCCCATTTCTTCTGCATCAACCTTCCCGCCCAAATCCACCAGGATGCAAATCACCCTCAAAGATTTGCAGGTTCAAAATACTGCAGAATAAATGCATGTATGGGCTAATCATTGCACAGGGAATTGGCACGTGTTCATACTGCCCTGCTGAATTTATTGTGAGCATAACATTTTTTTTAGTTTCTTCGGTACACAGTCAGTCTTGGCGTATGGTGAACTTTCAGAGGATATGGGGGAAAGGAACTAGACAGAGTTTTCATCCAGAGGTCCTTCCTATGGAACATTCTTCCTGAGCTGCTGGCAGAAAACTTAGAGCAATCATTGTGATTTGCTTGCATGCAGCCTATTCGACATCGCCCGATGTTGCTGCAATCCTGCACTTTCAAGTACATTTCCCCATCTCTTTCCTTACCAAAAAAAGAGCTCTGCTTCTTTGTTGCACAAGAGTGCCCAAATCCACTTCAACCGTGCAACCTAAATTTGATGCGTATGATTGTATCGTTTGCACCAAACCGTGGCAGCCAAGAGATTGCCACCAACAGGGGGAAAATTCCATTTTTTGAAAAACATTTTCAAAGCAAGCCTCCAATTTGCAATTGTTCATCACAGGATTGTAGAAATTGTAGATTTGGAAAGGACCCAAAGGGTCATCCGGCCCAAGCCCTTGCAGTGCAGAAATCACAGCCTCCTTCTCTTTCTCTTCCAGCTTGCTGCCTTAGAGAGACAAGTGTTTGATTTCCTGGGATACCAATGGGCTCCAATTCTTGCCAATTTCCTCCACATAATCATTGTCATCCTTGGCCTGTTTGGTACAATCCAGTACAGGCCACGCTACATCGTGGTGGTAAGTAGCAAAGTTCTGTTTGAGTTTTTGTTTTTTGAAGATTCCTAAAGATGAATTTAAGACTAGCTCTTAAAAACCAAGGGGTGGTATTTAATGGAATATTGGCGCTAGCACAAGGATTAGGTCTAGTGCAATGGGATTTCCCCACTCTCCTCTCCCTGTGTGTGCCTTATGCCATCTCCAAATATTTGAAAATATATGGATCCCTGTGACGCATGTATATGGGGTAAATAATAAACGAATCAGCTGAATGCCTGGATTCAAAAAGCAGGGCAAAACATACACTCCAGCAAGAGAGAGCTACAGCAGCAGAGTTTAAACTCACAAAGTCAAACAACACAGTGAAGCATTAGGAATCTAGGCTGCTAAGCCTTTTGTACATCCTGTTTAGTTGCATATAGTACTTTCCCCATTTTCTATTCCTCTTGCAATGAACAAATCACACTGTTAAGTAAGTTTAAAATGCTTTACTTACTAAATGTAAAGGTGTGGTTCATGCATTATTCCATGTAGCAGCAAGGAAAGCACAGGTAGATTACCCTTGGGTGCAAAATACAGCCTATAGTTTCAAACATGTGGTCTGAATTTGGAGCAAGTTTAGGCACACCCATCCTGGTAGGTTACCTGGTGCTCAGAAAGTGAGGGAAAGGAAATAGAAGCAGCTTCACTTCCTCCCTTACAGACCTAGCTTCCTAAGTGACTAACTAGCAGCAGCTTAGCTGGGGTGGGGGAGCAGGGTGCACTGGGCACCACTTACCCAGGGGGCAGCACTTACATTGGGGCCTGCAGCACACCTGAGCCACACGTCTCTCCTGGGAGTGACACAGTGGCTCGGGCACCTGCAGGCACTTCACTGCCCTGCAGCTGAGGGGAAGGTGGCAGGCAAACTCCATGCAGACTCTACCCAGAGTGACTACACACAGGGTGTAGCTAGCCACGCCAGATGCCTGAGTGGTTAGCTACGCCGCTGCTAACTAGCACTCATGCATCGTTATGTTCGACTGCAATCTCCCACAAAATGTACTCTGGAGGGTTGGGGAAAACCCCAGAACAGATTTAGGAGAAGGAGACAGGGGGAGTGTTCTGTTGCACAAGGAGAAATCCTTGCACTGACGGAACCTTGTCCTCAGCGCTACCTTGAATACATCCCAGGGTTCAGCTCCCAGGTCCCTATTTGCCATTAAACTACTACTTGGTTAATTGGGTGATAAATTCATTCTATCATATGTCCTGAGGACCGAAGGACAGCATTCCACAGTGCTGCCAGCAGCGGGGGGCAGGGGGAGAATGAAGGGAAGAAAGAAACTTATTTCTCCCCCATTCCCCACTGTCAATGCATGTACAGAGGGAACGAGAACAGTTTTGGTGAGCTGCAATGGGTGGGTTGGCAAGGTTAGGGTTAGTGGTGAGTTTGGAAAGGGGGAAGCGGGGTGCTGAAGTGTAAAGATATGGAGGATGGTGAGGAGTGGGGTGGGGTTGGAGGGAGAAGTGAGCAGGTATGTCATCCTGCAGTGTACACAGACACACACACACACACACACACACACACACACGTACAGTGGGTTTCTGTGTCACACTAACCTTGTTAGTAGTGCACATAGTTCTCTTCATGGGCCCATAACCGGTTTGGATCTTTCCTAGATACAGTGTGCATATGCGTCACAAGACTTTGGCCGCCGGCTGACAGCGGGGCAGCTCCGATTATCAACAAATCTGCCCTTTCACTTACTGCTTCCAACAGAGTGTGCATAATTTATTTTAATCAGGCTGCTTCACTTTATTACACAGCCTTTTGGATATAAATTAAATTACTGCGCTGTTAATGGGACGAGCAGCCACTGCCCTAATTGCCAGTTTGAAGTGCGCTGCTCTGTGCAAATGTCTTTCATTAAGGTGACCAATCGTGCCTCACCAACGCTGGCTTTTGCATTCTGTGATGGAAGGCTGGCCCTTTGATTCCATTGCTCAGCTCCAAATAGCTGCGGGGCTAAATGTTCCTGACTTGGCGGGTCAGAGCCAGGCAGGAAGTTCTCCTTGCCCACCCAAATGAAAGGCATCTCCCCCCCCCCCCCGGTTCTCTGAGGTGCTCTGTTTTATTTTGGTGGTGTTGGAAACCTCCCTTCTGGAATGGGTCTATGCTATTTACTGTCTTCAAAGCCTCAGGTGCTCCTCGTGGTTTCTGGAAATCTTTATCAAGGAGGCTTTTCTGCCTGACAGATGATTTGTATATTTTTAAAACCCTCTCTCCGCCACCCATCTCCCAACCAAGCCTGGGTTTATCACTGCCAGTTATTGAAGAGGGAGATTCCTCATTGACCGGCATCATTGCTCAAGTGATAAAGTCCACCGTCAATGATCTTGGCAAGCGAGGATTGCCAGTCAATCTATTGCCGCAAGGCTACAAACAAGCACGGAGTTTATCTCTGGACACAATAAACACATCGGTTGCATCACCTTCTGGTCTATAGCTGAAGGACAGGCTGCGATGGATCACCATCAGTATGGGAGGAGGAAGAAGGAGGTCACTATAGTGACCTGATTTGGAATCCAGGGGATTCCACATGTACACTAGGGATGTCGGAAAATTCTGGTGGAAACAGAAACGGGGGCAGAAATTGCCAGCATTTGTTGACTTGTCCCAAGTCCACAATGGAAATCAGTCCAGTAAATATGATCAGTATTCACTGCTGCTGTTACTTTCAGACCTCAAATGATATGTAATTGATTATATTCCCCCCCCCCATATTTGCACTGTGCTTCTTTTGTTTTGAAATGGATGGGTTAGAATAACATAATGACATGGCCACTCTAATTAAGAGCTCCTCTCACACCCACTGCTGTGAACTGCCCTTTGCAGCAGCACCCGGGGGGGGGTCACTGTTGCTACCCAATGCTTAGTCTTTGTTCTTAGTTGAAATCCATCAGGCCACCAGAAGCACAGAGGGCTCTGACTTTGTTGCTGTTCAGATCATGGCGTTGAATGTTCTGCATCTGCGACGCCAGCTTTGGAGAGCTTGTGCTCGTTTTGCTTTTTTCCTCTTCTGCAACTTTGACTTCTTTCTCTTTCTCCACCCAGTATGCCATCTGGACAGCCATCTGGGTCACTTGGAACATCTTCATCATCTGCTTTTATTTGGAGGTTGGCGGACTTTCGAAGGTGAGCAAGGCGGGCGTCCGAACGCAGCCAGAAACTGTCCAAGGGAAGGAAGGGACGGAGAAGTGCCAAGAGGATTGAGAAGAGGGTGTGGGATGGAGACACACAAACACACGAACAGAGGGGAGGGGAGCATTCACATCAAAGTGTGGCCCGAGAGGGCCTTGTCGGACAAAACGCCGCCTGCACACTTTCAGATTAAGGGTAAAATGAAAAGGGGAGGGCCAGAGGGGATTAGATTACTCTTCCATAAACTGAATCCAATTCAGTGCTTTAATGCCTCTCCAAAAAAGGCTATCAATCATTGCAGGCTCCTAGCATGATTTGGGTGGAAAATTAATTTCCTCAACTCTTTCAATGCAGATATAACGCTCCTATTTGGGTTTCTGTTGCCCTTACATGTCTCTCTACCCCTTTCATTCCCTTTAAGCGCTTGTAAAATCCCAGATTTGGAGGGGAACGTCCTGGTTGCACTTAGAATATGCGTTATTCCATCCTGCACACTCCAAGGGCTTAGATTTGTGGCAAATTTGGGCTCAAGGCCTATGCGAGTTTTCGCTTGTGGTTCCTGCCTTTCTGTGCTGTTGCTTGACATGAGTGAAATGTGTTGTGTTTGGGGCAATGGCCCCAACAGTATGGAGCTGAGCCAAGGCTACCACAGTGCCCTGGACAGCTCCAGAGTGCTGTGCTGGAGACTCAGATGTTGTTTCAGCAGCAGTCGTCTTCGGACTAAGCTTATCTAGGAGGAGCAGCTCTATCTGATGATGATAAGAATTTACTGTTTAAGAACCTACCAGTATTGGAAAGCAGCTAATAGCTAAATTCTAGAGGCATGGTGGGATAGCCCCAGCCACTCTTCCAACACATATTAAAACATATTAAAACATCAAACATTAATAATAACAATCTGATCCAATATGAGAAGTCACAATAACTTTGAAATAAACAACTTATATCAAATAAAGCAATATTCAATAATTCATTAGAATCTAATAGTAAACAGTAAAATTAAACATCAGCCAATTTTTTTTTAACAGTTTACACTTATCTATAATCAATAAAAAATAATGGCAAGTCTCCCTGCATAAAATGTGGTATGTTCCTGTTGTACATTTAAGTAGTCTCCATATAGATTTGCACATCTAAAGGCACATGCCTTAGAAACTCTTTTGGGGACAAACAGAAAGAGAATATTTGGGAAAGTATTTGAGGAGATGCACTCAGATACTTGCAGGTCCGTCTCCACAATATTGACCTTACCTGTAGAGGAGTAACAGGCATGAAAAAGAAATCTGCATAAAACTGATGCTGCTGTCATGGCTTCCCCCAAAGAACCCTGGGGGTTGAGGGTGTTTATGATCTTCGGAAGGGGAAAGGTCTGATGAAGAAGGTTTGAGTCTGGTGCCATCTGGAAGAAGGCGCACCTTGGGGTCAATATGCTTCAACAGGTTTCCCGTTCTTCTTTCTCTCTTTCTTTTTAATGAAATGTGTTGTGCTCCACCTTTCATTCACATGTGACCCAAACAAACCCCACTCACCCACCTGCCGGAACCCTAAAGGTAAAGGAAAAGGACCCCTGACCATTATTCATCATCATCAATCTTTATTACGGTCCAGAGACCCAACAAAACATTACAAATTAATACAGAGTTCATACAGTCTACCTCCAGGTTAATCAAGCACTTTGTTTGGAATATAGGGCTCGTTTGTTCTTGCAACCACCGATAAAAACTTTGCCACTGCCAACGTTCTAGCTTTTGTCTGGTCTTCCAGTAGGAACCTGACATAGTGAGCCTCTGACTTTCCCGGGAAAGGCAACAGCAAGGTTAGTATCAGTTCAGCCCTGGCCTGCTCATACTTCACACAATGTAACAAAATATGATCTATGGAATCAATGTCTTGAGCACACAAGCAAAGTCTGTCCTGGTAGGGAACTCCTCTCAACCTACCATCCAGCACTGCAGAGGGGAAGACATTCAGTCTGGCTTTGGTGAAAAGCCTTCGATAGTTAGGTACTGTTAGGTTTTTGATGTAAGATGTTAACTCAAAGACATACCCATATTGAACTCCTGCTGCCAGCGGACTACAGACTGCGTGTGACCGAGATCGCAGGTCACTGTGTGCATTGTCCCATAATCTTTGCTTTAAAACCTTTTGGGCGCCTTCATAGCCCAGGTAATACAGTTGGGGGGGAGACAGACCAATAGAGGTGGCTTTTTTAGCCAGACCATTATTAGGTCCAGTCGTGACCGACTCTGGCGTTGCTGCACTCATCTTGCTTTACTGGCTGAGGGAGCCGGCGTACAGCTTCCGGGTCATGTGGCCAGCATGACAAAGCCGCTTCTGGCGAACCAGAACAGTGCACGTTTACCTTCCTGCCGGAGCAGTACCTATTTATCTACTTGCACTTTGACGTGCTTTCGAACTGCTAGGTTGGCAGGAGCAGGGACCGAGCAATGGGAGCTCACCCCATCACGGGGATTTGAACCGCCGACCTTCTGAGCGGCAAGTCCTAGGCTCTGTGGTTTAACCCACAGCGCCACCCGCGTCCCTGCCGAAACCCTAGTTTGGTCTACATAGGCAGGTGGTGAACTCTCAACCCCTGGAGAGAGAAAGAGAGAGAGGCTTCCTTTTGCTCTGCTCTAAGTCGCTAAAAAGGAAGAATTATCCTATTTTTCTGCCTTCTCTTCTGATCTCCTGGGGATTAGATGTTTAAGGCAAATGCATTCTGAACCCTCTTTGCTCTCCTCCTCAAACACGCCCTGCTCCTTTACACTTAATTTCTGACAAAGTAGCTTGGCTGTCTCAGCGGCCGGTTAATTTGTAGTGACAGAATGCAAGGAGGTGCAGCGAGGTGGAAAGAATGGAGATAGTCAACTGGCAGCTGGTGGTAACGGCTGCCCGTTTGAGTCTGCAGACAGGTGATCAGCCAGGTGGAGAGAAAGGTGTGTGTTTTAGGAGGGGAGGAGCTGCAGTTCAAATTGCTCTAATTGGTTTCATAAATATCCACTGCAAAGCTGGCGGTGTGGGGGGAGAGAGTAAACCTCCATAATTGCTTCTTTGGGAGAGCTTCTCCCATGTTTTTTGGGTGATTTGTTGTCCATAAAATCACAGTACTGCATACCCTCCAACATTATTATTATTATTATTATTATTATTAATAATAATAATAATAATAATATATTTATACCCCACCCATCTGGCTGGGTTTCCCCAGCCACTCTGGGTGGCTACCAACAGAATATTAAAAACACGATAAAACATCAAACATTAAAAACTCCCCTAAACAGAGCTGCCTTCAGATGTTGTCTAAAAGTCAGATAGTTGTTTATTTCCTTGACATCTGGTGGGAGGGCGTTCCACAGGGCAGGCGCCACTACCAAGAAGGCCCTCTGCCTGGTTCCCTGTAACTTCACTTTTCCCAATGAGGGAACTGCCAGAAGGCCCTCGGAGCTGGACTCATTGTCCAGGCTGAATGATGGAGGTGGAGACGCTCCTTCAGGTATACAGGGCCGGGGCTGTTTTCTCTGATGAAAACAGGGACATACTATTCTGTGATGATAATTTTACTATTTATACCCCACACATTTTACTGGGTTGCCCCTGCCACCCTAGGTGGCTTCCAACATATACGAAAACATAATAAAGCATTAAACATTTTTTTAAAAAACCAAACCTTCCCTAAATGGGATTGCCTTCAGACTGCTCAGGGGTCGGATAGTTCCATACCCTCTAAATCACATCTAAAGAATCCTTTAAAAAAACACCAATAACCTCTTAATTCCTTGATTCAGCAAGGATTAAAATCTAATGGAGGATCCCATTGTTGAATTAGCCAGGCGAGGGTAAGAAAGGATTCTCTTCCTCCCTGTTTTATCTTCACAACAGCCCTGTGAGGCAGGTTAGACTGAAAAGCAGGAACTGGCTCAAGGTCACCCAGTGAACTCCATGGCTGAGTGGGGATTCGAACCCTCATCTCCCAGGTCATAGTCCAACACTCTTAACAATTGCAGTGGAACCTCAGGTTACGGCGGGGATCCGCTGCAACCCAAAAACGACACAGCCCAAAGTGTCGCTTCTGCGCATGCGCACACACGATTTAGTACCTCTGCGCATGCGCGAATGGTGCAAACCCAGAAGTAACCCATTCCAGTACAGTGGTACCTCGGGTTACATATGCTTCAGGTTACAGACTCCGCTAACCCAGAAATATTACCTCGGGTTAAGAACTTTGCTTCAGGATGAGAACAGAAATTGCACCGCGGCGGCGCGGCAGCAGTGGGAGGCCCCATTAGCTAAAGTGGTGCTTCAGGGTAATAACAGTTTCAGGTTAAGAACGGACCTCCGGAACGAATTAAGTACTTAACCCGAGGTACCACTGTACTTCTGGGTTTGTGCTGGTCTCAAGCCGAGGGTGACATAAGCCGGAGGCAACGTAACCCAAGGCTCCACTGTACACCGCATGAGCTCTCTTCTCCAAACTTCCAGTTTATTCGGCATTTCTCCTGATTCGTCTGCAGCCTTCTAAAACCAGGCAAGGTTAAGCCGATTGGCTTTAGCTACTCTCACTCCTACGCTCGCCTAGTGTAGTTATTTTGGTGCAAGAGTCCTCTCACCGCCTTTCCCCTTTGCTCGCATTTTCTACAGGGGGACAGGATGACATTTGGAAATGTTCTTTCTGCGTCCTGTCATCCCTTCTGCAGATGTCATATCTCCAAAGGAGAAGGGAGCGGGGAGCAAAATCTTGCCTGCCAAAACTTTGCTAGGTGGACGGCAGAAGAATGGACAGGTTGGCTGGCATATTAATAGATCCTTTCTTTTTCCTGCCACTGACATCTCCCCAAAGGTCTTGATGACGTAGGTTTTGAGGGCACTGCGAGCGTTTGAGCAGAGCTCTCTCAAAAAAGCAAGCACATTTCCTCAAACAGCTGAAGACGAGATGGAGGCAAACACAGCTGTGATTTCCGGACATGCTGTCGATACATAAGACAGTGTTTTGGTTTTCCTCACGGCACCATTAGCATACATTCTGATCTTTCTATTCCATTGATCCCTGCCACGAAGAGCCTTCTATGTACATTTTGACAGCAGAAAGACAGCAAAGTAGTATGAATCTTTTTGATGGTTTGCCCAGCCTGGCAAGAAAGATCAAATAACATAAAAGGCAAGCAGTGAGCTGGTCCTTTTTGCAGAATGGAGCTGAGCATTTTGCTGTTCCCTACTAGATTGCTGCAGACTTATGGACAAGCCATGCGATCTAATTCAGGGCCCTTCTGTGAATGGTTACCAGATTTTTTTCAATGAATCCGGGACACTTTATTTATTTATTTTTTTAAGCTGAGTAGCAACAGGGAGTCAGTAGTGGGGATGGAGAGCTAAAAGACCCGGGGCCCAAGCACACATGCATATTGTATAAAGGTGAAAAGCCCTTCTTTCACACCTTGTGAAACATAAATGCGCAGAGTTTTTTAAAAAACTGGGCAATGGCACGCTGCCCGCCTGTTACTCCCGAGCATCCCCCGATCAGTCAAAACAAAGGGGGAAGGGGGCAGGAGATGTGTACTGCCGGACATCCCTGGTTCCCCTTTGGCAATGGCAGTGGCAATCAGCAGCCCGGAGCTAGCCTGGTAGCGCAGTTGGCTCTGGCTGGCTTCAGGAGCTGCTCGCTGCCATAGAGCCCACCATTTTTCCTTGCCAGAAGTCCCAAAATGATTTGTTGTGCACAAGACACATCACATGGGGACATCCGGTGGGGGAAAATGGTGGGCGCCACTGCAGCAAGTAGCTCCTGAAGCCAGCCAGAGCCAACTGCGCTACCAGGCTGGCTCTGGGCTGCTGAGGCTGCCGCTGCCACATTTCCTGGGGACAGATTTGCAAATCTGGGGACATTCCGGGGACGGAATTTGTCCGGGGACAGATTTGCAAATCCGGGGACTTCTGGTAACCCTATGCTAGAGAAGCACTCCCATTGAGCCTGACGCTTCGTTTGCCCTTTATCTGCCAGGGAATGTGGCATTTTGGTGCCTTGCCACATAGGGCAACTGCATCCAGATCCGAAAACCATCTGCCAAATCCCAGCAGCTCCTGACGGTGCCCTTCGTCTGTTGCCTTGGTCCTTAGACCCTCCAGTTGGACCCATCTTGCACCCAGTGCCAGCATATCAGTGCCGTCAAACACAGAGGAGTCCCCAGTGATAGTCATACAATTGGTCCATATAGCCCTGCATTGTCAACAATGACTGGCAATGGCTCACCCAGGGTTTCGGGCAGGGGTCTCCCCTAGCCCAACCAGGAGATGGCAGGAATTCAACATGGGTCCATTTCACATTTGAAACGGCAGCTCTGCCACTGGGCTATGACCCTAAAACATCAGAACTGGGGGGATGATGTTTGTGTGTTTGTGATGTGCAATTTAAAGCACCAAAGGGATGCTAATTCTTGGCCCCCACCCCCATCAATCTTATCTCCCTAGGCTGTAGCTAAAATCACACCCGCACCAACATTTAAAGCACTCTTATGTCAATTTGACAGGCATGGCTTAAAGAATCATGTGAACTGTAGCTGGTTGAGGTCTTTGGAGGTCTTTAAGCAGAGGCTTGACAACCATATGTCAGGAGTGCTCTGATGGTATTTCCTGCTTGGCAGGGGGTTGGACTCGATGGCCCTTGTGGTCTCTTCCAACTCTATGATTCTATGATTCTAGGGTGCTGGGGACTATAGCTCTGTTACAAACAAACTACAGTATAGCTTCCATGGAAGTCACTGTTTTAGACAGGATATGAGGGTGTCACAGGCCCAAGTCACAGCCTTTGCAGTTGCTTACAGACCCTCCAAGTGCTCCTATTTTCCAGAGCCAGTCCCTGATCTGCAGAAGCTGTCCCAGTTTCTGATTTCATCCCAGAATGTCCCTCTTTTCCTTAGGACGTCCCTATTTTCATCAGAGAAATGTTGGAGGGTATGGAGTATTCTGACCCCTGAGCCATCTGAAGGCAGCCCTTTATAGGGAAGTTTTTAAATGTTTAATGTTTTATTATGTTTTTATATATGTTGGAAGCTGCCCAGAGTGGCTGGGACAATCCAGCTAGATGGGTGGGGTATAAATAGTAAAATCATTATGGTGGAGTAGGATGTCCCTATTTTCATCAGAGATATGTTGGAGGTTATGTGCTTATTTGAAGGCTTCATAAAGTACAGATTAGACATATCCTGTTCAAGTAATGGGTTCTTTTGGGGAAAAGCTGAACAGAGACCTCTAGTGTCCTTTTATTCCACGACTCAATAGCAACATCATATCCATATCCACAACCACACTCACCCCCGAACCTATTTTTTGCCTTAAATCCGGCCCCGGAAACTCATTTGCCCGCACCGCCGTGTTTGCTGTGCCTCCAACACATGCAGCCGGTGAGAGCTTCAGGCCAGAAAAGCTATCCCCTTGCCAGCCCAGCGAGACACAGCCGCTCATGCCACCGGGAGATAAAAAATGACGGTCTCCACTTTTTTAGCTGATAATAAATTTCCTCGCCTTAAAACATGCAAAATTATTCAACCGTTGAGCTCTCCCAGGACTTGCCTGGCTGGACTCAATTCGTCTGGGGGGGGCTATCAACACGGCTTTCTCTGGTAATTAATGAAAGGGAAGGAAGGAAGTAGCGAGTACAGGAGCCCAGCTGCTCTTAGACCCAACCCAAAAAGAAATGCAAGTGTGTGTGTGTGTGTGTGTGGAATGGGGATTAGGTGTGTGATGCACGGCCAATGGTGTGCATGGATGACAATAAAGAAAATTGCATATTATTTTCATAATCTTACAGATATGCATTCTTGGTCTGCTTTCCTCTCCTCCAACCTTGCCTCTGCATTCAAGACATGAGTCGTGTGGTTCCCCCACAAACTCCTCTCTGAATGTCAAATGAAGTTGTCGTTGGAGAGGGTGCTGCAAGACTCTGACTCAGGGGATGGGAGAGGCCCTTAGCCTTGCATACAGTGGGTCCCAGATCAATCCCAGACATCTCCAGGTTGGGATGAGAAAGACTGCTGTCTAAGACCCTAGAAAGCTGTTGCTGGTAGCCATTTCAATGTTCAGGTCCTCTAAATTTGGCCCTGGTGATGGAAAAGGGGAAACCTCCAAGCTGAGGGACAGTGGACCACTGAGTTACACTTACTGGCGAGCAACTGCAAGAGAGGACTATTGCCTTCAAGCCCTGGTTGATGACTTGTCTACAACATCTAGAAGTCAGACCCATTGATGCATCTAGCTCTCCGCTGACAGGCAGCTGGGTTTCTGGGTTTTCCATCTTGGAAATGGCTCTCCCATTCACTTCAGTGGAGGGAGCTGGTGCTTGTAGATGCCATGTGTGCATGGAAGTTCAGATCTGCTCCCTCCGTTGAAATGAATGGGGGAAATCTTGCATGCGCAAGAGATCCCCGTGCTAATGAAACTTCAGGTGGGTTGAAGATGGCACTGTTCAAGCAGGAGAAAAGAAAGCTAAGGTGGGAAGGTTGCAAAGGGGAACTTGAGGGTGGTCGCTCTAGTCTCCCAGATAGTGCTCTCTTTACTGACAGAGGTCAATAAGCTCTTTGCCTTGAGTGCTTTCGCCTATTACTCTCCATCAGTGCAGGTGTCCCCCGGAGAGTTGCAGCCAAAGATTCTGGTCAAAAGAGTATATTAATCTTAGGGCACTGAGAAAACATCTGACTCAAAGCAGGGAAATGCTTGTAATAGTTCATTAAAATAATTTGGGGCCATAATGGTTCTGAAGATTGCAGAATCATAGAGCAAATGAAAACAATTTTTTTGGAGGAGAGGAAACTCAGGTGTTGTTTATTTATTTAAAACATTTCTGCCCTTCCCACTCTTAATGGACCTCTCCTTTGGGCTGAGTTCAAGTCTTGCATGTTGGCTTCCCTGAAGCACTGGGGTGGCTGCTGTGGGAACAACGTCTATGAAGTTGCTTTAGGCATGTGCAAAATGCAGACATGTGAGTGCCACTTGGGAGGGGTGGGGAACCCCAGACCCGGAGGCCAAAGGCATCCCTCCAGTGGATTCTCCCCATGCCAAGCCCTCATTGGATATTCCTACCTGTGTGCTTAAACTCCGATAACGCCTCTTGCTTGCCTTGGTGGAGGACAGAGATGCATTTATGTGTGTATGTCAGGGCTGGCTCAGCTACAGGTCAGCATGGAGACTCAGAGATGAGCAGTGAAGTTGGTTCTTTCTTCAAGGAAACAGTATACAAACAGAGAAACCTCTGGGCAAGGCCAGTGAAGTAGTTGCCAGAACTGACGACCTGTGCCTCCCACTTCCCTCTACATCTCCTCATTGGCCAGATGTTTTCCAGCAGACTTCAGCTCCATTGAGGAGGGGTCTTCTGTGCTCTTTGTTCTGCTACATGCAAGGCCCTCCATGCCATTGGAGATAAGCAAGAAGGGGAGCTGAATGCAGCAGGCAGGGCTGCGGCACTGGGGTGCAAAGATCTACCTGGCGCCCCCCCCCGGTTGCCCAGGCCCAGGTGCATAGGAGGATGGAGTAGGCTGCCTGCCTCAGCGACTCGCTGGCTCGGTCACCCCGAAACTCGCAGTGGAGAGCCCCTCACAGCAGAAGAGCCCACTGTGGTGCTTCGACCGATGGGCGGGCTCTTCCCTGGACTCAACTCTCAGGCCCCGGACTCTTGGGCTGGCGCCCCTGAGAGCCTGGTGCCTGGGTGCCCCGCACCCCTAGCACCTATGGGTAAGACGGCCCTGACAGCAGGACCAGCAGGCTCCTGTGAAGTTGCTGCAGCCTTTGTCCCCTCCTCCTCCTCCTCAGCCACTTGTCCTGCATCTGCAGGGCTTTCTGCCCTGCTTTCTCTCTCTCCCTCAAGCTTGTTGCTTGTTCAGCATCCAACCATTCTGCCTCCGCTTCATCCTCTGACCTGTCTTTGGTGTCCCACCACCACTTGCCCATAAGGAAATGCATCCCTCAGGTTGTAAAAGGTCCCTTGACCTAGACAAAACAGTAGCCATCCCTTCCCCTTCTCTATCCCCACTGCAAGGTGTAAGTGAAATTTATTGTTTTTGCTTGGAAACACTTTTTGGAGATGCCAGCCTTTAAATGGATTAAACTCATTGGATTATGGGGAGCACTGAGTCTTGGGCTCGGAGTGATTGATTCAGCTGCCTCTGCCAATTGCAGAGGGACATTCATGAGCGGCACGAAGAAGAGGCAAGACAATTAAATGATCGCAGCTTTATCTGCAATATAAAAGTAATCTGGCCGGTGTGCTTGCAGGGCGCATTATTTATCCGCCGCCCGGAGTGAAAAGGTGTTTGGTTCTTTAAGCTGTGTTGACTTAAGAGATGTTAACTGTACCTCATTACTCTGGTTAAGAAATCCTTTTGCAAGCTGAGAGATACTGTAAGCTTTCTCTCCTACCAACACTTCCATGCTGGGAAACTGGAAGCACCTGAAACGAGCAGAAATTCAATGTTTGTGATGCTGAAGGCAGGGAGGGCCTTCTGAAAGAGAGGGCCCAAACTTTCACAACCTGGTGCCCTCCAGTTATTTTGGACTAATGCACCCATCAGCCCCAGGCAGCAGATGAGAGTTGTAGTGCAGAACATCATACCCACCAACATTTTTCCAAGGGAAATAGGGGCGTCCCAAGGAAAAGCTAATGGGACGCGGGTGGCGCTGTGGGTTAAACCACAGAGCCTAAGACTTGCTGATCAGAAGGTCAGCAGTTTGAATCCCTGCGACGGGGTGAGCTCCCGTTGCTCAGTCCCTGCTCCTGCCAACCTAGCAGTTTGAAAGCACATCAAGTGCAAGTAGATAAATAGGTACCGCTCCAGCGGGAAGGTAAACGCCGTTTCTGTGCGCTGCTCTGGTTTGCCAGAAGCGGCATAGTCATGCTGGCCACATGACCCGGAAGCTGTACGCCAGCTTCCTCGGCCAATGAAGCGAGATGAGCGCCGCAACCGCTGAGTCGGTCACAACTGGACCAAATGGTCAAGTTACCTTTACCTTTAAGGAAAAGCTGGACATTCCAGGATCAAATCAGAAACCGGGACGGCTTCTGTAAATCCAGGACCGTCCCTGGAAAATAGGGACACTTGGAGGGTCTGGAACATCCGGGTGACACCAGTTTGTTCCTATTAGGAATTAGTATGTCCTTCCTATTCCTTTCAGATTCCTGAACTGTCCCCAGCATACAGTCAGCTACAAAATCGAGGGAAGCAAACATGGAACCGAGCAGGAAGGTGGGGAAAGGTGCAAGGGAACCACATGATAACTGAAACAGCAGAGGAGAGATGATTTGAAATTCTGCAGGGAGATGTACATTAAGCAGCTATTGATCATGCCAGGGGTCAGTTTCTTGGAGTAATTTGACCCAAGAGGTTAATTGTGACGGAGGTCAATAGAAGACCTGAACGTGCAATGCATCAGAATACCAAAGGGAATTGGCAAGAGAATTTATAGAGGATGCTTAGTGCTCGTGGCACAGAGGAAATTAAACCAGCCCGGTAGGAAAATATTTCTTATAACTCCAGTTCTGCCTTGTCAACTCACACGAATGCAGTTGGTGTGTTTCCCTCTGTGAGTACACAGTATGCTATCTCTGTAGTTAGGGATGGAGGAGGAATTTGGTTTTGTTTGCGTGAGAATCTGTTTAATTTGCACTTCTTGAACCAGTGTGCGAACCATAGCCTTTGAAATTCACACTTTCCTGAATTTTGTGATCCAGCCAAACAAGGTGTTTAAAAGTGCATATGTGATGTACATAAAACATATATTAAGCAGAACTGCATGCCAAGCTGCATTATATCAATGGAAATCACCGCAAAAATGGGCATATTTGTCAAAACCGCATACAAAAAAAAAAGTGTTTTAAAAAGAAATTTGCAATAAAAGGAAGGCGAATTTCCAGGAGGATTTTATAAAAAATAAATAAATTGCAAATTGCACGGAGATATGAGGCAGGATTCACCTAACTCACCCCATCAGCGGAATCTCCATGGAAGGACTTTTGCTTGTGCAACCTTGAGCCAGTCAGTCTAACCTACTTCGCAGGGTCGTTGTGATGATAAAACGGGGAAGGAAGAGAACATGTACATCACCTTGAGGTCCTTGGATTAAAAGTTGGGACATACATGTAATAACAAATAAATAAAATGGCACATGGTACTTATTTTTATTGCTATATTTTTGTAACCTGTCCGGGTGGGCTGCAAGTACAAATAATTAATAAATGAATAACATTTCTAAGGCATTTGCAGAGGGCCTTCTTGGTGGTGGCGCCCTCCCTGTGGAACGCCCTCCCATCAGATGTCAAGGAAATAAACAACCATCTGACTTTTAGAAGACATCTGAAGAAGGCAGCCCTGTTTAGGGAAGTTTTTAATGTTTGATGTTTTATCCTGTTTTTAATATTCTGTTGGGAGCTGCCCAGAGTGGCTGGGGAAACTCAGCCAGATGGGCAGAGTATAAGTAATAAATTATTATTATTATTATTTATTATAACCCTTTGCTCTCTTTAACTGAAGAAGCCAGGGAGTGGACCTATGCAAAGTGAAAATCGATTCAGCAACAACAAGAGATTGGAAATGTGAACTCTTTAATTAGATTAATATTCTGGGTTGTTGTTTTTATTGTGTGCATTTTCTCCCTCTGCAGGACAGTGAGCTCTTGACCTTCAACATCTCCCGGCACCAGTCCTGGTGGAGTGAAAACGGTCCTGGATGTGTAAGGAAGGAGACTCCCATGGTCGGCATCAAGGGCTTGGACAGCCATTCCTACGTCTCCGTGATCGGTTGCGCTTTGGAATATCGCTACATCGAGGTCATGCACAGTGCAATGCAGATTCTGGTGGCGGTGAGTGACGCCCTCAAAGCCCGCAAATCTGAAACTGGGCCTGTTTCAGCAATTCAAATGGCCACCTTTGGGTATTGGAAATTCCGGGTGCCAATTTCAATGCAATACAGTCATACCTCTTCTTGCGGACACTTCATGTTACGTTTTTTCGGGTTAAGAACGCGGCAAACCCAGAAGTGTTTACTTCCAGGTTTCGCCGCATGCACAGAAGCGTTCTGCACGGTTCACACATGCACAGAAGCGTTCTGCGCAGTTCGCGCATGCGCAGAAGCGCTCTATCACGCTTCACACGTGGGCAGAAGCCCCGCTCTGGTTACAGACCTTTCGGGGTGCAAATGGCACATGGAATGGATCGTGTCCGCAACCAGAGGTACCACTGTATATGGGGGGGGGGAGAGCCAGGTAAGCCCTGCCGTGCATAATTGGTCACAAGATGCAGCTCATGCACAACATTTGAATGGCAATGCCCATTAACTTGTGGCTGGGGTCCCCTCAAATATTTTATTGGGGGAGCCAAAGGGACCTCAGCCCCTAGGAGTTGGCTCCTATGCTAGATATTTAAAAGACATATTTCAAATTCAGGTTTCCGGTGGATGGTGCCACATGTTCTCGTGTGTGTGAAAGAGAGAGTTGGGGGAAGATAGAAAGGGAAAGGGAAGAAACCAGTTTGTATTGCATGCTAAGCCAAACCACGGCCCAGTGTAAGCCAAGGGTTCAGGTTGCTGGGGTGAAGATCATGGCTGCTATGCCGCTGCTCCACTTCTACTGCTGCTGTGTTTCTTAGGGCTATGCCACAGTTTGGGGTAGCATCACATTATCAACCCCAAGCTCATATTTGTCTCATTGAATAGTAGAATCGTAGAGTTGGAAGGAATCCCAGGGGTCACCTAGTCCACTCCCTGCAATGCAGGAATCTCAGCTGAAGTCTCACTCCAGAAAAACAACCAATGGGTGACCCATGGTTTGTTCTTCATTTACTGCTCATGGTTTGTCTGGGGGAAACAAACCACAAGCCTAAGTTTGGATGTAAGGTAAAGGTAAAGGGCCCCTGGATGGTTAAGTCCAGTCAAAGGCAACTATGGGGTTGTGGTGCTCATCTCACTTTCAGGCCGAGGGGGCTAGCGTTTGTCCACAGACAGTTTTCCGGGTCATGTGACCAGCATGACTAAACCTCTTCTGGTGCAACAGGACACCGGGATGGAAACCAGAGCGCACGGAAACGCCGTTTACCTTCACGCCGCAGCGGTACCTATTTATCTACTTGCACTGGCGTGCTTTTGATCTGCTAAGTTGGCAGGAGCTGGGACAGAGCAATGGGAGCTCACTCCGTTGCGGGGATTCTAACTGCTGACCTTCCGATTGGCAAGCCCAAGAGGCTTGGTGGTTTAAACCACAGCACCACCCGTATCCCTTGCCACCGCATAATGGTAAGCGAAACCGTAGCTGAGTCATGCATTAGTGCAGCAGGACCAAGAGAGGAGTGCAGCAGATGCAATCTTTGGTCTGGGAACCTACTCCTTAGCTAGTTCAAGCTAAGCCACTGTTTGGTTCAGAATTACGTGTGAATCGGGATTATAAATTCCATTTGGATATTTCGATCCACGGAGCTTTGTTGGCCAGGGGGAAACAGCGCCAGAACCTTTGATAGTTGTGCAAAAGAGGGAATTTCTGTGGATGTAGCCAGAGCTGACCCAAGACATTTCCAAGATGGAAGCTCCTCCACTTCCATGTTCAGAAGGCGCCTGGACTTGGGATTGACTCAAGCTTCCATGCTGGCAACAAGACAGCAGCAACCCCCAGCACACCTGAGAGCTGCTGGCTAGTTTAGTTTAGAGCACTCTTGCTTCTGCCCTCCAACAGAAGGTAAGAGCCAAGGAGGTGCTGTGGCAAACCAAGGGCAGGAGGACAGTATTGATTTAGAACAGTGGTTTGCAGAGGGGCATAGTCCAGAGGGGGAAAGCTGGGAAATACTGGGTGAGGAACACCAAGAAGAGGGAACACCAGGAGAGAGACAGCTGGCAGACTCAGTGTCCTTGAACAGCATTCCTGATCCCCCTTCACCTAGGACTAGACGGGCTCTGAGAGTGATAGAACAGAAAGCACAGAGACAACAAGCTCAGATTACCCGATGTAGGAGTGACGTAGATTAATGGAGATGGAGGGGGTGAACCTTAACTGGGAGCGACACCATTTCTAGAGAGATATGCATTCCTTTGTCTCTCGCTATGATTATTAAAGAAACTATCTGGTAAGAACACTCCTTTCATTTGTTGTTGTTTAGTCATTTAGTCGTGTCCGACTCTTCATGACTCCATGGACCAGAGCATGCCAGGCACTCCTCTCTTCCACTGCCTCCTGCAGTTTGGTCAAACTCACGTTAGTAGCTTCGAGAACACTATCCAACCATCTCGTCCTCTGTCGTCCCCTTCTCCTTGTGCCCTCCATCTTTCCCAACATCAGGGGTTTTTCCAGGGAGTCTTCTCTTCTCATGAGGTGGCCAAAGTATGGAGCCTCAGCTTCACAATCTGTCCTTCTAGTAAGCACTCAGGGCTGATTTCCTTAGGAATGGATAGGTTTGATCTTTCATTTGATCTGGTTAATTACTGCCACTGGGGGGTGGGATCCAATTCCCCAAAGCCTGACACCTGATGTGGTTGCTTTCCTGTGCCCACTGGCCATGCCGGCCTTGGATGTTTGTGTGGATACAAACTTGATTTTTGACTCCTGTTGATGACAGGAGTCATCGTCAACTTGCTGATTTCAGTACTTGAACACTGTGGCTGAGATCTAAGATGCTCTTTAGTGGGGACTTTTGACTCATACTGTTTGAAAAGGATTGAGATCACACAGAAAATGCTTCTGAAATTCCCCTTGGTTTCATGGAGAGACTGTGGAGGAGAGAGAATAGAAGCATGATGCCAAAGCCCCCTTGGGAACATACAAATAACTTCAAAGTTCTTTGGATCCTGCCCTCTCCGAAACAAACAAACAACAAACCCCTACACTCATTGCCATAAATCCAACAGTAATTAAAAATTACATAAACTTGATGTGTGTGTGTGTGTGTGTGTGTGTGTGTGTGCAAGAATATGATGGATTTCCCCACTCGTCTCAAATTCTTTTCAACCTGTACAAAACAAGCCCCTCAGCCCATCACACCAGGATGTGGCTCTGGTGCTGAGATTGTTCATTTAAAGTAAACCCAGGAAGAAGAAAAACAAAGAGAAGCAAGGCTTAGACTGATATAGCAGGAGCATTTCCTCAGCAATAGGTACATCAAAAACTTTACCAGCCAGCATGACTGTGATTTAAATATTTATGTGTGAGCGTCGGGGAAGAAGAAGAAGTTGCAGAAAGGGAGAGAATCCAATTAGGCAAAGGCTGTGTGCGTCTCCCCCCAAGGATATAATAATACACCCCGTCAGAAAACAAAGCCGTTCTGACGCGCGTGCGCCCCCCCCCGGCTTCTGTTCCTGCAGACGCCAGCAGTTTGCACAAAAGTTGCCATCAAATGTCACAGCGCTTATGTTTATCCATACCCTCAATTATTTATTTTTTTCATTAACATGCCACAGTAATTGGTGCCGCCCGGTAATTGATTCTCGTTTGCTGCGGAGTAAACTGAAACAAAAAGTCTATTGTCTTCATAAAATGCCACTAGAGCGTGTGTACATTTTCTAGCATCTCAGCAATGGAAGCCACCGTCTTTTAAAATCTGCTTTGCTTTGTTTTGCATGAATATTACACTGTATGTCTCTCTATATTTTTACCAAGGGAGCTGATCTTAGTCCTCCCTGTCGCATGACAAATGTCATGTGTGAATCAGAGAACCATAGCTATGGCAAGGCAGCAATTTTATAAAGCAGGATGAATTCATGGTCAAATCTGTGGTTGTGAGAACAGGATGCTAGACGAGATGAGCTACTGGCCTGATCCAACAGGTTCTTCTTACATTTTCATCCCCTGTATGAATATATTCCTAGGGATGGTCAACGCTGGCTGCATTCAGATATCACAGATATTTACTTTACCTGATAATTTCTGCACTCCATGTGATCTTTCTCACAATGCAAATGCCACTTCTGGAAATGTAGTGGCATTCATTTCCAAGTTGTTTCCAGAAAAGAAAAGAAAAACCAGATTGCAACCCGATTAACTCAGAAAATCACGAGAGTTTGGTGTTGCAAATTCACGCAACAAAATATGTAGAGGTGTTCTAAAAGGTAAAGGCAAAGGTATTCCTGAGCATTAGGTCCAGCACGCTCATCTCGCTTTATTGGCCGAGGGAGCCGGTGTACAGCTTCTGGGTCATGTGGCCAGCATGACTAAGCCGTTTCTGGTGAACCAGAGCAGCGCACGGAAACGCCGTTTTCCTTCCTGCCGGAGCCGTACCTATTGATCTACTTGCACTTTGACGTGCTTTCGAACTGCTAGGTTGGCAGGAGTAGGGACCAAGCAACGGGAGCTCACCCCGTCACAGGGATTCGAACCGCCAACCTTCTGATCGGCAAGTCCTAGGCTCTGTGGTTTAACCCACAGCGCCACCTGCGTCCCTATTATTCTTATTGACAACAAAAATATGAGGCCTTGCAAGACATCCCTGCGAGATGGAAACTTGGTTGCTCACTAGGGAGGTCAACTTTAGAGCGTGCACACACAGAGGGGAGAATCACACACACTTGGGGGTGCATCGTGGACACTCGGGGGTGAGGTTCACCGAAGCACAAATAAGGTTCATCTTTGGGGCAGATGATGCCATCTGTGGGGGCAATTGGGCTTGCACGCGGCCTGCATTTCCTTACCCTTGCTGGCTGAGTGGGGAAAGCGGCCCTTTCCTTTGTGAAAGATGTGGAGGAAAAAAGCCCTTAGGGAAAACTGGGACTAATCCGATGCTGCTTGAAACTGGCCATCCAGGGCCTTGCAGCCGTTGTCTCTGGGGGTTAAAGGCAGCCTTGCCTGTCTTCTTAATCTCATTTAAACGCAAATAGGAGCAGAACAGTCTCTCCCCTTCCACTCCCCCTCCCTGACCCACTGTGCTATAGACAAGTCAAATGGCTATTTTTTGATGGCGTTCTTGACCCTGCCTCCCTGGAAAGTAAAAGAGAGGGGGAGATAGGAGGGGTTCGTCCTGTTGCACTCCTCATTTGATGGTTTTTTTGCCAGGGTGCAGAGCCCTGTGCTAATTGAAAGACGTGTGTGTGTGTGTGTCTGTTTCTCAAGCCCTTTCCAGTCCTACACATGAAAGTAGCTTTCATATGCTACATCAAGGTGTGGACAGCATCTGTGCAGGTTTGCTGCACATCTCCCCTCCCTGTTTCCTGCTTTGCCTTTTCCAAAATATCCATTCCAGTTCAATAGTTTTTGAGAGACAGGTGTGGAGGCAGGTGTGGAGGACTCCCTTGCCCTGAATGGGGTAACTGTGCCCCTGAAGGACCAGGTGTGCAGCCTGGGAGTCATTTTGGACTCACAGCTGTCCATGGAGACGCAGGGCAATTCTGGGTCCAGGGCAGCTGTTTACCAGCTCCATCTGGTACGCAGGCTGAGACCCTACCTGCCCTCAGACTGTCTCGCCAGAGTGGTGCATGCTCTGGTTATCTCCCGCTTGGACTACTGCAAGGCGCTCTATGTGGGGCTACCTTTGAAGGTGACCCAGAAACTGCAACTAATCCAGAATGTGGCAGCTAGACTGGTGACTGGGAGCAGCCACCGAGACCACACAACACCGGTCTTGAAATACCTACATTGGCTCCTGGTACGTTTCCGAGCACAATTCAAAGTGTTGGTGCAGACCTTTAAAGCCCTAAATGGCCTCAGTCCAGTCACCGGTGGAGGAAGAGGAGGGCGGGGGGAGCTCACCAACCCTGGCAGCATGATCCCAGTGGTGTGCCATCGCAGCTGTACACCTGCCCGCGCTGGGTGCCATGCCACACAGGTGGAACGCCATGCCCCCAGGACGCACGCTACGCCTCTGCGGACAGTGCACCTCATCCCCGGGATGCGCGCCAGCCCTGCCCTGCCTGCTCTCCGCCCCCCGGTGCCAGAGCATGAAGCTCCGCCACTGAGTCCAGTATACCTGAAGGAGCGTCTCCACCCCCATCGTTCTGCCCGGACACTGAGGTCCAGCGCCGAGGGCCTTCTGGCGGTTCCCTCGCTGCGAGAAGCGAGGTTACAGGAAACCTGGCAGAGGGCCTTCTCGATAGTGGCACCCGCCTTGTGGAATGCCCTCCCACCAGATGTCAAAGAGAAAAACAAGTACCAGACTTTTAGAAGACATCGGAAGGCAGCCCTGTTTAGGGAAGCTTTTAATGTTTGAGGGTCTATTGTATTTTAATATTTTGTTGGAAGCCAGCCAGAGTGGCTGGGAAAACCCAGCCAGATGGGTGGGGTATAAATAATATATTATTATTATTATTATTATTATTATTAGATGCGGGTGGTGCTGTGGGTTAAACCACAGAGCCTAGGACTTGCCGATCAGAAGGTCGGCGGTTCAAATCCCCGTGACGGGGTGAGCTCCCGTTGCTTGGTCCCTGCTCCTGCCAACCTAGCAGTTCGAAAGCACGTCAAAGTGCAAGTAGATCAATAGGTACCGCTCCGGCGGGAAGGTAAACGCCGTTTCCATGCGCTGCTCTGGTTCGGCAGAAGTGGCTTAGTCATGCTGGCCACATGACCCGGAAGCTGTACGCCGGCTCCCTCGGCCAATAAAGTGAGTTGAGCGCCGCAACCCCAGAGTCGGTCACGACTGGACCTAATGGTCAGGGGTCCCTTTACCTTTACCTTACAGGCACGCCAATTGGGAGGGGGTGGCAGGGACTAGGCTCCCCAAATTTCTGAATGAAGGGGACAGGCGCCCTCAAAGTTCTGCACCGGCCATTTGCCTCAGCAGCTGTACAGCACAGAGTTGGGACTCAGGATGAGGTCGAAGTGCTTGTATGGCAAGGCAGGAGGGAGGGAAGACGGATTGTTTTCTTCCAAGATCCCACATGCCAAAATGAAGTTAGGAAATGTCTCCCCATTTTCATCGGAGAAGAACCTGCCTTGCCTGTTGGCTGTTTCCATTTCCAAACGACAGCCTGAAACGCTCCCAGGAAGATGGCAAATGTTGACTTTGATGGCAGATGCTACAGCGAAAGCTAGAATGAGAGCCACCGGCATATGCTACATTTCCACCAGTAATAATTGCCCCCCAGCAAATGAATGGAGTGTGTGTGTGGGAAAACAAAGGTTGCAGGCTGCCATCTGCACATTGCCGTGATTTCGTCTTCACCAGCTGCTGGTGGGAGCTTGCCTGCAATTCTGAAATGCGGGCGAGAGCTTGGGTGTTGCTGGGGCCTGTCCCCCACTTCCAGTATGGCCAAAGAGAACAATTTTGCTCCATGGGGTTTCATATGACACATAAAATTAAATATATGGCTGTATGGTGAAAGATTGCTGTTGTGATTATTAATAAATGTTATAAGGGGTTGCTTTTAAGAGTAGCTTGCAGGATTAAAGCATACAACAAAACCCTTTTAAACCAAAGTCAGTGGTAAACAATAAAGAGGCAGTCGGCCCCACAGTAAAAATGGAAAGCGTATTGCTGGTGGTCAACAAAAGAGGTTTAAAGGCTCTCTCAAGGCAAATCTTTTAAAAATGTAGTATAAACACCAACAACTGGGAAACACTGGCCTGTGAGCGCTCCAGTTGGAGAACAGCCTTTGCCAAAGGTGTCGTGGGTTTTGAAGACACTCGAACACAGGACGCAAGGGAGAAAGGTGCTAAGAGGAAGGCATGCTTGGCAAACCCTCACTGTGATCAACTCCCGCCCAGAAACCAATGTCCCCAGTGTGGAAGGATGTGTGGATCCAGAACTGGCCTCCACAGTCACTTACGGACTCATTGTTAAAACCGTGTTTATGGAAGACAATCTTACTCGGCTACGAGGGATCACCAAAGAAGAAGAAAGAATACAATTCAGTAATAAAATGTTGCCAATGGCACATCTGCACCATAAGTTTAAAGCGCTGTTATACTGGTTCGCCAGTGGTGACTCTCCACTCCCCACAAAGAATCCTGGGAACTGTAGTTTGCTAAGGGCATTGAGAGTTGTTAGGAGACCCCTATTCATCCTTACAGAGCTACGGTTCCCAGAGTGGTTTAACAATCAACCCTTTCCCCCATGGATCTCTTGTAGCTTTTAGGAGGGGAACTAGGGTCTCAGCACCCTTACCTAATCTGGGACACAGGTGGCGCTGTGGTCTAAACCATAGAGCCTCTCCTATTGCTCTGTCCCAGATCCTGCCAACTCCTTCCATCACAGTGTCCCGTTTGGCCAGAAGTGGTTTAGTCCTTGCTGGCCACATGACACAGAAAACTGTCTGTGGACAAACGCCGACTCCCTTGGCCTGAAGTGAGACGAGCACTGCACTGATTGGACTTGACAATCCAGGGGTCCTTTACCTTAGCTTTTACCTTTACTCAGATCAGATCAGGTGAACCCCTTTTGGTACTGTGGATCCTTCCTCCATCTGTAATAATGATAAGGCCTGCCAGACCCAAGACGAAAGGCTTTCCAGAGACAAGGGGCCATGACAAAGAAGGCACTTTCCTAGAACTCAACTATCTAACTGCTATCAGAGGTGGGCAGGAGACAGCGCCTGTCGTTGACCTTAACATGCAGGGGGGCTGAGATGAGTGCATAAGAAGGTAAGATGAACCTACTGCTCTGAGCTCTAGCAAGAAGAATGCCCAGTGGCCCTGCCATCGTTCCCCAACCCGGTGCCCTCCAGATGCAGTTGGACTCCAGTTCCCATGATTTCCCAAGTTAACGGGATTGCAAATAGATTTGGGGGTTTTAACATGAAAAGGACCATGCTGGTGGGAATCAATCTCTGTGTAGCAGCGATGGGCTTTAAGCTTCCCAGCCAAGCCTCTATCACTGCACATTTGCGTATTTGCGCATTTGCACGAGGGCCCTTCCAGGCTGCCCTAGCCATCTGCCTGAATCCAAGAGAACGAGGGATGTGGGGCCACATTTGTCCTCAGGGCTGTCTTTACCGGGGGTGCAAGGGTGCGGGGCACCTGGGCACTGAATTCTGGGGGGTGCCAAATGTATACCTACGGTATACCGGTCCCTCTGGATTGGTGGCAGTGAAAAGCAATGGAGTGAAAGTCCCCTCCTCCATCGCTCTGTTACTCTGTAGCCCCCCCCCAAAAAAGCTCAAAGCTCAACAACTTTGAGTTTGCCCCTCCTAAAAAAAAAAAGCTCAATAAAAGTTAATTTGGGGGCAGCTAAACTAAAGTTTTTGGGACGCGGGTGGTGCTGTGCGTTAAACCACAGAGCCTAGGACTTGCCAATCAGAAGGTCGGCGGTTCGAATCCCCGCGACGGGGTGAGCTCCTGTTGCTCGGTCCCTGCTCCTGCCAACCTAGGAGTTCGAAAGCACGTCAAAAGTGTAAGTAGATAAATAGGTGCCGCTCCGGCAGGAAGGTAAACGGCATTTCCGAGCGCTGCTCTGGTTCACAAGAAGCGGCTTAGTCATGCTGGCCACATTACCTGGAAGCTGTACACCGGCTCCCTCGGCCAATAAAGCAAGATGACCGCTGCAACCCCAGAGTCGACCACAACTGGACCTAAGGGTCAGGGGTCCCCTTTACCCTTAAACTAAATTTGGGGGCACTGGGCGGATCTTTGCACCCTGGCGGCGCATATGCTAAAGCCAGCCCTGTTTGTCCTGCACCAGAATCAGAGGCGACCCCCAAACCAGCTAGGGAGACAACTTGCTGTAGCTTTTAGCAGCTCCACAAGCGTTGAATGTGGCTGTTGTCAAACCGGCATCTGTTCAGGGCTGCCCAGAATCGCCTGGTGACTTCCTGTAACAACTTCATGGTGTGTTCTGGCACCTATTTTTCTCGGGGGGGGGGGGGGTGGAGAACGCTGCCCAGAACTGCAGTGCTGAAGGGCTAAGGATGCTTGATCTCTATTGCCATAAATGGTCCAGCTCTCTCCCCCTTTAGGCTGCATCTGAAAGCAGAATAATGATGAGGTCTCTGAATAACCGTTTGGTTATCCGTGCAGCTCTTTTAATCTTCTCTCTGAAGTCCGCCCCTCCTGCCTCTTTACCATTTCCCCCTCCTTCCAGCTCTCTTCGATTTCTGATTAAAACATTTAAAACTGGGCAAATGGGAAGAAACTTTAACGTAGGTCAGAACTTGACCGTCAAATATTTGAAGAGCATTACTTTTTAAATCTTGGGGGGCGTGCGTGGATGTCTGGAGGACGGGAGAGACATGAGGGAGGGTCTATTATTCATAGCGCCGTTTTTCTTTCAAAGCAACTTTAATTTGAAAAGAAGTCTCCATATTTCACTTTATTTTATTTAAAGAAGAATAAGGGCCTGATTTCATGAGGTGCGGTATGAACTGTGCCGGTTAGAGTCATGTATAATTCAGGCTCTGAAATTACAAGTTGGAATCTCTTGTCTTTCAAATGGTAGATTTACATTTCCAGACAGTTACACAGATGAAGTTGAGGGAGCACCGTCAGGCCCCAGAGACTGGCATGGCTCCATTAAAGGCTTCTGGGAAATCGGGTCTTATATTTTAGCGCATTCTGGATATGTCTCCCAGAGGGACGAGAGAGCAGGGGCTGCTTAGCACTTGACGGATTCCTGCCTCCAACAAGAAGAAAAGAGATGGAGGCGAATGCAAAATCAAACGCCAAGTGGGATCAAAACCTGAGAGCAACCTCAATTGCCAGGGAACCATAGGAACAGAGAAAGCTGTCTTATACTGAGTCAGACCATTGGTCTGTCAACCTCAGTATTGTCTACACTGGCAGGCAGCAGCCCCACAGGGTTTGAGACAGAAGTCACCATGCCCTCCAACATTTCTCTGATGAAAATAGGAACATCCTATTCAACGACAACAACAGCAACAGCAGCAGCAGCAGCAACAACAACAACAACAACAGGGAATGTCCCAGTCCCTCTAAGTGTCCCTATTTTCCAGGGACAATCTCAGATTTGCAGAAGCTGTCCTGGTTTCTGATATGATCCTGGAATGTCCTGTTTTTCCTTAGGATGTCCCTATTTTCACGGGAGAAATGTTAGAGGGTATGGAGTTTTGCGACCCCCAAGCCAAGGAGATAAGTAACTATACAACCTACATGGGGATGTCTTTTATGGGGAAGGTTTTTTTAAAAAAAAAAAATTAATGTTCTATTATGTTTTTATATATGTGGCTGGAAGAAGCCAGTCATATGGCTGTTATGAGAAAACAACAACAACAACAACAACAACAACTGAATAGGACGTCCCTATTTTCATCAGGGGATGCGGGTGGCACTGTGGATTAAACCACAGAGCCTAGGACTTGCCGATCAGAAGGTCGGCGGTTCAAATCCCCGCAACAGGGTGAGCTCCCGTTGCTCGGTCCCTGCTCCTGCCAACCTAGCAGTTCGAAAGCACGTCAAAGCGCAAGTAGATAAATAGGTACCGCTCCAGCGGGAAGGTAAACTGTGTTTCTGTGCACTGCTCTGGTTCACCAGAAGTGGATTAGTCATGCTGGCCACATGACCCGGAAGCTGTACCTCCCTCGGCCAATAAAGTGAGATGAGTGCCACAACCCCAGAGTCAGCCACGACTGGACCTAATGGTCAGGAGTCCCTTTACCTTTATTTTCATCAGAGAAATGTTGGAGGGTATGAGAGCTGTGTCTTCAGCATAATGAAGCTGGCAGATATGCCTCTGAGGCGAGGGAATTCCACAACTGGCGGCTTCAGTAGACAACGGCCTTTTCCCAGGAGTTTCCTCTCAGCACCCAGAGTTCATTGAGGAAGCCACGATTGTTTAAAGTGGTATGCTTGTGCTGTAAATGTGCAATGTAGATGATGCTTCTTGGGCTCACAGCCTCTCTGTACCCGGGCGCAAGGAAAGCTGGCCCATTGCCTCTGGGCAGGAATCTCCTGCTCAAGCAGAATTCTGTTTCCAACCTGCCCAGCTGATGATCCAAGAAACTGAACACAGTCCACCTGCACATCTGCGGTGGTCTCCCAGATGTTTGACAAAGGAGCGCAGGAAGCTATCTCATACGGAACCCGTTCATTGGTCCCTGTAGCTCATTATTGCCTACGATAACTTGGCTCTGCAGGGCTTGAGAAAGGCATCTACTTTGAGATGCCAAGAACTGAACCTGGGACCTTCTGCAAGCAAAGGAACTTCCTTACTGCTGAGCTACAGCCCATCCCCCAGCGCTTGCCATGTTAATGCAGTTGACAGGAAGATGACAGTAGGAAAAGCAGGTTCAGTGACCCTTCGACAGTGGGCTGCCCTACATGCCTGGTGGGCTGCAGTTGGCTCGGCGGGTCAAAAGTTGTAACGCTTATAGGTATTTGTTGGGCTTTAATAGAATTCTAATGGGACCCATCTATCACGGAAAAATGCATTCTCAGTCTATTACAAGCTAGGCTTGTTCAGCACCTTTTGGATCACCGTGGACTCTTCGTCTCTCCTGGGTTCTCCCCGCCCCCCTTCCTTGCTCCCCTCCTTTCCATTGTCCTAATTCTCCTCTTGATAATTTCCTGCCTACGTTGACCTTGAAGCATCTTCTCTTGTGGGCAAACGCCTTGATGGATGGTGCTGTGATACATAGATCAAAAACTCTTTGCCTTCCATGCTGAGACAACGGGAAAAAAGTAATTTCCCTCCGCCCGCTGCCACCCGATCCATTCTTCCTATTGCCAGAGGATGCTCGTCTTTAGAAGACTTTGGGGACATTTTAAGGCAATTGACTCTCTTTTCCACAGAACAGATTAACACACACACACACACACACACACACACACACACAAACACAAACACACACAAAAAGAGGTCTGCATGACGTATTTTTTGCAGGTGGGTTGATTGTGTAGGAAATTCATTAGCTCAGTGGTAGCAGGTCTACTTCAATCCCCAGCATGTGAAGGATATCCGTGAAGGATAAGACTATCAATGGTACTGGTTTTGATGATTACATGTTACCAGGGATCATAACTAGGAGTGTGCTATTTCACTCATGTCCTTCTTGTGGGTTTCCCACACGTCATAGTTTGAATAAAGCTATAACAGGACATATCAGAGCCAGCATGGTGTAGTGGTTAAGAGCAGTGGACTCGTAATCTGGTGAACTGGGTTCGCTTCCCCGCACCTCCACATGCAGCTGTTGGGTGACCTTGGGCTAATCACACTTCTCTGAAGTCTCTCAGCCCCACTCACCTCACAGAGTGTTTGTTGTGGGGGAGGAAGGGAAAGGAGAATGTTAGCTGTTTTGAGACTCCTTAAGGGGAGTGAAAGGCAGGATATCAAGTCCAAACTACTACTCCTCCTCCTCCTCCTCCTCCTCCTCCTCCTCCTCCTCCTCTTTGTCATCTTCTTGTTGTTGTTGTTGTTTAGTCATTTAGTCGTTTAGTCCTGTCCGACTCTTCATGACCCCATGGACCAGAGCACCCCATGGACAAGAGCTGCTGCACCACACTGTTGACTCATGTTCAGCTTGTGATTCACTAAAATCCCCAAAATCCTTTTCACATGTACAACTGGCAAGCCATGTTTTTCCCATGTTATATTTGTGCAGCTGATTATCCTTGCCTAAGTGCAGAACCTGACATTTATCCCTACTGAAATTCGTTTTGTTAGTTTAGGCCCATTTCTCCAATCTGTTAAGGTCATCTTGAATCCCGTTTTTGCCTTCTTCTTTCTGTCCAAAAACTGAGAACCGATAACACCCATAACAAGCTGTAATATTATAAGGGGAACAGGGTACGCATGAAAACATGAGTATATTCGCGGTGTCTTCAGACTCATTTGGCAAAGTCATAGGTGCATGACAAAAGAGAGCCAGTGTGGTGTAGTGGTTAAGAGCAGTGGACTCGTAATCTGGTGAACCAGGTTTGCTTCCCCGCTCCTCCACATGCAGCTGCTGGGTGACCTTGGGCCAGTCACACTTCTCTGAAGTCTCTCAGCCTCACTCACCTTACAGAGTGTTTGTTGTGGGGGAGGAAGGGAAAGGAGATTGTTAGCAGCTTTGAGACTCCTTAAGCGGAGTGAAAGGCGGGATATCAAATCCAAACTACTCTTCTTCTTCTTCAACTGTGGCCAGAGAACATAATAGCTGCTTGAAGGAGAAGCAAGGAGGCTGTAGCTAAATGGAAGAACATTTGCATGCAGAAGGTTCCAAGTTCAATGCCTGGCATCTCGAGTTGGGCTGGGAGAGATTCCCTGAGAGATTCAGAGAGCTTCTGGTCAGAGTAGACAATGCTGAGCTAGATGAACCAGCCATCTGACTCATTATAAGGCAGCTTCCTATGTTCCTATATGCTCCTATCAATTCTTGTAGAGCAAGAATCAGCAATGAATTCACTTAAACATTTACATACCTCAGTGTTATGCTTCCTTCTTTGCATTGCGCTTTACTGCTGTGACCTTTCAGAGTTTGATTTTTCTCCTGCTATTGGCTTTATACCATTCATATTTCATGCAGAAGGCAAAACGTAGCAGAGCTTCCAGGCGTTTTCTATATCCCCGAGGTGCTGGCTTTCATTACAGCTTAGCATGGAAAGGCAGATCAGGCTCACATGATGTGCTCTTCCCCGAAACCCTCTGCTTGCTCTAGAAACCTCTCCGATCCTGATGAGCTGGGAGGCTGATGTAACCTCTTTGGGTAAAGTAGGAGAAGTGAAACAATTGAATAAACAGTAATTCATTATTGATGAAACCCCATGTTGGAAAGTCGTAGGCAGTGGGGGATGAGGTCAAAGCAGAACAAAGGATTTAATCACTAAGTGGGATGTGTTGGAAACAAAGTCAAAGGAATGGGAGTAAGCAATGAGATGCACAAGGCCAACGAGAGACCTTGGAAAACTGCTATCTAAGGATGTGTCCTTGGGGACATGTTGAAAGGGTTCAGAAGGGTATTTCATATGCTTCTGGACCTATGCTTTGTTGTTGTTATTGTTGTTTAGTCATTTAGTCGTGTCCGACTCTTCGTGACCCCATGGACCAGAGCACGCCAGGCACTCCTGTCTTCCACTGCCTCCCGTAGTTTGGTCAAACTCATGCTGGTAGCTCCGAGAACACTGTCCAACCATCTCGTCCTCTGTCGTCCCCCTCTCCTTGTGCCCTCCATCTTTCCCAACTTCAGGGTCTTTTCCAGGGAGTCTTCTCTTCTCATGAGGTGACCAAAGTATTGGAGCCTCAGCTTCAGAATCTGTCCTTCCAGTGAGCACTCAGGGCTGATTTCCTTCAGAATGGACATGTTTGATCTTCTTGCAGTCCATGGGACTCTCAAGAGTCTCCTCCAGCACCATAATTCAAAAGCATCAATTCTTCGGAAATCAGCCTTCTTTATGGTCCAGCTCTCACTTCCATACATCACTACTGGGAAAACCATAGCTTTAACTATACGAACCTTTGTTGGCAAAGTGATGTCTCTGTTTTTTAAGATGCTGTCTAGGTTTGTCATTGCTTTTCTGCCAAGAAGCAGGCGTCTTTTAATTTCATGGCTGCTGTCACCATCTGCAGTGATCACGGAGCCCAAGAAAGTAAAATCTCTCACTGCCTCCATTTCTTCCCCTTCTATTTGCCAGGGGGTGATGGGCCCAGTGGCCAAGATCTTCGTTTTTTTGATGTTGAGCTTCAAACCATATTTTGCGCTCTCCTCTTTCACCCTCATTAAAAGGTTCTTTAATTCTGCCTATGTTACAACCCTAGAAAGCTGTAGAGCAGCCTTTCTCAACCTGTGGGTCCCCAGATGTTGTTGAACTACAACTCCCATCACCCCTAGCTAGCAAGGCCAGAGCTCAGGGATGATGGGAGTTGTAGTCCAACAACATCTGGGGACCCACAGGCTGAGAACCGCTGCTGTAGAGAAATGCAAAGGACCCCTGAGCACAAGGGGAATCTGGGAGGCAAGCAGGTACAACCAGCAGTCTAATATCCCATTTCGTTGCCTTTCCATTCTGAGAGTGTAAGAAAGGACTTCTTATATTCTCAGAGATGGATATAAGTGACGTGCTAATTAAAAATTTCCTAAAATGCTACTCAAGGCCAGTGAAATCTCAGTGATGCCCACAAAATCCTGGTTTCTGTCTTACTCCATTCAGAGACTTTGGCGTCCATTTCGTATGGACTCGATTATTAGATTCCTAGGCAGAGATTTAAGGTAGCTGGGTTAAATTTCCGTTACCCTAGTCCTGAGCCCATGGGATACAGTCAGCTATAAATAATCTGATCGAATTAATAAATGGAAGGATCCAGTTGCTTATTACCTTTTCAAGGACATAGGAAGTTATAAATGTCAGCAGCCAGGGTTCATATTTCTGGGGCAATGATGAATTTTTAATCCTTTGTCCAATGCTTAATGTATTTTGGTACTTAACTTTCCTACGTGTCATACAGTGGGCAAACAATTACATTGAAGGATATTTGGTTTAAGCTTGCTGATAAAAGGAAGGTAAACGGAGTTTCCGCTTTGGGTCTTTGAAGCTGGGCAGGCTTCCGGCTTTTGATTTTTGATTTTTGAAGAGTTTCTTCATAGAGTTCAGGACACTTTCAGCTAGAGAAAGTGGGTATCTGAGCATTGTGCCACATCTGACAGCACATACATAGAAAAGCATGGGGGAAATCATAAGAGATATCTTTCCCCTGAAGACCCACCAAACCTGGATCTGGGTATCTTCCAAAAAGTGCAAGACATTCTGCTTCTCATTGGCTTTTGGTGGCCCCAGATATAGCGTGATGATGTGAGATGAAGGTGATTTAATCAATGCACTTGGAACTTGATGATTTTAGGTTATTGTTACCTGGGCATTTGGGATGTGATAAATCAAAGAAGTAAATAATGAAACACCACTAGCATGACAAAAAAAAAAAACATGCTGGATGTTGCTCACAAAAGCAACTACTCTATTTCGAACTTAAAAATGGAAAGCGTAATGCTGGTGGTCAGCAAAAGAGGTTTAAAGACTGTCTCAAGGGAAATCTTAAAAAATGTAGCATAAACACTGACAACTGGGAAACACTGGCCTGTGAGCGCTCCAGTTGGAGAACAGCCTTTACCAAAGGTGTCGTGGGCTTTGAAGACGCTCGAACTCAGGACGCAAGGGAGAAACGTGCTAAGAGGAAGGCATGCTTGGCAAACCCTCACTGTGATCAACTCCTGCCCAGAAACCAATATCCCCACTATGGAAGGAAGAGTGGATCCAGAATTGGCCTCCACAGTCACTTACGGACTCATTGTTAAAACTGTGTTTACGGAAGATAATCTTACTTGGCAAGAAGAAGAAGAAGAAGAAGAAGAAGAAGAAGAAGAAGAAGAAGAAGAAGAAGAAGAAGACTGTGTGCAGGTCATTGTTTCAGCACCATGACCAGACCTGCATACCTCTAAAAGCTTTCACCTCCACTATCTCAAAGGGCATCCATGCACCAGGAACAGTCTGGGGTTGTATTTTCCCTTGGCTTTTCAGCATCTTCTTTGCCCCAGGCTCCTATGCCTTAGCCCACTACAGTGGTACCTCGGGTTACAGACGCTTCAGGTTACAGACTCCGCTAACCCAGAAATAGTACCTCGGGTTAAGAACTTTGCTTCAGGATGAGAACAGAAATCATGCAGCGGCGGCACAGTGGCAGTGGGAGGCCCCATTAGCTAAAGTGGTACCTCATGTTAAGAACAGTTTCAGGTTAAGAACGGACCTCCAGAATGAATTAAGTTCTTAACCCAAGGTACCACTGTAGTGTCCTAGATGGTGTGCTGTTGTTTTTTCATCAAATCTTTTTTATTAAGTTTTACATTACCAATTAAAATTCAAACATTAAACATCAACATCAACGTTTAGGATTCCATGAATCCTTTGACTCCCTCCACCTTTCCATGGTTACCAGTATCAATCTTTTTTCAACTGCTTCTCTTATTTTCTCTTTTTTTAAAAAAAAATAAATCCAGTTTTACCATAGTCTTTAACACATTACAAGCATTACGCAAATCCTGCCGAAGTTTTTACTTGTTTAAAGTGTTTTCTTAAATACATTGTAGATCTTTCCCATTCCATCTTAAAGTTCTTCTCTTCCTGGCTTCTGATTTTCCCTGTCAATTTCGCCATTTTTGCATAGTCTGTTTGTCTTTGGTCGGGACTTTATTTTCTCTCCATCTCTGGGCCAGTAGTATCCGCACTGCTGTCATTGCATACATAAATAATCGTTTCTGCTTCTTTTACATGGTGGGTTTTGCCATGGTCACCCCTTGAGATGAATGGACACACCCTGTTTTTCTTTCCTCCTCACGAGTCACGTTGCTTTTTGTGTGTGTGAAAAACCTCTTACTAAAATTGCACAATGATGTGTTTGCATTGAAACCAGAAAAGCACAGTTGCTGTAGATTTCCGAAAGGTTGCGTTGACCATCTGGAAAGTGCTGGGTCCTCTTCTTGTTCCAGCCGCTGAAGGGTTTGAAGACCATCTGGAAACTGCTGCATCCTCTTCTTGTACAGGGGATTAAAGACTTTGCTTCAGCTGCATATTTATTTAGGCAGAATCCCTCATTTAGGACAGAATAGGTAGTCAAGCAGGAAGAGGCTGCCTCTGAGCAGCTTAGCAGACACCTGAGCAATGAATGTCTGACACTGCAGTCATGCCAGTCACAGCAGCTTTTATAGGACCAGGTGGAACCCCATTTGGCCATTGATGTCACCTGATCTCTGTCAACTTGATAGCTGCAATGCCATCCATTGGCTGTGTGTGTGTGTGTGTGTGTGTGTGTGTGAGAGAGAGAGAGAGAGAGAGAGAGAGAGAGAGAGAGGTAGCATTTTCTTCCTCCTGGATGCAGCTACAGCTGTGGGGTGAGTTAGGTGCTGAGGCCCTGCCACTGGAACCCCCTGTACAAATACTGTATTGGCCCGAATATAAGCCGCACCTTTAAAATTCGGGGGGGAGGGGAGAGTCTGCGACCAGAAGGAGGAGGAGTACCAAGAGGAATGGAAGAAATTTAAAGACTATTTAGCTAAATATGTTAAGATAACTTAAATAGAATTACTTGCGAGCACCAGATTGGCCTAGGATTTAAATAAGTGATGTTGTAGAATACTATGGTTTAAAAAAAAATGAAAAGAAAGAAAGATGTTAATTGACTAAGTAAATTTTATGTGAAAATAGTTTTGGAAAACTGCTATAATGATTTATATGGAAATTCAGCCGTGGGATTCGAGGAAGTCACACAATAATGTTAACAAAAGTGGAATTATTACAGTTAGGATTAATGTTTGTTTGTTTGCTTGTTTGTTTTTTGGATTTTTTTTTATTTGTCTGTTATAAGTTTGGAAAATTAATTTTAAAAATTGAAGAAGAAAAAATGGGGGGGGGCAATACCTGAATATAAGACGCTCCCTTAAAATTGGTGGTGACCATGTGGTCCGAGCAAAAAATTGTGGCCCTACAGGACCCACACAGTGCACTGGGAAATGATGGGGGGGCTGCCGAAGAGGCCCCAACACTCCCCCGAAGCACCAGCCCTACACGGTGCAGCTGGGGGGAGATTTGCATAGGGTGGTGGCAGAGTCCATGGCCTCCCTGGGCAACCACAACCCCCGCTCACTAGGGCTGCAGCAGGAGTTAAAAGCTTAGGCGCAGCAGGCAGCACGCTGTTGCCCCGCACTCCTGGGCTGCTCTCAGGGGTGGGGGAGCTGCGCCGCTTCCCCCCTTCGTTCTGATGGCTCAGGGGAGGCTTGGGATCGGTGGGCTGGACGGGCACCATTATCTCACACCCTCAACAGCCCTCGTGGTGGCATCCAGGGCTGTTTCAGCAGTGATATTGTAAGGCCGCGAATATAAGCCGCACTTTAACTTTTCATGGTCGGAATTTGGAAAAAAGGTGTGGCTTATATTCGGGCCAATACGGTATGCCCCCACGCCAGTGCTGCTTTCTTGGTTTTATGGTCTGTTTGAAATTTGTATAGGACACATCTGCCAATGGCTTGGTCTCCCTACAGGCTTTTTGGCAGCAGGTGAAAGTATCTCCACGACTTTCTTGAAATGCTTACATAGGAGACATAAGGTAGAGGCTTTTCAATGCCTTTCCATGAGTCTGCACAATGTTGCTTGGTGCAAGGAGGATCTCAAACTAGGATCCCTGGCTCCTCCAGATCTGCCAGGCACCTCATTTTTAAGGTTATTGTAGGCCTTAATTATTTGTTTTCCACTGTGAACTCAATCCACTTTAACGAGGAATTAGGACCAAACAATTACTCACACCGCAGGAAGGCAGAATGATGTATGAGGGGACTCTGGAAAGTGGAGTCATTCATTTTTAATACAAGAGAAACATACATCACACCGCTGAACAAAAGGCAGGATAATGAGGTTTCCGTGGGAGGGATTATGGAATGCATTTGGGTTTGGCAGGTCTCTTCTGAAAGCTCCGCTCTGAAGAGGTTGAGTAATGTTTTACATTGTTTTGCCAAAAAAAAAAAAAAAGCTGCCTCACCAACTCTGAATCTCCTGAGCATCTTATTAAGAGTTGCAAGGATGACGGAATGCTCACTTTATTCTCCTTGGTCTGATGGACACCAGGAAGTTCAAGCCAACAATACATGCGGGTGAAGGCACCCATTCTTTGGAAAGGATGGAATTTGCTTTTGCGCCTGACAGAAGGAGCAAAATGGATTCTATTGAACGATGGCAGGTGATTGTAGGGTTCAGGAAGGGACAATGGCATTAGGCAGGAATTCAGCATCCTGGGTATGTCAACATCTTATTCTTTTACAAAGCAAGTTCTTCAAAATATAAGCTTGAAAGCTTGGGCAGTGTCTGCAAACATTCAGAAGGTGGCTCACTGAGAAGGCTAGTCGAAACCAGGATAAATTATGGAGGAACCACGACTCAGTGACTAAGTCTGAGTTTTGCCTTGCAGAAGGTCCCAGGCTCAACTCCTGAAATCTCCAACTCAAAGGATTTAGGAAATGTAGGAAACTGTCTTATATCAAGTCAGACCATTGGTCCATCTGGGTCTGTATTGTCTACGCAGACAGTCAGTAGCTCTCCAGGGTTTCAGTCAATGGATATTCCCAGCCTTAGTGAAGATGTCTGGGACTGAAGTTGAGACCCTCTGCATGCAAGACAGATGCTGAGCTTTCCCATGGACCTACGGTTCTTCTCCCAAAGTACCAGCTGATGAGAAAGTTGGCCTGGTAGGCTGCTGCGAGAGTTAACAGTTCCGAACTAGATGAACAAACCATCTGTCCTGATATAAGAGCACTTCTTAGGTGTCTATGTAAAATCTATAGGGTTGCATCCAATATTGTTGTTGTTGTTTAGTCGTTTAGTTGTGTCCGACTCTTCATGACCCCATGGACCAGAGCACGCCGGGCACTCCTGTCATCCACTGCCTCCCGCAGTTTAGTCAAACTCATGCTGGTAGCTTCGAGAACACTATGCAACCATCTCGTCCTCTGTCGTCCTCTTCTCCTTGTGCCCCCCATCTTTCCCAACATCAGGGTCTTTTCCAGGGAGTCTTTGTTTCTCATGAGGTGGCCAAAGTATTGGAGTCTCAGCTTCATGATCTGTCCTTCTAGTGAGCACTCAGGGCTGATTTCCTTAAGAATGGACATGTTTGATCTTCTTGCAGTCCATGGGACTCTCAAGAGTCTCCTCCAGTACCATAATTCAAAAGCATCAATTCTTTGGCGATCAGCCTTCTTCATGGTTCGGCTTTCACTTCCATACATCACTACTGGGAAAACCATAGCTTTAACTATACAGACCTTTGTTGGCAAGGTGATGTCTCTGCTTTTTAAGATGCTGTCTAGGTTTGTCATTGCTTTTCTCCCAAGAAGCAGGCGTCTTTTAATTTCTCAACTGCTGTCACCATCTGCAGTGATCATGGAGCCCAAGAAAGTAAAATCTCTCACTGCCTCCATTTCTTCCCCTTCTATTTGCCAGGAGGTGATGGGACCAGTGGCCATGATCTTAGTTTTTTTGATGTTGAGCTTCAAACCATATTTTGCACTCTCCCCTTTCACCCTCATTAAAAGGTTCATCCAATATTCATCCAATATTAGTCTTACTTAGATTGACCCATTCAGATTTATGAGCTTGACTAACTTTGGTCTGGTAGTTTTGATGTATATACTCTGAGTATAACTTAGTTTGATACAACCCACACAATGCATTGTAAATTGTGCAAAATAAGAGCAAATGTACAATTTCCCCCATTTATATGAGCTGTAGAATTCAGAACATTGATTGCATTGATCCTTCCTTCCTCCTTCCACATTAACTTCAAAAAAAGGGGGGGACCCAGGTAACTACCAGCTGGTGAGCGTGACATTGATACCAGGAAAGGTCTTAAAACAGATAACTCAACAGTTGGTCTGTGAGCTCTTAGATCCAGCATGAGTTTCTCAAAAACAAGCAATTCCAGATGAATCTCATGTCTTTCTTTCGATGGAATTAAAAGCTTGGTGGATGAAGGGAATACATAGTGTATCTTGATTTCAGTAAGGCAAAGTCTTACTGAAAAAGTCCCCCATGATCTTCTTGCAAGGAAACTGGTAAAATGGGGGTTGAACAAGGTAACTGTTAGGTGGATTTGTAGCTGGTTGACTGACCGAACCCAAAGAGTACTCATTAACAGTTCTTCAACATCCTGGAAAAGAAGTGACAAGTTGGGTGCCACAGGGTTCTGTCCTGGGCTTGTTGTTGTTCAACATCATCATCATCATCATATATTTGTACCCTGCCCATCTGGCTGGGTTTCCCCAGCCACTCTGGGCAGCTTCTAACAAAGACCAAAAATACACTAAAATGTCACACATTAAAAACTTCCCTGAACAAGGCTGCATTCAGATGTCTTCTGAATGTCAGGTAGCTGTTTATCTCTTTGACATCTGATGGGAGGGCATTCCACAAGGTGGGTGCCACTACCGAGAAGGCCCTCTGCCTGGTTCCCTGTAACTTGGCTTCTCGCAATGAGGGAACCGCCAGAAGGCCCTTGGCGCTGGACCTCAGCGTCTGGGCAGAACAATGAGGCTGCAGGTGCTCCTTCAGGTATACTGGGCCGAGGCCATTTATAAATGTCTTTGGAGGAAGGAATTGAAGGGATGCTCATCAAATTTGCAGATGGCACCAAACCGGGAGGGGTAGCTAATGCAGAATCAGAATTCAAAACGGCTTCAAGTTACAAGAAAGGAGATTCCGACAAAACATCAGGAATATCTTTCTGACAGTAAGAGCTGTTCAACAGTGGAACAGTTTCCCTTGGGGAGTTGTGGGCTCTCCTTCCTTGGAGGTTTTTAAGCAGTGGATGGCCATCTGTCATGGATTCTTCAGCTGAGATTCCTGCATTGCAGGGGGTTGGACTAGATGAGCCTTGGGTTCCCTTCCAACTCAACCATCCTACGATTCTATGTTGTACGACACGGGTAAGTAGAAGGTGGATCAGAATCTGCTGGCTGATCTCTGGGTGATCTGTAGCAGACTGGCAAAGGTTTCTATTGTCAGGAGACAATGAAGGAGAGCACCCTTGGGGTGAAGTCAGATTGCTGGAGAATTACAGTGCCTGCTGTGATTGTAGAGACCAATACGGGAGAGACATGTTTTATTGCAGCTGGGGCAGATGAAGGCATCCGGTTGAGCTGATGCACCATGGCGTTTCTTCTTTCTGCGCTCCTCCCAGTTGTCTAACAATAGTGATAACTAGTTAGCCAAAGGAGCCCCAAAGCAAAATGTTAAAATAAAAAATAAGTTATAGTCAAAGCTTTTCTCCCTCTCGTGTTATTCTGGAGCTCAGGGCTACCCAGTGAAGCTGAATGTAGAAAGATTCATGACAGACTAAAAGAATAAATTCTTAACACCACAAATACTCTCAAGTTCAGACCCTCAAGATGTAGTGAGGGCCACCAACCTTAATAGCTTTAAAAGATTAATAATATAATAATAATTTATTATTTATACCCCGCCCATCTGGCTGGGTTTCCCCAGCCACTCTGGGCGGCTTCCAACTGAATATTAAAAACAATACAGCATCAGACATTAAAAACTTCCCTAAAAAGTTCCCCTTCAGTTGTCTTTTAAAAATAAAATAGTTGTTTGTTGCCTTGACATCTGCTGGGAGGGCGTTCCACAGGGCAGGCGCCACTACTGAGAAGGGCCTCCGCCTGGTTTCCTGTAACCTCACTTCTCGCGGCGAGGGAACCACCAGAAGGCCCTCAGCGCTGGACCTCAGTGTCTGGGCAGAACAATGGAGGTGAAGATGCTCCTTCAGGTATACTGGACCGAGGCCGTTTAGGGCTTTAAAGGTCAGCACTAACACTTTGAATTGTGCTCAGAAACGTACTGAGAGCCAATGTAGGTCTTTCAGGACCGCCGTTATACGGTATCAGCGGCCACTCCCAGTCACCAGTCTAGCTGCCGCATTCTGGATTAACTGCAGTTTCTGAGTCACCTTCAAAGGTAGCCCCACATAGAGCGGATTAGACAAATCCCTGGGCCATATTGTTATCAATGACTTCTAGCCATGATGGTTATATTCTACCTCCACTGTCTCAGGCAGCACGTTTCTGAATATCAGTTGCTGGAAACTGAAGGAGGGGCGAGTGTGTGTTTGCACTCAGATTTTGCTTGTGAGCTTTGCACAAGCATCTGGTTGGTCACTGTGACAACAGGATGCTGGGTACATTATTGGCCTGATCCAGCCAGACTCTCTATAAAAATAGTTCCACTCTTTCTATATAGTTTTGACTGTTGTTTGTTCTATGCGTACAGCGCGTATATTCCTTTATGTAAGCACTAGTCTTGGAGCAAATATTATGATTATGAATCCTTTTATCTTTTCTTCTTCCAGCTGGTGGGCTTCGTCTATGCCTGTTACGTTGTCAGTGTTTTTACAGAAGAAGAAGACAGCTGTAAGTATTCGCCGCAGGACAGATCCCTGGCCGTGGGTCTTAATCTGATGCCCTTCCTCTTAGAATGGAATTTATTTTATTTATTTATTGCATATATATATATCTCACCAGGGAGCTTGAGGTGGCCTACAAAGTTCTCTGCCTCGCCGTTTTATCCTCACAACAACCCTGTGAAGTAGATTAGGCTGTGAATGAATGCCTGGCCCAAGGTCGTGTGACGAGCTTCTTGGCTGAGCAGGGATTTGAATCCTCATCTCCCATGTTTCAAGTCTCTAGCTACCGTCTATCCTCCCTGAACAGTGCTCTATGTACACTTTTGAGTTAAGGTCGTTCATGTTTGCTGTGATTTTTTATATATGCAGTTTAAGCGCAATGCTTTAAAAAGCAACAAAAAATATTAAACGGTGACCTTTCACTCCAGCTTCAAGAGGCAGCATTTTGCCAGTTAAACTGTAAGTTATCTCCCACTTCTTTCTATAACTGCAAACAAGGCAACTGATTCTACAGAGGCTTTGGTTATATGCAAATGTGTTTACTTGATCAAAAAGGCAGGTGATTAGTCAATGAAAAATTCTTTTTTTATAATTTTTTTAACGGTTTTGCATAATTTTATACAATTTAACTGTAACCATTTCAAAGCATTAAAATGAAAAGTTTCTTTCAAACCTTTGGACTTCCATCCTTTCCTCCATGGGTTCAATTTCCTAAGAAAATATATATATATTTTCTGCATCTTTTACCCTTATCTATCTGTTATATATTCAGTTTCCAAAGTTCATTTCACACTACAAGTGTCATTGTATCCCTGCCAATGATCTTAACTGTTTACAGTGGTCTTTTAAGTATGTTTAAAAAATTATTACAGTCTTTTAGAAATAATTGATCTTCCTGGTTTCTGATCTTTCCTGTCAGTCTCGCCATCTCTGCATATTCCATTTACTTGGTCTGCCATTCTTCTCTGGTCAGCACTTCTCCCTCCTTCCATCTCTGGGCCATAGCTGTCAGCTTTCAGATTTGAAAATAAGGGATCAGCAGCCTCACCTGTCCCGGGGACAGTCTATGGGATATCTAACAATCCGGGATAGCAGCGGGAAGCAGCAGGAAATGGCGCTGGAATAAGGGAATTTCCCGCCAAAAAAGGGAAGGTTGACAGCTATGCTCTGGGCTAATGTCAGGCTGCCAAGCAAGGCTTACCTTCCCACTCTCTGTAAATAACAGCACAAAGTGAAAGCAGTCTTTTGGCAGCAACAGAGAGGTTTATTGAACACAGCACAAACCATTCAGCGTCCGTTCTCATCGTGCAGGTGCTCCCAGTTGAGTTCGTCCCACTTCCCTCTAGTTACTTCCTGAGGGGATGTTTAGGGATGCAGGGGAGGATATATTGTCTAAGATATCCTATCCCAACTTTACAAGTTCAACAAAATCAGCAGAGTTAACATTCCCCTTTTTTAAACACATGCACAGCAGATAGCTTGCTCAGACTTTTCAGAGTCTCTGTAAATATTTCCTGGTATTTCCCCCGTTTAATCCCTCCTAAAATAAGACGCTACACAGTCTTCTGTAAAGTATAAAATGTTTACTCACAAGTAATCATCTGTTCACACAAAGGTTCCCAGAAGGCAGACTTGAAAGGTTAGAACATAGTTTATATGTGGTGACTATCTCCTTACGGGAGAAAGACTCCCTTTTCTTCTCTTGGCCTGGAGCCAAGGGTGCATCTTAGTAGTGCTGTGGTTAAGATGGTATCGATAGAGACAAGAGGGACAAGATGGTCGCCAGCCTGTGGTTCTTTCTACTTCAGGAGAGGCCATGCCCATCTCAAGTTACACATAGGAAGTTTCGTCTCAGTCCTGGGAAGCAGGAAGTTCCGGCTGGAGGACTGAGACAACCTTCATGTCTACTCTAGCAATATTGTGCTTGACTGCACCTGATTCTTACATCCCACACTTCCGTCTTCCCGTCTCCTCACCACGTGATTCCTCCACCACTGAGCCTTCTGAGAGGCTACCGTATCCAGACTCCTGGCTCTAGGACTCATGCACTGCACACTTTCTAGTGAGGGAGATCCAACCAGCTCTCTCTCTTCCCGTTCCTCTCCCTTTGATTGCTCTTCCCCCAGCTATCAGTTTCCGAACTGTGTCCTTCCTCGAACCATTGCTCTAGGTCGATACTATCCTCCTGCTCCAGAGGAGCTTCAGGATCAGGCCCTTGTTCAGAGGGAGAGGGGGGCTCTTACCATTTTTCCTCAGAGCAATACCTTCAGTCTGGTTCCTGACAGCTAGAAGCATTCTCGCTGCCGTCATTGCGTACATGAATAGTCTCTTGTCTTCTTAATAATAATAATAATAATAATAAATTTTATTTATACCCCACCCTCCCCAGCCAGAGCCAGGCTCAGGGTGGCTAACACCAATAAAAGCACAGTAAAAACATTATTGGGGGGTGGGAACCCAATTTAAAATACAAGTTAAAATGCAATTTAAAATGCAGCCTCATTTTAAAAGCAGCCGATAGATCAAGACCATAAAGGGAGGGAAACATAAGGGTCAGACTGAGTCCAAACCAAAGGCCAGGCGGAACAGCTCTGTCTTGCAGGCCCTGCGGAAAGATGTCAAGTCCCGCAGGGCCCTAATCTCTTGTGATAGAGCGTTCCACCAAGTCGGGGCCAGTACTGAAAAGGCCCTGGCTCTAATTGAGACCAATCTAACCACCCTGCGACCTGGGACCTCCAAAATGTTGTCATTTGTGGACCTTAATGTCCTCCACGGGGCATACTAGGAGAGGCGGTCCCGTAGGTACGTGGGTCCTAGGCCGCATAGGGCTTTAAAGGTCTAAACCTTCTTTTGGTATCTCTTCACCTATTATACCTAACAAAAAAGCTTCTGGTTTTTCAACAAAGGTTTTCTTAAACATTTTCTTTAACCCATTATATATCATTTCCCAGAAGACTTTTACCACTCCACAAGACCACCAGTCAATGACGAATTCTTTAGTCAGATGGCAACCCTAACAAGCTGATTTCTCAGTGTGGCAACATTTGGCTACTTATTCTGGCTCTGCAAATCTACCTCAAGGTTTGCTCTGTTGGGGGCTTCCAATGAGCTCATGCAGTGACATCTATTACATTTACTTTGGGGCTCAGTGTATTCTTTATAAAAAAAATAATTATATTGCTATTCATAAAAAACATGAGAGAGGTTAACAACAATTGTACATCAAACCATGCAATAAAAGCCACGTGAAAAGTTGAAACCAGAAATCGGCTAACCATTAAAATCTGTTCTTAATTGCTTGCATAATGCTGGCAGAATAGAAAAGTTTGAGGCAGGTACCGTATTTTTCGCCCTATAGGACACACTTTTTCCCCTCCCAAAATGAAGGGGAAATGTGTGTGCGTCCTATGGGGCGAATGCAGGCTTTCGCTGAAGCTTGGAGAGCAAGAGGGGTCGGTACGCACCGACCCCTCTCTCTCTCCAGGTTTCAGGAAGCTATCCGTAAGCCTGGGGAGCCCACGGGAGTTCCCACAGGGCTCCCTAGGCTGCGGATAGCAGCCTGCTTGCCCGGAACGTGGGGTGCACTGAAGCAGAGCGCCCCGCGCTTCGGGAAGCTATCCGCAGCCTAGGGAGCCCTGTGGGAGTTCCCGCAACTGGGGGGGTGGAATAATGTTTTTTCCTTTATCCCCCCCCCCCAAAAAACCTAGGTGCATCCTATGGGCCGGTGCGTCCTATAGGGCGAAAAATACGGTATTTAAAAGTTGGGACAGAGGGTGCCTGTTGAAAACCAGCTAGCAGAGTATTCCACAATACAGGGATGGTGGCAGTAAGTCTTGGTTTCTTGTTATTGTCAAATGAGCCTCACCGACTCGAGGAATGACCAGTGATGCTCTTGCAGATGATCTCAGGGATTGACTTGGGATAAAAGGGTTCAGAGGGATCTGCAAAGGCTTGATTTCCACACCATATGGAACGAACCTCCTGAGGAGATGAGTGCAGTGATCAATTGTGTATAAAAGAGATGAGATTATAAGAAAGCAGGCAATTAAGAATACATCCTTCCACCATGGTTAATCAATGTCTGCTTTCAACTTTTTGTGGTTTTTCTTGTACGGATTTATGTTTCGTTGCTGTAAACCGCTTTGATATATTTTTATGAGTCTATAAATATTCATATAAATTAACAGAGCGCAGTTCTGGTGCACCTCTCAGGTGGGTGCCATTGCAGGCTGGCAACCCCCCCACCTTCTTGCTTTTATGTACTTGCCTTTACGTAGATTTTGAGAAGCCCAAAATGAACATTTCAAGTCAAAATGGAAGCTGGCCACCGTGTGCAAGTCTACACTTTTTTTAAGTGCTCCTAGCTCCTTGCCACTCTTCGCAGTGATTGGTCAAGCTACAGGCCAGTTCATATTTTGTTTTCATCCATCCGTTTCCTGTGTAGCAGCAACAGGCTTTCAACTTTCCAGCCAGGCCTCTCCCATTGCACATATTTCAAAAAGTAGATGCCATCTTTCAAAAAGTAAAAACCAGGACACCACAAAAGTTGTTGAGCTTTTTAAAGGAAAACCCCCAAATCATCTGCCTGAATCTAAGAGAATGGGGGATGAGGGGACACATTTATTTGATCTGCTCCAGAACCAGGGAGCGATTCTCAAACCAGCTAGGGAGACAGCTTGCCATAGTTTGTTTTTCCCCCCAAAAAATTTTTTTTATTGATTTTCACAAAATTGTAAACAAACAAACAAACAAACATAACTTTATTAAAATTACACTTATTAACATTGCTAAATGACTTCCTCACTTCCCCTTGGTTGAAGTTCAATGCATATCTTTTTAACGGCTCTCCTAATCAAAGTTCTTATAAACTTAACTTAATCATTTAACATCCTTTTACATCTTTTCAATTCAAAATTTAACATGTTAAACATCACTTAACTTATATAAATTCCTAAGCCAATCTGTTTCCTGCAAGCTATTTCCCATTAGTTTAACTCAACAAATTTAACTAAATAATCATTAGATTTTGTCCATTCTTCCTGATACTCCTCCTCCTCCTGGTCGCGGACTCTTCCGGTTAGGTCGGCTAGCTCTGAAAAATCCATCATCTTCACCTGCCATTCTTCCACCGTTGGTAATTCTTGGGTTTTCCACTTTTTGCTAGTAAAATACGAGCAGCAGTTGTGGCATACAAAAATAATTTCACATCTTTCTTGGGCAATTACAAACCTGTTATTCCAAGAAGAAAGGCCTCTGGTTTCTTTATAAATGTATGTTTCAACATTTTTTTCTATTCATTATAAATCTTTTCCCAGAAGTCTTTCACCTTGGGGCAGGTCCACCACATGTGGTAAAAAAGCTTGCCATAGTTTTTAGCACCTCTGCGGGGAGTGAACTCAGCTGCTGTCAAAACAGCATCTGTTCATGGCTGCTCCGAGTTGCCCGGCAACTTACTGTAACAACTTATTGATGAGTTCTGGCACCTATTTCCGGCGGGAGGGGAGGCGGGGGGGGGAGGTACTGTAAGTAAATAAATAAACATAATAAGAGCCTGTTAGATCAGGCCAATGGCCAGGGCTGGATTTAGGTTTGATGAGGCCCTAAGCTACTGAAGGTAATGGGGCCCTTTATATGTCCAGCTGTCCTTTGTCAGCAACAAATTGCCACTGTTTTTTGTGTTGAATATATGCTATATAGTAATTTATGGACCTAATAGGTATCTAAAGCCATTTGCACATAACAAATTACAGTTGTACCTCGGGTTACATACGCTTCAGGTTACAGATGCTTCAGGTTACAGACTCCACTAACCCAGAAATAGTACCTCAGGTTAAGAACTTTGCTTCAGGATGAGAACAGAAATTGCACGACGACGGTGCAGCAGCAGTGGGAGGCCCCATTAGCTAAAGTGGTGCTTCAGGTTAAGAACAGTTTCAGGTTAAGAACAGACCTCCGGAACGAATTAAGTACATAACCAGAGGTACCACTGTACGTATTTTATCAAAGTAATTGTTACAACTAGTCCATGCAGAATGTAGGCACCCTATATATAGAAATGGGCAAACCAGTGATATTTTAGGGAGCAGGCTAGCAGGCAGGGCCCATTACTTACATCACAGGAGCCTACACAACACAAAACACTGTTGCTGTATGTAGGTTTTATTTCATTTGTTTTTCATCTGATGTTTTGGAAATGTACATCCAGGGGTTTTTTTGACCTTTAAATTTTTTTGGGGGGTCAAGAGAGTGGGGCCCTAAGCTACAGCTTGTTTAGCTTATACACAGTGGCATCTCAACAGTGCGCCCCGGGTGCCATGTCAGGGGGGTGACAAGAAGGCCCCTCCCGGGGGCTCGCAGCAGCACGAGCAGCCATCGCTCTGCCACAGCTGCATGTGGAATAGCCTCCATTTGCGGCTGCAGCTGCGAGCAGAGGATCCCAGTGCCGGTGGCAAACCTCTATGTACAGCGTCGTATGCATGTGCTGTACGTAACGCTGCCGCACATATGCTGTACATTGCGGTTTGCTGCCGGCGCTGCTTGAGCGCCGTACGGATGACGGGGGGATCCCTCCATCGCCGCTACAGCCACATGTAGAGGATCCTCTGTTTACAGCTGCAGCCACGAGCAGAGGATCCCGGCACCGTCTGTATGGTGCTGGAGCGCTGGCATCGGCAAACCACTATGCACAGCACATGTGTGGTGTCACTATGTACGGCGCATGAGTCGTAAGTAGCAACACCCACCCTGGGTGTCATGACGCCTTTGTCCGCCCCTGCTTATACGTAAATCCGGCACTGCCAATGGCTCATCTGGTTCAGCTTCGTTCCTCCTGATGAACACCCAGATACCTATGAGAAACCCACAAACAGGACCTGAGCTAAACTTTAAGGTAGCTTGGTCTTTATGTATTGCGCTTATTCCTGGAGGACTGTGCTTTAGGGTTGCACTGTTTAAAGTGCTTAGCTTGGGCTGCACTGGGCCCTAAGTGTTTATTGGTTGGCTCGACAAGTATTGCAGCCAGGTCACTAATCTCCTGTTAAACAACGCATTAAGTTCAATTGCTGTAAGTGGCTGTATTTATTTCGAGTGGAGTAGTGCGAGTGCTTTTCCAAATTCTGGGTGGGCGGAAAGAGCACTTACTCCAGCAATCTCTCTTTGAAACTGTCTAAAAGATGTGTTCTTCACGGTGGTTTTATTGATCGGCGTTGCGTCAGAAGCTGGCCTTTAAATTTACAACGCTCTAAAATGCCTGTAATGAACAGCTTGAACCACTTTCATTGCCACCCCCTCTAGTTAGGCTAATATATCTGTACTTGGTCGAGAACTGAGCTTAGGAAGATGCTAAGATACTTTGCACGTTACTGAAGATGTTGACTAGAAGGTAGGAGAGATGTTGTGTTTCTTTCTTGGGGTGGGGTAAGTCTATGCTAGTGGTAGCCAACTTGATACTCTCCAGATTTTGGTGGACAAGCTCCCATCAGCCCCAGCCAGTGTGACCAATGATGATGAAAGTTGTAGTCCAATAACATCTGGAGGGTACCAGCTTCTGAAGGGATTGTCTGGTCCTCCAAATATTTTTAGATTGCAACTCCCATCATCCCTGACCATTGACCTTCTTGTCTGGGGATGTTGTTAGAGTCCAGTAGAAGAAGAAGAAGAGTTTGGATTTGATATCCCGCTTTATCACTACCCAAAGAAGTCTCAAAACAGCTAACATTCTCCTTTCCCTTCTTCCCCCACAACAAACACTCTATGAGGTGAGTGGGGCTGAGAGACTTCAAAGAAGTGTGACTAGCCCAAGGTCACTCTGCAGCTGCATGTGGAGGAGCGGAGACGTGAACCCAGTTCACCAGATTACGAGTCTACAGCTCTTAACCACTACACCACACTGGCTCTCAGTAACATCTAGTTCCCCACTGTGATTATAGACTTAAAATCTATCATTGTTGCTTGAGCATAATAAATAATAATAATAACTTTTTATTTATACCCCGCCCTTCCCTGTTCAGAAAACCGGGCTCAGGGCAGCTAACAACAAATTTAAAACACTTAATTGATGGAACAAAAAAACAGCATGTGCTTAAGACGTGAAATCTCCCCAAGGGGGCAACTGTTGAATTGAATTTGTGAAGCAATCTTAGTGGCCAAATCCTATCTATTGCACCACTGGGAGATAAATTTTAAACAGTTACATAATCTGACCACGTTCAGCCGGTTCATTGGTAACCTCAAGACTTGACTGCTGCAATGCACTCTGTGTGGGGCTGCCCTTGGAGGTGGTTCGGAAGCTGCGGTTACTGCAAAATCCTGCCGTGAGGTTGCTGCCTTGAGCTAACTGTTGTCAACATAGTACACCTTTGTTGAAGCAGCTGCACTGGCTGCTTACTTGCTTACAAAGTCCTAAACAACTCTCCCCTTCAACCTCTTTGCCAAGCTATTGCCTTCTATGGTAGAGAACCTTTTGGAGGCACAACGAGATCCTAACATTTGCCTTCTGGCCCCAAGTAATGGGGCTGTCAGTGTAGGGGGCTCTTTTAACATGAAATTCATTTAACTCTTTGCTCCAAAGGTCTGTAATTTCAGGTGCATGTTTAAGACCTTGGTGTTTATCCACACCTGTTCTGAACGAAATCCCAGAATTAATGGATTGATTAATAATTAAATAAAGACACGATTAAACCATTAATCATTAATTAATTCTTGCCTGCTGATCATCTTCCGATGTCCTATTGTTATTCTAACCGTATTATTTTGGGTGTATGTTTTACACTTACTTTTGGTTCTCTGTACGCTCCTCTGATATTTTATAACTTTGATGGTTATCCACCCTGAGCCCAGTCTTGGCTGGGGAGGGCGGGGTATTATTATTATTATTATTATTATTATTATTATTATTATTATTATTATTACTTGAGCAATATATATATAAAGAGAGAGATGGAGAAGAGAGAAGTGGGAAATAACTTGTAATTTAATCAACCAAAACTCCCACTGATTGCTGGAGAGAAAAGCTGGATTGTTAATTTTGGCTGTGGTTTAGTTAAAGGATTTTGCGGTTTTAGAATATATATGTTTGTTTTAAAATAACTATGGCTATATATTTGCAATAAAAGGAGTAACTTTTATGGGGCGTAGGGAGGAGGTCGATCAGGCTAGGTGAGGGAGGGTGAATCTCAAGAGAAAAGCCAATAAAATAAAAAGAGATGTCACCAAGCTGGCGGGGGGAGAGTGATTTATTGAGAAATTCACAGCAGCTAATTTCAGCGCCCCCCTCCCACCATCCCCAGCAAATCCTTTCCCCCTCCCCTCTTCCGGCATTCCAATTCCGAAATGCCAGCCTCAATAATTAACACTGACAAACCATCAATATTTCACACTCTCAGCAGTAGAGCCTTCCAGTGACCTGAGCCAATTTGAGCTGCCTTTTAATTTGCTCTCCCATTTGTGGGTTTCTTTGAAAACACTCCTTTGCTCTGGAGCAGGAAGTCGTTATAAGCGCAGAGGTGCCTTGCCAGGCGCTAACACAATTTGCGTGCCATTGTGGGGTGGGGGCGGGAGGCAGAAACAATAATGCAACCCGCTATTCACACTTTACTCAGTTTGGGAATGATAGTTCAACGACTGGGAACTGCATTATAATGTTGCAGCACAGAGTTGGCCTGTTTAGGGTTTCAACTGGCCACCCGTCCCCTTTCCCAGGATACTTGTTGTTGCCATCTGTCTGTCTCAATAGACAATGGAGTGCGCTTCTGGGGGTGAAGTCAAACTGCTGTTTTAGCAGCACCAAAGTGACCGCTCTGGGGCACAAACCTGGGCAGTGTATATGGAGGTCCTGGGCTGCCCAGATGACATGACCCTCTTCTCGGCCTCACTGATGTGGTCCAAAGGAGAGTAGAGCAATATGATTGGCACCAGCTTAGCAGCAGGAGTTGCCAGAAGGAGGCATATAAGGCACCATCCAACCATCTTAGGAACTCCATTCTGGGTTTGCCCCTTAACCTTTTCTTCTCCCGAAGATATCCCACATGGAAGCAGAGGTTTAGGCTCAGAGTTTTTCTTCCCAGGTTCCTTCCCATCTGCCCCTCACTTCCCTCTACAGCACATACAGAAACCACCTTCTTGACCCTTGGACCCACTATTGCTCCTGCCTGCTCAATCCACCAGAGCCTGTCTTCTCATGCAGGGGAAGTCCCTAAGTCACTGAGAGTTTGAGACCCATCAGCCACCCTCATTTAGCCAGCCAGTCGAAGCCATTTCCTGGGGTGTGACAGTTGTCACATGTTGGCAGCTTCCAGGAGCCACAGGTGACAGCTAAGTGCAGGATGAGGACCAAAGGTGGACAAAGTGTTCCTGAAGCACCATGACATGTTCCCCCACCAGAGGTACTACCCCTCCCCTAATACCCCACACACCCCACACAAATAATAATACCTGAAGGAGTGTCTCCACCCCCATCGTTCTGCCCGGACACTGAGGTCCAATGCTGAGAGCCTTCTGGCGGTTCCCTCGCTGCAAGAAGCCAAGTTACAGGGAACCAGGCAGAGGGCCATCTCGGTAGTGGCGCTGCCCTGTGGAACACCCTCCCACCAGATGTCAAAGAGAAAGCCCTTGGAGCTGAACCTCAGTGTCCGGGCTGAATGATGGGGGTGGAGACACTCCTTCAGGTATCCTGGGCCGAATTGTGCCTGAAAACGTATTGGGAGCCAACGGAGGTCTTTCAGGACCAGTGTAATGTCGTCTCAGTGGCCACTCCCAGTCACCAGTCTGGCTGCCGCATTCTGGATTAGTTGTAGTTTCCGGGTCACCTTCAAAGGTAGCCCCACATAGAGCGCATTGCAGTAGTTCAAGTGGGAGATAACCAGAGCATGCACCACTCTGGCAAGACAGTCCACGGGCAGGTAGGGTCTCAGCCTGCATACCAGATGGAGCTGGGGATGTGCTTGTGGTGGGCCAGAGGAAGAAGGACTTCAAGAGCTGCTCTCAGACTCCAAGGCCTCTCAGACCTTCCTGCAGCTGGACTGGAACCCCAAATCTTGAGCCACTGCATCACTGTGATAACTGTGGAAAGGAACTCATTCCTTTCTGGATTGTTTTACTGGTGCCTGACCAAAAGAAGTATGTTGTAGTCCTGGATGGTTGTTCCATCCTGGAAGTCCACATTGCCAGCATTTCCATTTTAAGTGTTTATTTATTTTATTGCATTTATATCCCAAGGAACTCAAGTTGGCGCACGTGGTTCTGCCGTATCTCATTTAATCTCCCGCAACAACCCTGCGAAGTAAGTTAGGCTGAGAGGCAGTGATGGGCCCAAGGTCATCCACTGAGCTTCATGACTGAGTGGAGGATTCAAACCCTAGTCTCCCAGGTCACAGCCCAAGACTCTAACCACTACACCACACTGACTTTCTTGATAGGAGTTTGCAAGGAACCCAGGGAACAAACTAGCTAAAGCAAAGGATGGTTACGTCCATTTAATTTCAGTGAAGGTGAATGAAGCCTGTCCTTTAGTCTCCCATTGAAATCACCAAGGCATGCATGTGCTTAAATTTGGCAGGATTCTGCCCTCAGGCTTTGCTGGTGAGCACCTTTGTATTTGGTCTTTTCCTCACACACCCTCACCCTTTGGTTTACTGTTTGCCATCTTCACCCTCCTTCTGTTTTGTTTCAACCACACCATTGTTTTATGCATGAGTTTTGGATTTTCTTTCTTTCAGTTGATTTCATTGGTGGATTTGACCCATTCCCTCTCTACCATGTCAATGAAAAGCCTTCCAACCTTTTGTTCAAGCAGACATACCTGTAAGTATGGGCCCCTCCAGACGTCTTTCCGATTGTGCATTCGGGATGATTTGTGCTCAGGATGGTAACCGGGGCGGATATATGTGGACTCTCTGCTTTGTGTCTGCAAAGGTTTCAGGGTGGACATACTGCTCCGTTTCAAATCGGTGCATGGTCCATGGGTTCCCTGCTGGAATCCTGCAAGAAATATTCCCAGGTCTGTTTTCATCCTGCTTAGGTTATGAGATAATGCAAGACTGGCCCTCCAAACATCAGTAACGCTGCAACATTGGGGAAACATTGGAGAACAACTTAAAAAGTGGAATGATGTTTGTACACTCCAATATAAATCCACCACGAGTGCCCCATTATAATTGGAGACTGATGTTCCAGTCATAGCAGGAAGCCAAGGTAAAAGGTAAAGGACCCCTGGGCGGTTAAGTCCAGTCAAAGGCTACTATGGGGTTGCAGTGCTCATCTCACTTTCAGGCCAAGGGAGCCGGCGTTTGTCCACAGTTAGTTTTCCAGGTCATGTGCCCAGCATGACTAAACCGCAACCGGTGCACGAAGGACTGTGACAAGTGCCAGAGTGCACGGAAACACTGTTTACCGTCCCACTGCAGCAGTACCTATTTATCTACTTGCACTGGTGTGCTTTTGAACTGCTAGGTTGGCAGGAGCTGGGACAGAGTAACCTGCACTCACTCCATCGCGGGGATTCAAACCGCTGACCTTCTGATCAGCAAGCCCAAGAGGCTCAGTGGTTCAGACCACAGCACCACCCGCGTCCCTACAGGGAGGCCAACAGTAGATGGAGCCAGAGCTAATTCTGCTTTTGTGTCCCTCCTCTTCCCTGTTGAGTTCTACAACGGCAGTGCTAAGACTTAAGGGCTCATCCGGACTGCCTCTTGTTGCAAAAACTCCCAAGGCATGGATAGTCTAAGGCTCTCTCCCTCCAATCCTGGGAGAAGCATATAGCCATCATGACCACAAGAACCTAAGAAGAGCCCAATGGCACGTCTAGGCCAGCACCCTGTTCTCGCAGTGGCCATCCCCTTTCAAGGATATCAACGTTGGCGGCTGTCACTACGTCTTGTGGCAGAGAATTCTGTAAGCGAACTGTGCTCAGCGTGAAGAAGTCCTTGCTTTTGTTGCTCCGAAATCTCGTTTTGTGACTGGCGCCAACAGTTTGCAAAAATGGCCTGAGGTCAGCTCTTAAAACGCCAGCACCTTTGGGTTTTGTTTTTGGTCCGGAACTGCATTTCCCCCCATTCTGTCACCGTGTTTAGATTGATGAGGCAAGAGATTAAATATTGATTTCCAGCACTGTAGGTTTTGCAAGGAGGGAATATGCAATGCCTCTGGAGGATCTGAGGCAGCTCCTTGATTTACTAATCCAGAGGAAGGAAGCGTAAAGCTGAAGTAGAACAAAATGTACTGGGGGGGGGTTCTCTTTTGTGTGTGTGTGTGTGGCTGGGTTGGAGGACCCCCAAAAAGGTGTAGTGTAGATTCAAAGGACAATCCTATGAAGGTCTACATGGAGTAGGAGTGTCCGGGGTCCATGTGTCAGTGGCAAGCTGGACCAGAGACACACAGGGAGGGAGGCTGGGGAGGAGCGTTGTGGCCTGGGGAGATTCCTGAGAGGTAGAACAACAGGCATTTTTCTAGTAGTATTAGTAATAGGAAGCACGTACCTAGCCTGAGATATGTGCTTCAGGACCCCACCTTATTCTGATTTTAATTCGGAATTTTAAAATGCTGTAACCTTTCCTGGGACATACCAGTGAAAACCAGAGGTATCCTTTCTTTTGAAGGTAAGGTAAAGGTAAAGGGACCCCTGACCATTAGGTCCAGTCGTGAGCGACTCTGGGGTTGTGGCGCTCATCTTGCTTTATTGGCCAAGGGAGCCAGCGTACAGCTTCCGGGTCATGTGGCCAGCATGACTAAGCCGCTTCTGGCGAACCAGAGCAGCACATGGAAACGCTGTTTACCTTCCTGCCGGAGCAGTACCTATTTATCTACTTGCACTTTGACGTGCTTTCGAACTGCTAGGTGGGCAGGAGCAGGGACCGAGCAACGGGAGCTGACCCCGTCTCGGGGATTCGAACCGCCAACCTTCTGATCGGCAAGTCCTAGGCTCTGTGGTTTAACCCACAGCACCACCCGTGTCCCAAAACAATAATACCACCTGCCTAATTAGTGGTACATGCAGGCATGCAGCCGAATAAATATTATACCTCCTGTGTGTGTTGTAAGAGTCCCACAATCGCACAGAAACGTGTTCAGAATTCAGCACCTCAATAACCTCGGCTTGCACTTGTTTCTCGGTTGTTTGTTGCTGAAAAAGTTACCAGTCCTCAGGACTGCAATTGTAATGTAGAGGGGCCATGCTGGGTGCACTCTCTGAAAATGGTATGGAGGCTGAGCAGGATTCCCAAGGGACGAGAGTAAGGAGTTTCATTGGCCTGCATAGCTCCTTGACTGCCATCTTTGCCCCTCCCATGCTCATTCAACACACACATGCTGAATTTACATATTGCATATTACACATATATATGTTTTTGTTTAAAATATATTTTACATAAAAATATTCTTTTTTTAAAAAATCAAAGGCAGAATTTGGGGTGTTTGAGGGGTGCGGCAGAGAGAGAAAGGCTCTTTCTATAATATACCATCCCCTGTTAATGCCTTACTTTACTCAATTTAGATACTCTTAGTGGGAGGAGGGTATTCGAGGGAAGGCATCCTGACAACTGCCTTTGAGTATGTGCCATATTCTGAGCTCTCATCCGATGTCTTTCTGTCTTCCTTCCTTCCTTCCTTCCTTCCTTCCTTCCTTCCTTCCTTCCTTCCTTCCTTCCCTCTCACTTTCTGCAGGCCTGCGTAAGTGACAAGGATCCAGACTCTGGACAGACTGAAACCACCCATCCAGATTCCCCAAATACCAGATGTCCCAGATGCAAAGAGATGGGAAACTACATTCCACTTGAAAGAACACAAAACCACCAACACACATGCAGATACGCACATACACAACAAGATGACTGAACTCCGACAAGTGGGCATTCAGGCCCAAATATCGTTTTGCTGGCCAGCCACTCATGCCAATGTCTCTTCAATGTGCTAGCTCATTAGTGGACTTGCAGGTTTTGCTGTGAATGAATGAATGAATGAATGAATGAATGAATGAATTGGGGAGGAAATACTGTTTCCCTTCCCCACACCACTCCATTGAGAATCAGAAGAAGGTATTTGGAGAATCTCCACTTGACTCTGTAGCACTCACCTTTCGTAGGAGCCCCCTTGAGTGCTGTTCACTTCCAAGGTATCATTGCTTCCACTTCATTGTGACAAATGGACTGATCCAGTGGAGATTCAGATAGGTAGGGTGGAAGTTAGGGAGGCCAACAGTAGGTGGTGCTAGAGAGCATAGCTGAGCCAATGACCGGCAGGGCCAACTAATTATGCATTTGTCCCCACCCTCTTTCGCTACAGTTCTTCCCACTCCCCCAAACTCCAAACCCACTTCAAACTGTTTCACCTTACCGTTTCCCATAATGGACAACGTGTTGGTTGAAGTTCCTTGGTGGTGGTTGTTTTTTTTAGATGTCATAGGAAAACTATTTAGAACCCAATTCTATGTTATTCTGTCTCTCTGTACCCTCATCCATTAAGGTCTGCAGAGATGTGGAGAACTATGATGTCCGTCAGCCCAAGCAGGCATGACCAATGGCTAGGGATGATAGGAGCTGTAGTTAAGCTATATCTGGAGGACCAAAGGTTCCATCCATATGGTCTATTGCTTGGGTGGCTACCTGGCAAGCCCCTTTGCTGGATCCATCCTCCAAGGCTATTTTTAGCTGGCTTTCAGTGGGCCTACCTCGTTCTAACTGCAATGCTGTACAAAGCTACCCCATGCTTTCAAAAAGGCGGAGGAACATCAAGTTTCTGCACTTGTAACAAGACATCCCACACTTAGTAGATCTCCACAAACATATAGATCGTCCATGGATATCATGGGCCATGGCAGATTTCTCAAGCCTTTCGTGCTAGAAGGATCCTGAGATTGATCTTTGTCCGAATGTTTTCTTCATTCTTGTGGTCTTATAAAGGGATTAGATAAATTCATGGGTGGCTATGTCCTTGATAGCAGCTGTCAGTCATGTCGGCATTCCTCCACGCTCAGAGACAGCTTGCCGGTGAGTTCCAGTTGCTGGGGGGCAGCAGAGAAGACTATTTCCTTCATGCTGTGCTTGGGGGCTTTTCAAAGGCCTCTGATCAGCCAGTATGAGCAAAAGGATGCTTGACTAGAAGGACTTTTGGACTGACTTAAGCAGAGCTCGGACGCGGGTGGCGCTGTGGGTTAAACCACAGAGCCTAGGACTTGCCGATCAGAAGGTCAGAGGTTCGAATCCCCGCGACGGGGTGAGCTCCCGTTGCTTGGTCCTTTCTCCTGCCAACCTAGCAGTTCGAAAGCACATCAAAGTGCAAGTAGATAAATAGGTACCGCTCCAGGGGAAAGGTAAACGGCGTTTCCGTGCACTGCTCTGGTTCGCCAGAAGCGGCTTAGTCATACTGGCCAGCTGTACACTGGCTCCCTCAGCCAGTAAAGTGAGATGAGCACCGCAAACCCAGAGTCAGCCATGACTGGACCTAATGGTCGGGGTCCCTTTACCTTTACGCAGAGCTCATCTTATCCCATTGTCCACAGAAAAAGTCACGTGCCACATATATTGAGGCTGAGAGTTTTCTCCTGTTCTTTCGCTTCCTTATAGCAGCCTCCTCCCCAAACCGATGGCTCCATCTCCCAACCTGCACTGCTTCCCCTTCTCTACAATTCACACCTACTCCATTCCATGTCTACCTGCTGCCTTCCATCCTCATCCCAGAACACAATCCCACGCTGAAGTTGCCATCAGGTCTCCTTCAGCCGTCAATACCACTTTTCAGCTTCCCTCTCTCCCTCCCCCTCCCCACAATTATTACTTTTTGGATCCCATGGATGCTGAGCAGAACATTTTCTGGTTAACACACGCATGCACATTCTCCTATATCCGCTCTCTCTCGATTTGAGATCATGCCCACCAAGAATGCCCTTTGTGCTAAACGGGGACGGGGAGTCGATTTTATTACACAACTTGACCACTTGCGAAGCTCTGGACTGTTGTCTGCAAAACCAAGTGGCCTTTTGAGAATACTGATGCATAGCAAGGCGGCAAGTGTTTCCAGCAAAAGGGCGCTTCTCTGCAGAATTGCTCTGTCTGCTGTGATGCCAAGACCCTGCATCTGTCATAGGCAACCCACATGTGCCTTTAAAAATAAAAAAATCATCTGCAACAGTCATATCGCAAGGACTTTCCAGATGCTAAAAAGGAGAAAGAAAGACGCTTGTTCTTAACATTCTTCTCTGGGGTTGAGAAGCCAGGCGACTGATGCTCAAATATGACATTGTGTGAATCGGATTGTGGGCTACTTAAGAGCCAAGTCAAGTTTCAGGACTCCCTTCTTCCCAGCCTTGCAAGATAGCTATGCCCTGCCTCTGCCACAGCTGAAGGCAGGGATGCTTCTGAATACCAGTTGCTGGAAACCACAAGAGGGTACAGTTACTCATGTCCTCATGTCCTGCTCCCTGGTTTCCCACAGGGATTATGGCTGGACACTGTGAGAACTGGATGCTGGACTGGATGGGCCATTGGCCTGATCCAGCAGGCTCTTCTTATGTTCTTAAGAGCGAAGATCCACACGTGTGTCCACAGCCCACATTCACAGGCAGACAGCTTCTCCCCTCTCCATTAAGCCATATAACCTATAGGGTTATGCTAGTGACCATCAGCCATGACTTGCATGCCTGCACCTCTGAAAAGGACCACAACGGTCCAAGGAGAAAGCACGAAGGAAACACACAAGCAAATCATCATAGTGGCACAGGACGCAAGGATGCCAAGGATCGGGACCACCATTCAGCCCATTGCGTTGGTTTGGTTGAGCAGACATTTCCATGTGATCTGACCTGGTGATCTGTGAAGGGCTTCATGGTGGAGTCCTCTAGAAGACAGTAGGTGGTTTTGGTTCGTTTGTTTTTAATTAGCATGATTCTCTCTGTTCTTTGTTACTGTTCTAATAAATTAATGCTTTAAATACACAAACCTTATTTGACTTGTCCATCATTCAAGCGTTTTTTGATCAAACATCACAGATATTGTCTTCTCCTGTTCCCCTCAAGGACGGTGACAATCCTGTTCTCCATAGCACAGCTGAGAGGGAATAATTGCTAGAGAGGGGATGAGGCAGATACATTGCCATTTGCAATTTTTTCTCTGATTGGAAATAAGGCTAGATGAGGATTCTGGAATCACCTTTCCACACAGCCAAATCATTTCTGCAAACATCCTCAGTTAAACTCAGTTCAAAATTAGTTTGGTATTTAATAGCTTTCTTGGATAATTCTCAGGGTGGGGACTCACCTTTCCCCCAAGCGCTCTGTTGGCTGATGAGTGATGATGGAACATGTGCATCTCATTACATTGCCCCTTGGAAATTGTAGTTTTCAATGCACCCTTCAAAAAATAACAACATACCAGGGAACAAAAATTATGTTATCAGTGCTTCTACCCTCCCACCAAAGATCTCAGGGGGTCCCTTCCCTTTGGAAAACACCGGGTGAGCTCTTCCGTTGAATGAGTTTAAAACTTTTCTCATCCTCAGAGCCCTTCTGAATTCTGTCCATTTAATCAGCCTCGTTTTCCCATTAAGCCCTCTATCACAATCCGTGTAGTTCAGTGGTGGCCAAACTTGGCCCTCCAGCTGTTTTTGGACTACAACTCCCATCATCCCTAGCTAACAGGACCAGTGGTCAGGGATGATGGGAATTGTAGTCCCAAAACATCTGGAGGGCCATGTTTGACAACCACTGGTATAGACAGTACTGAGCTCTGTGGACCATTGGTCCAACTCTATATAAGACAACTTCCTGTGTTCCTACCTTCAGTTAACCTTTTCCCTCATTGACTCACCGCTAAGGTGGCTAGGCCCAGAGTTGCATCCTTTTCCTGTGCCCTAAGCTGCTATAGAAGGGACACGGGTGGCGCTGTGGGCTAAACCACAGAGCCTAGGACTTGCTGATCAGAAGGTCAGCAGTTCGAATCCCCGCGACGGGGTGAGCTCCTGTTGCTCGGTCCCAGCTCCTGCCAACCTAGCAGTTTGAAAGCATGTCAAAGTCCAAGTAGATAAATAGGTACCGCTCCGGCGGGAAGGTAAATGGCATTTCCGTGCACTGCTCTGGTTCTCCAGAAGCGGCTTAGTCATGCTGGCCACATGACCTGGATGCTGTACGCCGGCTCCCTCGGCCAATAAAGCGAGATGAGCACCGCAACCCCAGAGTCGGCCACGACTGGACCTAATGGTCAGGGGTCCCTTTACCTTTTTTAAGCTGCTATAGAGCAAAGGTTGCCCACAGTCTAGGTCTTTACTCCTTTCATTTTTTGCTTCTTCATCCTTGATCTTTTCCTACTTCGGAGCCTCGCTAAATGTGCCACCCACCAAGCCTTGTTCCTTCTGGCTTATTGAGTGTCTGTCCTCCTCATGAGGGGAGGTCTTCTTGTTTATCTGCCTCTCTCCAAAGCTGACCATTGAGCTGGTAATCAGGGAGCTGTTGCCACAGCCACTCCTGGCAGGGTTCTAAACCCGGTTGAGGAAATAAGATAATTGGCCCAAATGGAGGACAGACTCACCAATCAGCAAGCTGTTTCTGATCAGGTGGCCTGGGCATGTTGTTTCACAACCAGCAAGCCAATATGAAATACGATTGTGGAGTCATCTACAGAACAACTTCTTGAAGCTGAATGCTGGCTGATGCTTGATGAGCAATGTCTCATTTTGTGCTCTAAATATGAAACTCCCTAATTTGCAGTTCCTCAAGCAATATGCAAACACAGACATGCTTCCAATTTTGCACTTCTAATTTTGCTGTACGAATGATGTGTGCATTGGGGGAAGCATGCATACGAACATAACAGACTAAGTTGCGGAGAATTGCTTTGGAAAAAATGTATTAAGGGAAACTGCATACTGTATTTACTCAAATCTAATGCTCAGCTTTTTTGGTCAAATTATGTTGCGAAAATTAAGGTGTGCATTAGATTTGGTGGCACATTTACGTTCGCCAGCAAATACTTTTTTGGTTTCAAGGTTCTGAAATTGGAGGTACGCATTAGATTCGATGGCGCATTAGACTCAATTTAATACGGCATAAAATTGTATGTAGCGGGATAAATATGAATTAAAGTGCTGGGACATGAGGGCTTTTCTTGAAAATAAATCGCAAAATGAAGCAGAACTGTGGAGGACTGAACATAAACATTGGCAAAAGGAGAAACTGAGAGAAACCAACATTAGCAGATCAACCCATCCTGAATGTTGAGCCAGGAAATATCTCCCTGGGGAAATGGCACTTGATCTGTAATGCACCCAAGCATTCGAAGCTAAACAAATTCGTATTCTGAACCAGGCAGTAACAAGCCATGAATGAGGCTGCTCAGGTAAAGGCACTAGTCTTGTTACTTGGGTACCAAAAAGAAATTGTCCCAAATGAATGTTTTTCAGCAGACAGCATCATGAGCGCGCTCACACACAAATAAAGTCACAAAATTGCACTATCATTGTGGTAGAGAAGTTGCAAAGTGTTCACTGTAAGCACATAGGGATGGAGATGAAATTCGATTCTGATCACATTTAAATGCAAAACATGAGAATTGAAACACAATCATTCTTCAAAAATTTGCAGTTGTCTGAATTTTGCGATGCAATTCTCAAACCAAACAATGATTACAAACATGCACATATTAGATGTGCATAAAAATGATTATATTCATGAAAACAAGATACAAAAACAAATTAGATTAGGAGAAATTGCTTGCAAAAATGTGTATGTTAGTCACATTCCCTAACCAATTCCCCCAAGCCTTCTTTGCAAGGCTTAGTTTCTAGACCTTTGCTCATCTTGGTTGCCCTCCTCTGCACGTGTTCCAACTTGTCAACATCCCTCTTAAATTGTGGTGCCCAGAATTGGACACAGTATTCCAGGTGTGGTCTGACCAAGGCAGAATTGAGTGTTACTATTACTCCCCTTGATCTGGACACTAGACTTCTGTTGATGCAGCCTAGAACAGCTGTTGCATCACACTGTTGACTCATGTTAAGCTTGTGGTCTACTAAGACCCCTAGCTCCTATTTCCTCCACCTACAGGCAGCCTCTATACCCTTGCCTTCTTAATTTAGCTTTGGGGGCATCTTACCAGAACGGAATGCAGTTTTGCCCAAATGGCACATAGTAATCTGCCTTACACCAAGACAGAATACTGGCCCATCTATCTCAGTATTATCAACAGTGACCAGGAGAAGCTCTCCCAAACTTTCAGACAGGGTGACACTGCCAGTTCTACCTGAAAATGTCAAGGGTCAAACCTGGGACTTCTGCATGCACCTCGACTGCTCTACCCTGAGCTAGATCGTAAAACAATAGTGGTATTGATCTAGGGCAATGATTATATAGACAGCCTTTTCTCTGTCTCTCTCTTCTGGACCAAGTTCATCATCTACAGAGGAGGCTTATTACTAGGCTGATGCTGCCCTCTCCTGGAAAAAAGCAGATTAAATGCACTCATGGCTCCCCCCTGCCCGTTATAGCAAAGTGCCATGTTTGCAGTCCTGTGCCCCACTGTGGAAACATGGGTTGCAGGGAGTGGAGTGGCGCTGTGCATGCAAACACGTGCTATGTACAGTCCGCACAGGCTCCTTCTCACTGAAGCCTGATCCTGCATTATTTAATTCCATGCTTTAGCTTATCCTAAAGCAGTGATTGGCAACTCTTCACCAATACAGGAGAAGTTAAAAGAATGCAGTGGGAATCAGATTATTTATTTATTCCATTTCTGTCCCACCTTTTCCTCTAAGTCCCCCCCCCATTTAATCCCAACAACCACCCTGTGAGGTAGGTTAGCAGCGACTGGCCCAAAGTAATCCCAGTGTGAGATTCATGGCCAAGTGGAAGTTCTTGAACCCTAGTCTCCCAGGTCTTAATCTGACACGCCATACTCAGTGTGCCTTTCAAAGCAACCCTAAGCCAATTCACTTTCCTCAACAATATACACAACCATCCTTTGAAATTCACACGTCTCCTAATTTTGCAATGCAGTGCCAAGTATTATGTATAAAAGAAAGCCACAGAAAGCTTTCTCCCGATTGAAGCGCAGTGTTTGAGGACCGGGACATTTGCAGGGAAACCCAAATGCTTCTTTACAAAGCTGTTGTACTACCAACCTTACTGCATGCTTGTGAAACATGGACCACTTATCAACGCTATCTCCAACTCCTCAAAAGATTCCATCAACAGTGTCTCCAAAACAGTGTCTCACTTGGGAAGACAGGCAAACTAATGCCAGTGTATTGGAAGAAGCAAAGATCACCAGTGTTGAAGCAATGATTCTTCAACATCAGCTTCGTAGGACTGGTCATGTTGTGCGGATGCCTGATTGTCATCTTCCAAAGCTACTACTCTATTCCGAACTTAAAAATGGAAAGTGTAATGCTGGTGGTCAACAAAAGAGGCTTAAAGACTGTCTCAAGGCAAATCTAAAAAAATGTAGTATAAACACCGACAATTGGGAAACACTGGCCTGCAAGCGCTCAAATTGGAGAACCACCTTTACCAAAGGCGTCATGGGCTTTGAAGACACTCGAACTCAGGCGCAAGGGAGAAACACGGTAAGAGGAAGGCACACTTGGCAAATCCACACCGTGATCAACTCCCGCCCAGAAACCAATATCCCTAATGTGGAAGGACGTATGGATCCAGACTTGGCCTCCACAACCACTTACAGACTCATTGTTAAAACCGTGTTTATGGAAGACAATCTTACTCAGCTATGTGTGGATCACCAAAGAAGATGATAAAAAAGTGCATACTATGGTTAAGTGTGCACAAAAGATGCATCTTTGTGAAAACATATAGAAATGCATTCCTTTAGGGAAAATTGCTATGCAAGCATGTGCATATTTGGAGAAATTTGTATGAAAATGCTGATTAATTTTCCATGAAACTTTGAAAAGTGTATCAGGAACGGATGTGGAAAATATGAAGAACTGAACTTAAGGATGGAAAAATGAGAAAGTGAAATTGACAGACTTTCCCATTCCTAGTAGGGGTAGCATGAGGTCAAATGCTAAGCCCAATTTTGGTGATTCCAGCCAATCGGCATTATACCAGTTGCTAGCTGTGTGGCAAGAACCTGCATTTTATTCAGCTAAAAAGTAGGTTGTAACAATACTAGGAACTAATTTTAAATAGGCAAAGTTAGGTTAATTTGTTTGTAAGTGGAGGGGTGCATTAATTGGGTGGGGGCACAATGACAGTATAGTTAAATAAAAGTTATATAATAATAAGTGTTACAGCTTCTGTATAGGAAAAGCCATAGCATCTGAAATATTAAATTTATTGTTCGGTGAAAGTGCCTTGCAAGAATTTGTTACAGAGCAGTCCCCGAGGGTTAAAGGTACCTTTATTCAAACAAAGTATGTTCCAAGGAAAAAATAAGTGGTAAAAAAATAGAAATAAACCACCAAGTTACTAAAGAACCTAGACAAAGTTTTCTGCTCCAAGACATTACATCAGCAAGGAAGGAACCATCTTTCAAATCTGAAGTAATCCCTTAAAAAAAAGAGAAAAGTCAATAGTTTCACAGACCAGAAAGTCCTTTGGGATTATTTTGTCCTTGATCTTTTTTTATACTGCTGTAAGGGAATTCCCAACAGCCCCAAACAGCACACATGGAGAAGTCCTGCAAGATCATTTCGGCTGGGAAGGAGGTCCCTCGGGGTGCCAGCACCCATTCCAAAGCTCCTTCAGTTGATGTCCCCTCCGGCTGGGTCATTGTGGGCCAAAACGGGTCCATCAAGCAGCAAGTATCTGGCCTCTGAAGATTCTGAAAGAACAGAGGGAGCTATGTCATCATACAGAGTCAGACCACTGGTCCATCTCGCTCAGTACTGTCTATAGTGATGGGTAGCAGCTCTCCAGGATTTCAGGCAAGAGTCCCTTCCTAGAAATACCAATGTTTGAACCTGGGACCTTCATGCAAAGCAGATGTTGTGCCTTCCTCATGCAAACCATTTCCTTTCAATTCAGGAACGCTTTCTTCCGGCAATCTTTCCCATAGGAATTGCTACTTGCCAATTCCTCTCATGCGTGAATGAGTGGCAGTTTGTCTCCCACCTTTCTGTGCACAGTTGCAGTATTCTTCCCAGTATCAGCTACTGCGGAATCACAAGCGGGGAGAGGACTCACTCAGGGTCCTGCTGGCCGCTGTGAGAACAGGATGCTGGACTAGATGGGCCACTGGCCTCATCCAGAAAGCTCTTGTGTTCAGTTGCTATTCTGGCATTCTGAGCAGACTATTCCAATGGATACATAAGGAGTGCTTCAGTACAGGAGTACTGCCAACATGAAGCCTCTCCAGCTGACAAATGGCAGACGAGTCTTCAAAACATCTCTCTGCTGGCAGCTGGACACACAAAGGTTTCTGCGAAATGGCTCTGTAGATCTGCATGGCCAGCTGCATCATGAGGAGAAATGACACAACTGGCAATTCTCCCCTTACTGGAGGCCCTGCATACCTCATTATTGGCTACTGAACCTGCTGCCGGCACCCTTGGCTAACCACCAGGCATACCAGTTCTAGAGGGCCAAGAGGTCTGCAGCCCCTTGAATATTTGTTGGAAGTGGGCTAGGCCCCCTCAATATGGAGGGGAGCTGGCCACGTCGCACGCATGACGTCACATGCATCACATATTGTGCATCGCAGCATCAATAGCCGGCTCCTCCAGAACACTCAGCTTCGTCCAGACAATGTGATGTCACACACATGACATCATACACGTGCGACACATGCTGAGCCCCCTCAGTCTTGGGGGCAACCTGGCACCTCTTCTGACCACTCAGTGAGTGTATCTGTCACCCCCTACACACACACACACACACACACACACACACACACATTGCCTTGCTTTGAGGAAGGGCGAGGTATTCTGGGCAGGGTGGTTGAGAGCATACCTGAACCTGCCACTATGGTTAGGTATGGCAGACCAAGGGTGTAAAAGTTACTTTGGCTTCTATCGCATGCACCATTAAGTAAGCATAAGGATTATTGCTTGTACAATGGGGCTTGGACAATGTCCTCAGTTCGGCAATATTTCCTGTAGTACCTTTTTTACCCACCTTCCCAGTTCAAGAGAGGAATGCCTTCATACTGTCATGGATGACCCCTCTGCAGATGGGGCAGCGTCTTAGATTAGGAGCGCATTCTGTGCAAACCACTAAGTGGCCACAAGGCACCAACACGATGGACACATCTTTGTCCATGCACACTTTGCACATGCGCTCCTCCCGCAGCCGGCGCAGCTCCTCCTCCGTGCTCACAGGAGACTCTAGCAAGAGGAAGGAGAAAGGTTCAGGAGCAGCCAAAAGAGCCGTTTTGATTGCTTGGTGCCACACGACAATCTTGTAGTCCAGAGTTTCCATGTTGTGGAAAAAAGGGGTTGGGCTGGAGCCCAGGAAGTCTGGGGAAAATCCCTGTTCTTCTGTAAGTTTATACTGACTTATTTGTCAAGAGAAATTAGCACCTTCAGTCAACATTCTCCCACTGTGAAAATTGGTCATATGAACCCAAACACTGGAATATTTTAAGAACCAAGTAACCCTTGACAAATGGACAAAGCCCCCTACTTAAGCAATCTACATTTCACAACATGGCTCTTTTGGATGGTGCTCAGTGCACTGTTTTGTGAGCAGTTTTTATTTTGCTGTGTTGCATAGGTAAAGGGACCCCTGACCATTAGGTCCAGTTGTGGTCGACTCTGGGATTGCGGAGCTCATCTCGCTTTACTGGCTGAGGGAGCCGGCGTACAGCTTCTGGGTCATGTGGCCAGCATGACTAAGCCGCTTCTGGCGAACCAGAGGAGCGCACAGAAACACTGTTTACCTTCCCACCGGAGCGGTACCTATTTATCTACTTGCACTTTGACGTGCTTTCGAACTGCTAGGTTGGCAGGAGCAGGGACCGAGCAACGGGAGCTCACCCTGTCGTGGGGATTCGAACCACCGACCTTCTGATCGGCAAGTACTAGGCTCTGTGGTTTAACCCACAGCGCCACCCGCGTCCCCTCTATGTGTTGCATATAGCGGAACAAATTACGTTGTTTTTTTTTTAAAAAAAATAGAAACTATGTTGATACCAAGCTAACACTGACAGACTAGACTTGCTTGGCAACGATCCCCCTAAGAAATATGTCACGTCAAGTTGCATTTACTTTGTAGCCATTAGTACTAGTACTATAACCTCTTAATTCTATCACTTGAAATTTTTCATACTCTTGAAGTAGTTGGGTCAAGAGTATGAGAAACTCTCAAACCACACAGACTATCCCTGCATGATAAGATTCAGAATGCTCACAGACTCAAGGCCACAGCTTTCTACTGAGGTCAGACCCACAAAAACCATGTTAAAGCCACAAACCAGCCATCAAAACAAACTCAGATATCCGGAGTTGTATCCATTGTTAGTCATAATCATTTAAATTAATGGGCAGGGCCATCTGATTTTAGTGGGTCTACTCAGAGTAGATTTTAGTTTCATTCTGGTAATTCCTAACAGTTGTGTCCAAGCCCTTTAGCATCCAAACACTTGCCCCAACAAGTGTGTTATGGGACACATGTTTATAGAGCTGCATTCACAACTTCTGTTTACTGTGCACTCGCTGCATTTCCAGCACTGGGTTCTTAATTTTTGGTCTCACAACATTGCTCCCAAATGCATATGCATCCTGTGCTTTGTTGTGAAATATTGCTATTTGATGCATTGTTTCCCAAACTAGCTTCACACTGATTGAAGTCCTTAAGCCACTCCTAATTCGTCTCCAGCCAAGGTGTGGACATGTTTGCAGGAGGTGAAGAAGACATCCTCACCCTGCCAATACTCAGAGAAATGAATCAGACACTAATTAAACTGTACTGATGTGAACAGCTGGGGAAGCACTGTGGAAACAACCAGGGAACACAGCAAACCTCTTCATTGTGCTCCAAGATGGTAATGTGAAGACACCTTGGTCTCCGAGCGCTTTTGCCGGTCTTTAGATGTGTTACAGAGAAATGAGTTATTTTGCTTAGCCAAGAATTAGGCTACCTGCTCCTATCCCACCTGGCCGCTCTGCTTCACTCTCTTCCACCAACCTTACCTGGTTCATTTGGACGTCCTGTTTCTGTCTCTCTCCTCACTCTCTGAGAATCTGCTTGCCTCTGAGCAGGCTCTGTGCATAAAACACACAGAGAGAATATGACATGTATTGGGAGTCCCTGTTCACAAGGTCGGTTTCCCTACTCCAAATATATTTAGAAGCCCAAAATAGATTTTAAGAAGTTCAAGTGTTTACATGAGAACCTATAGCATCTTAACACATGTGTGAAAGAGTTATTTTGTACCAAAATGGGGCTTTTGGCATGAGCCTTGCAATAGTTGAAAAAAAGGGCAGAAAGATATTGGGTGCCTGGACATAGAAAAGGCGGGAGAGAAGCCTTGGGCTTCACTGCGGCACTGCTGTGGGGAGCAAGCCCCTTTTGAGATGACCCTGCTGTAAGATCTGGACTCCCTCCATCCAAATTCAGGTGTAAATATGTGAATAAATCATATTTTTTAAAGCTAAGGAAGCCTCCACTGTGTCTATGATTATCAAAGGAACACAGACCCTGGAGTGAGCACTTGGAACCCCTCCTGGATGCTTGCCACAGCTTGGCAGAGATTGGAGGTGGCATCCAACCTTTGGAACAATATCAACAGAGGTAAGAGCTCAAAATTACAGAAGTACTTACCTTGGGAGCTGGTGGGATGTTGTTCAGGCCAATGTAAGTTGTCCTCCTGGAAACAAATGATATGCATCATTTTGTAATAACTGCATTCATGTGCACACTTGCACACACAAACAGACACATGCACATGCACAAGCACACACACTCACCGGGAGTATAGGATTGATATGCGCTTCTTGAACACTGTTGATGAAGTCACTCCCTCTGGACTGCTGCAAGAATTTACACCTATAGATGTGGGATGGGAGAAGAGAAGATGAAACAGTCCCAATACTGTGACGGCCATGTAGAAAGAATCTAAAATCTAAACTCTCATAGGAATAGCAGTGATACTCGAAGCATCACAGATAGCGTTTACTTTTATTGCAGGTCATCAGTTATTGCCATCAGTCATAGCACATCACCAAAGTGGATTTCACTTGCACTCAGACTGTGACATTTTGGCCTTCTGTCCTCCCTTTGAACTGTTGAATCAGACTGTACAACAAAATGCTTTGGGAATTCTCACTATTTTCCAGAAGTCGCTTGCCACACAGGAGGAGGGGAGGGTGTGTGAGGATCAAAGAAAAAAAGCCCCAGCCATAATAATAATATTACTATAATAATAATAATAGTAGTGTTGATCAGAAAGGGGGAAAAATACCTGTGTTTGCAGCTGCAAATATGTGAAATGGTTTAGGAACTTGTTGCTACACTTCTACATAAAAAAAGACAGCCAGCAGTGACCTCTTGCACAGAATGCAAAAAGGATGCAGAATAGCAAGCTGGTGAGTATTCAGTGCGGAACTGCAATGCGCATCCATTCAGTCCAGTGTGTTCACTAGATAGTCAGGGGGTCTGTGCCTTTCTAGCAGAAATCATGTGCAATTAAGCTAGGTCTCTCTGCTTTCAAAGCAGGAAAAGAACGCTAGCATCTGAACGCTTAGGCAAACAATTGGAAAATCCTATCCTTGTAAACACTGAATATCTACTTCTGGGCACAGGTTTCCTGAACATGCAAGGTTATTGTTTAACAAGAGTTTCCAAGTTGAATCTGGGAAAGTTGGCATCACCAGTTAGGTGGGTCAACTTGCTATTGTCCTGTGGGACGTTACTAGCTATACGCAGGAGGTTTGTGAATCCACATATCAATTGTTCTCTGTTCCTGAAAGAGGAGTGTGTGTTTGTAAGTGTGTGAGGGTCAATAGGGATGTGTTACCTTGGAAACCAAACAGCATGCTCCATCCATGGGTCATCTCCACGCTCCCAGTTCCTCAAAGCACCATCACAGTAGAAACACCGCACAAAATCCCCCTGGCCTGAAAACAGCCATGGCAAGAGGTCTCATGTTAATCACTTAAAAGCTGAAACCGCTGCAGAGGCCCACAAACCTTTTGGGGCCAGGGGACACATTTAAAATTTTGAGAAAGTGACATGGGCACTGGCTGCAAAAGGATTGTCTTCCAAAGTGCAAGAGGTTAACCCAATGCAAACAGAAGTGAAGCAAGAAGATTGGTCTCTCTTGTATTGTGGCTTTCCAAGGAGATATTTATGGAGGCTTTTTGTGGGCACCATAGGGGATACTGCTGGGCAAACTGGCACTTGTGGGCACCACATTGGCAACCACCACAGAGAATGTGCATACTTCATATTAGCTGCACACTGACACTCCATGACGATGCTGATACCTTACAGCAGGACAAGGGAACCTTTCTAGCCCCATGGGCCAGATCCTTCTCAAGATCAGCCTTGTTGGCCAAATTTGGCAAGTGGATGGAGTTGACCAACAGTCCAATACATGATGTCACAATGACAACATTTGCAGAGTGCTTTGAAGTCGCAAGTGCTGTTAAATGGGAGGTTTGCCCATCGCCCATTTTTGCAGGGGATAAAATGGGGGAGGGAGAATCCAAACTGGCAGCGCTCCCTCGTTGGGACTGGAGACTGGGGCAGGAAAGAGGAATAGCCACTCTGCAGAGATGTTCCTCCACCCAACCCAACCAAGAGCCCCACAGCACCAAAAGCCCCCACATACTCCAGACAGAGACACTCATCCCACCTTCAATGAGGAGCATGGGGTTTCGATCCTGCAGGTGCTGTTTTTGCATTTGGGAAAAGCTCTTGTGAAGCACCACCCCATAGTATCAAAAACTGCACCCATCTCAAACCAGAGCAGCACTTTCACAAAGGAATTTCAGGCTGCCACCGCTCTTGTTTGAGCCTCCCAAAACTTCTGAAAGCTAAACGCTTTTTCAGCTCTGGTTTTATTTATTCATTTTTCATATAACTTTTTTAAACATTTGGTATCTTTTGTTTGCAAACTGCTTAGGGGGAATGGCTTCATTCTAGCAAGCTGTATATAAATTTCATTACGCCAATAATAATATAAAACAGCATAACCCCTTTTTTCAGTTCTTTTGAGCTTACATACCTGTGTAGAAAAATCCTGCTCTGGCGAGCGACTCTGGAGTCACCCGAGCAGAAGCTGGCCAATTTTCAAAAGTCTCCAGGCGATCTCCTTCCATCTCCATATCTGGGTATTCTGGTTGAAAGTCTACAGTAGCCTCTTCCATGCTTAAGTTTTGCAACATGCCAAGGAACTGTCCATCCACAGCATCCTGGAGGCCCTCAGTCTGAGGCATTTCTTGGTTTCCTACATCCTTCCCCTGGATGAAAGAGCAGCTTGGGAAGAACTTCTTGTGCTCTGCCTTGGGGTCATCCTCAGCAACCCAGTCAAACAACACCCCACCGCAGCAAAAACATTTCACTCTGTCCTCAGGCCCAATGAAAAAGAAGCCAGCAGCGGCCAGGTCAGCTGGGGAAGTAGGAAAGCTCTCCGGCCAATGCTGGAAAGTCTGTAGGCGCGTCTCCTCAAATTGCATGCTGGACTGGGACAGCCAGGAACGTCTGTTCCTAGATGCTCTTGCAGATGAGCTGTCTTCCATGTCCCTCTTCATTGAAACGATATTAGCCATTATATTATCGACAAGCTGGTTGATTTCAATGGCAGTCTGCCGCCAATAAGTAGCCTGCATCCCTTAGCTCTCTCTGGCTCAGCCTCCTGCGAATTCTGGAAAGCTCTTGAACTCAGAAAAGCCACACAGGCTCCCAAACAGCAGGCAGGCACAAGGTTCCGGTTTTTCTACAGCCTGCTGATTTGGTAGTTGCTGCAGTACAATCGCTGCCGTTCCACCTGGACAGAGAACAAAAAGTTTTACAGGAAGACAAGGGGGGTGGGGAGACATTTGTGTGTTTTGGTGAAAAAGAAGGACAGAAGAATTCAGCAGTGGCTTAAAGTGGAGGCAACAAATTTGTGCAATAACTCTTTTTTTAGACTGAATGCATCCATTAATTCTGGGCATTGTAACAGCAGGACAAAAAGGAGGAGTCAGTGACTTATTTAATGACTAAACAAATTTTAACATTTTGTTCTATTTGCAGAGACAAGAAATGCAAAAGATCAATTTTAAATATCAAAGCCTCCAACTCACTGGTCCCATTTACAAAAACCTCTCTGTTACAAGTTACATTTGACAGCCAAATTGTCATCTACAGTGCCATTTCCCCTTAAGTATAGCTGATAATTAGGTGGGATGCGTTAATGGACTTGCTCCAGCCAACATCACACAGGGAAGCTAGAGATGCTTGGGGAGAAAGGCAATCGACTTATAATCTCTTGCACGCAATTGTCAAGGAAGTCAACTCTGTTTGTGGGGGCAGGATGAGATCACCCAATCTGCAGTTGTGAGATTATTTTGTTCCCACACCCACCCAAAACAGAGGTTCAAGTCAATGATGAAAGTGTTAAGAGGGCTTTCCGGCATCAAATACTAATAATTTGTACAAGAACAATGAGCCAATTAAACCAGAATAAATGTGAATACAAGACAAAATGATAATTCTGAAAGCTCACGTGCTTTTTCTTTCTTTAAAGGGCAAGGGGAGATAATCTGTGACCTTTCAGATATTACTGGACCACAGCTCCCATCACTCTTGAACATTAACCAGGCTGTCTGAGGCTGATGTGGGTTGTGGCAACATCTGGAGGGCCAGAGGTTATCCCCCCCCCCCAGCTCAAAGGTCTATAAGTGTACAGTGCAGCAGGTCCTTAAAAGAGGCATCTCCCCAATTTCCCATGCCTACACAGGAATGCATTTAGTGCAGTGCATAGTACAGTTATAGTGCAATATCAGACTATGCAGCTTAGCGGCTCAGAGCTCACTCTCTTCACAATCATGCAACCACACAAATCTATAGTTGCAGGTTTTGAAGACTTTTTATTTATTAGTTATATCCCACATTCTTCTTCAAGGCAGAATACATGGTTCCCCCGCTGCCTCAATTAATCTCCACAACAATCCTGTGAGGCAAGTTAGGCTGGGAGGCAGCGACTGGTCCAGGTCACCCAGTGAGTTTCATGACCAAGTGGGAATTTGAAGCCTGGTCTCCCAGGTCCAAGTGAGACACACTAATCATTGCACCCTACATCTTAAGGCATCATTGTTGTTTGCAGGTATAGCAATCCTGTTTTATAGACTGTAGAGGATAGGAACAAGATTTTAAGAATTGTATGACCATTCAATTAACCCACATCAGAGAAACTATGCAAACTCCTGCCTTGTAGGGTTTAGTGTTACATAGGTTTTCATTACCCATTTTGTTTCTGTATATGTGATAAGTGAGTTATGATTCCTTTGCTTTCTAATTCACTTCCTTTTTTTTAAGGGAGGGGATTACAACAGGTAGCCGAGCTTCCCAATGAACATGGTAAGGCAGTGGTTCCCAATTAGATAATTACTGAGGACCCCCTATTTTAAAAAGCCAAGCCACTGGCCCCCTTCTTTTGAAAGTTTTGATAATTCTATAGTAGTTACCTCTGCAAAGCATTTTTTAACAAACTGTGGGGCAACACTAAAACAGACCAAAAATTTGAGATATTACCATGCAAAAATAACAAAAAAAAACTTGGTGGGAGGCAAAGAATGGGGATATGGACCCCCTGGGTGTGTTCTGCAGACCCCTAAATGGGAACCACTATGATAGGGGATTATTTGAGGGTTAGCACCCTGTGTAAAATGAGAGAAGCCAGACCAGCACAGCACAGCACATCTTCAAGCTCAGTTGCTACCTGAAGATTGCCAGCCATTTCTACCCCTCCTTTTCCCGTTAACATGGTAAAATATATCATGGCGTATACTCAGATAGGCAAAACATATCTACACAATAAATAAGCTCTGTAGAGCTCAAGCAAATAAACCAAACCTCAGGACCAAGTTAATATCCACTACTATACTTAAAGCCTCTAAATATTCAACAGCATTATTACAACTAGACCTCAATACATTTTGTTCTGTATGCATGCAGGGTACTTACTTAACCAGAACAAACTGGAAGATCACTCAACCACAAAGCAGAGAACAAGTGTCTAACACTAGCTTCTGGGGCCCCTTTACCTTCCAATCTCCACCCAAGCAATTAACCAATTTGTGCTTCGAATCAAACATTTAAAGCTGCAAGCAGTTCGTAACCTGACCGAAGCAAAAAACCTGATAAGCCAGTGAGGTGCACAGAAAGACACTGGAGTGTAGAAACCACCATCCCGTGGAGACGTGGGTTCAGCTCTTCACTCGTGCAAGCTCAGTGAAGTAGCTTTGGACACAAAACGGGGAGTGGGAGGCAGAAGGATGCGTGTCATGCTCTGAGCTCCTTGGAGGGAGGGCGGAACAGAAATGTGATAATAAATAAGATGCTCATTCCCCTTGCTTGCCACTTCAGAGCTCGATCTCTCATTTGTGTTTGCCTTATTCTGAATAAGTTTAGTAGCAGTGCCATCCAGATGCCCAAACTTCGAACCTCTGTTGGAGGAGACCAGTCGGAGGGCAGATATTTGGTTGTAACAAGAAGTGTGCTCAAGTTGGTTAGAGAATGGGGTGATAATGCCAGGGTTGCAAATTCGATCCCTGTATGGGACAGCTGCATGTTCCTGCATTGCAGGGGGTTGGATGAAATGATCCTCAGGATCCCTTCCAACTCTACAATTCTATGAATGCCCTCCTCGCCCCTCATCAGGGAGGCTCCTTTAACAATTCAAGAACAACTGGGTGTGGTGATTTATTTATTTTAAACCAACCCTGTTACTCTCACACACAGTTTTTTTGTGACAGTACTCACAAGTACAGAGTACCAGCCACACTATGTGCATTCACTATTAGACTTGTTAAATGACCAGGTTTTAAAATGTGCTCCAAAAGCAAGCAATACTCATATGATCAGGATTGCCTTTAAAAGACCCCTATTTTTTTTTAAAAAAACACACATATGGATTCACTGGTTTTGTTAGGATCAAGTACTTATTAAACTCTGTATTGGTTGGGATCCTGGTAATTAAAGGAAGGCCTCCTCCCACATCAACCTCCGTAGACATCTATAAAATCAGTTTCAGGCTTCGGGGGCTTGGCTCCCCCCCCCCCCTTGGTAGTAGATAAGCAGTACAAAGAGAAAGCAGTCTTTTACCAGTAACAGAAATGTTTAATGAATGCAGCAAAAGCACAAGCGGCCATTCTCGGAGTGCAGATGCTCCCAATTAAGGTTCTGCCCACTTCCCTCTGGTCACGTACGCCCTCTCATCTCCTAGCCACCTGTTCTCTCAACAACTGAGCCTTTTGCGAAGCCACCTTAACTAATCCCCTAGCCGTGGGACTGAGAGGCTGCACATCTTCCAGTGAGAGAGAATCGGCTAGCTCGCTCTCTTCCCGTTCTTCTTCTTACTGTTCACCTCCCAGTTCTGCCCAACTATCATCTTCCAAATTGTGCCCCTCAGCAAACCATTGTTCCAAATCAACACTACTGCCCTGCTCCTGTGGAGTTTCAGGATCCTGGCCATGAACAGGGGGAAGAGGTAGGCTCCCACCATTCCTCATAGTTGTACTCCTCAGCCTGGTCTCTGACAATCAGAAGGTTTGGGCAGAGTGATTTAGAAGCTCGTGCATGGACTGATCGGCCACAGGGCTGTGCAATCTAAGGCTACTGGGGGGAGTCACTTCACCATTCCTTGAGGGCTTCCAAGTGGCGGATAGAAGTACATGACTGGTATGCATATATTGCTTGGTGCTCAGGAATGAAATCATCTTCTTCTCACTCGTGTTTTGTATTGTTTCTGAATCTTTTTTAAAAGAACCACTTCACATTTGACAAGACACCCACCACTTGCATTTAGCAAGACCCCCCCCCAAATGTTGCCCAAAATGGAATGCGATCCTCAGGTTGAAAAAAAAATCCCAAAATATTCCTCACCCCGTCTTTCCCCAAATAGATTTATCCTTTAGGTTCCAGGCAAAGTCTTGTAGGTATTTTTCAGCACCACCTTCCAGTTATGACATTTATTGGTTTTTTTATGTTGCTGTTTTTATTTGCTATGTTATAAACCTAACCTGGGACCTTTTGGATAAACAGCAGTCTACAACACTGAAACAAACAAGCCTAGTTAAGGCTGCGGAGAAATAGAAGGCCATGCAGTGCTTTTGCGCAAACTTTGGCACTCTGGTCTGTCCCCTAGTGCAGATAGCAGCTCTGAACTCACTGCTTGTGCTTTGAACCATTAGGAGCTCTGCAAAACCTTCACTGAAGCTTTGTGTGTGTCACACGTTGACAAGAAAGCCCAGGGTAGGATGCAATGGAATCACCAAGGGGAGGAAAGCTCCCTGAAACTCAGGGAAGTGTAACAAAGCCTGTTGTGAACTGACTGGTGGTGGGTGAAGCGAAGGGCCGTCTGTGGCCTCAGCCCAAACACATCATCCTGCCTTATTGCAACTCACGTATACAAAGTACTCTTCATTTAGTTGCATTTGACAGGCTTTCAAAAGTGGGCTTTTTGGAGGTTGATGAGGTTTCTGTGTTACATCCATTGAGCCCTTTGTGGCAGGAGTCAGTTTGCTTCTACTGTGTGTCTCAGAAGAATCAGTTCTTTTCTATTCATTCAACAACAACAAATAATAATAATAATAATAATCCTTTGCTACCAACATTGGGTCTGTAAAGAATCCCTATAGTAAAGAATTTGTTGAAGGTTTGATGCATCACCCTTCTATTCCCATGGAGACCTTTATTCAGAAGCAAGTCCCATTAAGTTAAATGGAATTCACTCCCAGGTGTGTATAATTGCAATTAATTTGTTGTGACACAGCAGAACCAGATGTTTGGTGCTATGTCTTTAATTTCCCAGTTAGCGCCAGGAATTGGTTCTTAGGCTTTCTTCAGGTCTCCTTAAGCGGGAGAGCTTGCAGCCTTCCAGATGCTCTGAGTCTCCAACTCCCATCAGCCCCGAACAGAAGGGCCCAATGGTCAGGGATAATGGGAGTTGTAATCCAGCAACACCTTAAAGCTGTGGTTCTCAAAAAAAATTCTCTGGGCCACGGAATAAAAATTTGATAGCACCACAACCATTTTTTAAAAAATTGATTACAAATACATTGGGGGGCGGGACACAACTCCTAGCAATGCTTGACATGAGTTTAATTCACCACCGGACCTAACGGAGACTTCCATTTTCAGCACCTTGACAACCCAAAAAAGTATTTGCTGGCAAATGCCAATGTGCCATCAGATCCAATGCACCCCTTCATTTCCGCAACGTAATTTGGCCAAAAAAGGGCGAGCGTGAGATTCGAGTAAATGCGGTATTTTGTAGTATGATTGTGGAACACCCACAAAGTGTAAAGCAACACAGCTGCGCAAGAACATGAATTGTTCCCAAATATATAATTACAAATGAGCCTTTTACATAGGTACCTGACTTATGTATAGAAACATTCAACAGGAGGGGTGAACTTGCAGCATCAAGTGATGCTCTTGCTCTCATTTTGAAAGTAAAAATGTGTGTGTGTGTGTATAGAGTAGGGCCGGATTTAGGTTTGATGAGGCCTTAAGCTACTGAAGGTATGTCCAGTTGTCTTTTGTCAACAACAAACTGTCGCTGTTTTTCTGTGTTGAATATATGCTATATGGTAATTTATGGACCTAATAGGTATCCAAAGCCATTTGCACATAACAAATAGGAGCCTACACAACACAAAACACTGTTGCTGTATGTAGGTTTTATTTTGTTTTTTAGCTTGTATTTTGGAAATGTACATCCAGGTTTTTTTTCCTTTAATTTTTTGGGGGGCCACCAAGAGAGTGGGGCCCTATACAGTGAAATGTTTACATGCTTTTCTGAGTGCCCTGGAATCTCCCCGCCCCACTTGGCATCCTCTCCTCCTGCCAGACCCTTGGAGAGCCATCTCCAGTCCCACCAAGGAGGGACCAGTCGACGTGCATTTACTTCTGCCATTTTGGGTGCGCCAAAACCCCGCTCCCTGCCAGGGAACGTACCCAGAAGTCGGTGGCTGCGTCATGGCTCCCGTTCCTTAAATATCGCCGCCTGCCGTGTCTCGCCCGCCTTTCTTCCCTTCGCGGCGCAACGTGTGAAGAGCCCCTCATTACACGTGAAGCGGGGCGAGGGGGACCGTGAGGCTGCCGCTTCCTCCCCGCCAGAAACTCAACAGGCGAAGCTTCTCGCGCCAACGGCGGCCGCCCGAGCAGCACCTGTTGGATTTCTGCCTGCGGGGAGAGACTGCCCGAGCCACGCCATGGGGCAGCAGCTGCATACGAAGACTTAAGGGGTCGGCAACCCCCTGCCCACTGTGTGTCAAAGGAACAACCAGCCATGCCCGCAGGCAGGCCGTTCCCGGCCGCCCTCATGAGGTAAATCAACCACCGGCCATCCCGCCTCTCCTCAGCGTTTTCCCTCGTTCTTATTGGCTCCTCGATTACAATAAGGCCCGCCTCCTGTCAATCACGCCCCCCCTGCAATCGGACGACGGCGGGTTGGGCGGGATCTAAAAAAAAACGGGGCCCGGGTGAAAAATGGGCGGAGCCTGATCCGCGGAACGGCCGCCGCCACGGTCGCAGCGCATGCGCGGCAGATGATACGTTTGCTCATTTCCCCCTCCTCCCCTTCCCTCTCGGGTTAGCGTGAGAGGCTGGGGGCGGTTCTTTTTTTTTTCTTCTTCTCGTCCCCTCCCGGCATGCCCCGCGCGGCAGTGGCGCTGACGTCACCGCCGCCCGGTCCCCGCCGCCATTGGAGTTGGAAGGCTCCTCCGGCAGGCAAATATATATATATAATAAATATATAGATACATATCTATATATCTCTCCAGCACCGCTGCCTCTTTCTCTGAGGGAGCCGCGGTCCAATTGGGGAAGAGGGGATAAGGAAAGAGCGGCCGGAGAAAGGCTTCTCCCGTCTCCCTCAGGCCCAGAGGGAGGCGAGCGGAGGCAACGGCAACAGCGGCTCCCTCAGCCCTGCGCGAGGAGGAGGAGGAGGAGGCGGCCCGCGATGTGAGGGGAGCGGGGAGGAGGAGGAACGGGCGCGCGCACGAACGGGCCGGCGAGGGCGCGCACGCACGAGGGCGGGGGGCGGCAGCCCTCCTTCCCCCCTCCCCTCCTTCCCTTGACCTCAGACTCCCCCCCCCTCACCACACACCCCTCTTCGTCTTCCCTGCCACGCGCCTGCGCAGCGCGCCCCCGCCCCCACCCCTCTCCCTCCCTGCCTCCCCCCACCTCTGGGAGAAGCGGGAGGGGGGAGCGCACCCACCCACCCACATTCCAGCCATCTCCCTTTCTCTCTGCCTGGGTCTCTGGACACCCACCCCTACCCTCCTACTCCCCTGCCCTCCTCACCCGCGCCTGGCCTCGCCCCCCGCCCCCTCCTTCTTCCTCCTCCTCCTTCCTCCCCTCCCCGGTCCCTCCCCCCCTCCCCTCGCTGCCACCACCACTTCAGGGCGCGCATGAGAGATGTCTGCCACCAGCGTTGACCCCCAGGTAAGCGGATCAAGGGTGGGCGTGGGGAGAGGGAAGAACGGGCAGCGCTCGCCCCCTTTCTCCCCTCCCTGCATTTCCTTCTGTTTGCAATTTAAACCTCGAGCTCCCTTTAATTCTGCTTCCTGGGCCTAAGCAACCCACCCAGCCTTGCCTTATCCACACTCGCCCTTGTTTCTCTTTCCCGTTTTATGCAAATCCAGCCCTGTCCTATTTTTTTTTTATTTTTTTTTGGGAGGAGCGGGAGGGATGAGGTTTTTCTTTTATTTCTTCCGCCTCTTCCTTTCCCCCTCCTCCGGGCCTTTGTTCAGTCCCGTAAGAGTTTGGCTGTGTCACACGCACTACTAGGCCCTCGCAGGGGCTGTTACAAGCGTTGTGCATCCGAAGGTTGTGTACATTAAGTGCACGCTTAACGGGAGGGTGAGATAAACACATATGTGCCTCTGACAGGAGCTGCAATTGGCCGTGATTTTGTTGAGTATTTGGTGCCAAACCAGGGTTTGCATTTGTGCAATATGTGAACTGGACATCTGCAGTCATTGTATGGGTCCTTTTTGAGGAAAGATAATTGGATGTTGCAATAAAGTCTTGCGACTTAAAGGCTAATAAATGTACTATGGCGTAAGCTTGCATGGACTATGGTCCATGTCATCAGATTCATGAAGTGTTATTCTGAAAGATGTACATGCACACATGCCTTGGGATGCACTTCATGTACCATACGCTTCACATCTCTTCCCCACTAAGCTGTACAGTGTAGGGTAGTGATGGGAAGCGTGGTCTTCCAGATGTTGCTGGACTACAGTTTCCATTGCCCCAGCTAGCAAGGTCAGGAATAAGGAGAATTGGGGTCCAACAGCATCTGGACGGCCGCAAGCTACCTATTACAGTGTAGGGCCTGTATTACTTACCGTATTTTTTGCTCTATAAGACTCACTTTTTCCCTCCTAAAAAGTAAGGGGAAATGTGTGTGCCTCTTATGGAGCGAATGCAGGCTGTGCAACTATCCCAGAAGCCAGAACAGCAAGAGGGATTGCTGCTTTCACTGCACAGCGATCCCTCTTGCTGTTCTGGCTTCTGAGATTCAGAATATTTTTTTTCTTGTTCTCCTCCTCTGGTGCGTCTTATAAAGCGAAAAATACGGTATCTTCAGCTCCCCTTCCACTTTCTGGATCTTTCCTCCTTCTTTGAAATACATGCTCCACATCCTTCTCCTGGAGGAACTTTTCTCTTTGCTGTTTTGGATTTTGTGGGGAACTGCTTCTCCCTTTATTCATACATGACAATTCTGTAGGATTTTCAAATGGTCTTCTATTATCTCAGTAATTCTTAACAATAGTACTGTAAAGTAGGTAAATAGTATATATTTGTGTCTCAGTCTGTGGCTGAGAAGTAGTGGCTTGCTTAAGGCTACCTTGTGATACCATGACTGATACAAGGTTTGGACCAGCAACCTCACAGTCATAGCCACAAAACTGTATCAAGCCTATGTATTTTCCAGAGGTGTAACTATGTCTGTTGCAGTAAAAACTGCAAAGAGACTTGTGGCATCTTGAAAGACTTAACAAATTTACATCATCAGCTTTGCCTTCAAAAGCTCATGCCATAATAAATTTGATAAGGTACCTAGATAGCCTTTCTGATGCTTACTGTAAGTGCCCTTTGTTATGGTGTTCAATTTTATTTCCCACCACCTATTTCTTGCTTTCTTACCCTGTGTATATGTCATTCTTTGATGTGCTACTTCTTGATTTGTTTCTGAAGGGGGGGGGTGTTTCTCTGGTTTCCACAAGACTTAACTTTTGTTTTTGTTTTTTTGCTTTACTTATTTCTTAAATTTGGAAATGTGGCTACCTTCCCTTCCACTTTTCTCTTTGTGCTTGGGATGCCCAAAACTTTAGTGTTCCTCTTCATATGTCTTTCTTAACAGCCAACATTTCCCACATCTTTGTTTATCAACCTTTTTGGGCCCAATGGCATATCTGCAAATCACAGAAACTTTCATGGGCGCAAAACACAAACTTTTCTGTTGCATGCAATAGGATGTTTCTTTGAAGTCTTAATTTTAGCAGGAGAGTGGGACCCTGTAGGTACCAGGGAAGGCCCTTGTATACATGTGTGCCCACAGTGACCCCTGTGTAAACTGTTGCAGCTACTCTGTCCCCCTGCAGGTTTTTACGTACTCCTGAAGGTCCCAAAGAAGTCAACTGCTCTTTTCTTTGTTATCTCTTCCTAGCGATTCCTCCCTTGGCATTTCATACACATGCTAAAGCTAGGTGCTGTTTCCCTTATCTGTTTCTCTTTGTTTCTGCCTTTGCTCTTGAGTCGGAGTGCTTTTCCAGTGTGTCTGCCTTGCAATCCCCAGCCTTGTCTCATGAGGTGGCGAGGGGTTTCTAAAAACATCAAAGAGCCTTCTGGATCAGGGTAATGTCCCACATAGTCCAGCATCCTGTTCTCACATTGGCCTACCATATGCCTCTGGAAATCCTAAATGTAGGACCTGAATGCAACAGGAGTCTCTCCTCTCCCTCTCTTAAAAAATACCATGCTGAATACTTGACTGTCATCGTGCTCTACTACTGAGTGTTCATTTTGTACTAATTTCTTGGGAGTCATTGAATACTGTTCATGCAGTGCCCTTGACCATTTCTAGCTGGAACTAACAAATACTTTGAGATGGTTCACTGTACATACTGACTGACTAAACTGGTAACAGATGCAGAAACCAAAGATCAGGAAGAAAGTAGTTGGGAACTGTAGGACTTTACATGGCTTTGCCCTGTCTGTCAGTGTAGGTTACAATGTTATATATTCTTTATATATCATGGATTACTATATATATCTAAATTGGAATGATCTTTTGCTTTATTGTGGCTCAGGAAATGACATATTATCTGCTCTATCTCTCTTTATCTGAACATGTGCTTATGACATCACAGAGACCGAAAGGACAAGATAATAAAGGTAAGGAAATTTTTAATTTAAAATAGGCGGTTCAGAAAGTAGATCTAGATTGAATATACTGGATGAAACTTGGCTTTCACTGTTGAAACAGATCTTATTAAAATGCAACAAGATCCTGTGTAGAAGTAAGTCTTATTGAATTTCAGTGGCATTTACTCAGGATGTTTGATTAGGATCAATGTGTTAAACTATTTGTATGTTTTCACACCATTGTTTCTGTGCAGACATCTGTCTCAGTTTTTGTTTAAAAACGATGCATACCTATTTATTTTTGCACCAGCATTGTTTTCATTTGTATAAAAGAAAAGATAAAATAGGTAAATTTTCCAAGAATGTATTAATTTTGTATTGCAGTTAGGCCACTTCCTCTTCTGTCACCAGAGTATTATTGGTAGTTATGGGATTATAGGTCATGGGAGTTGACACATCACTGCTCTTTTTTCCACTGAAACTATTTTTGGAGCACTCATCCCAAAGTTCAAACTCCTCTTGACTGCAAGATGCAGAGATTATGTATAAAATAGCAACATTTGACACGGCTGAATGTAGGAGAGCAAATAGTCACCATCACATTTGGATTACGCTGTTACATATTTTATTTAGATTTATAGTCCACCCAATTCTGAAATTTAAAGGCGGACCACAATACATCAAAATCAAAAGTATAATTTGCATGTTCAGATGAGTCGTTCTTGTTTCCACAAGCAATTATGGAATCGTTTAGCATCATCTTCCAGATCTTTTCTTCATACTAGTTTAGTATTTGGAATTTTAAATCTGGCGGGAAGTTATTTAAGCCTATATATTTTCAACAAAATTAAGAGGGGTTTAAAAACAGCTTTAAAAAGTAAGCATGGTAGACAAGGTGGAAAACTTCACCATAAGTATCATTTGCTATGCCATGCTATGCCGTCAGTTTCCTGTTTTTTGCTGGATCCCTGAGTACAACCCAGAACAGAGTTAGGCATGCTAGAGCCCATAGATTTCAGTAGTCCTTGGCTTTGGCATCTTCTGTCTAGTGTTCTCGAAGTGCCCTTCTATAGCGTTTTAATTGTTCGCACTGTGGTTAATCCCTCCCCAACAATTAAGTATAAATGCTTTCTCTTATTTTGTTACACTAAGCCGTTTAAAACTCGTAATTGCCCTAAGCTATCATATTTGTTTCCAGTATGGGGGTTTGTAGTTTCATAAAGGCTTAATTCATTTATTTTTGCATCGCTTAAGGAAGACTTCTGATTTTGTGCACATAAAAGAGGAGAGGGTTTCCACCCTAAAAGTTATCCTTTTGATATCTATCTAAGGTGGTATTTGAACATTTATTATGTTTTACTTATAAAACTCTTCTGGTAACTTAAATACACGTGTTAACTAGTTAGTGACTTTGAAACCTCCTATCTTCATGGAGTTTGTTTCCTATCATCTGGTCTGCCATCAAATACCTGCACACTGTGAACAGTTCTGGATATGGAGGATTGCTGTAGGCTTCCTGCAGCAGACATGAAGTACTGGCCAGGCTTGTTGGGCTTCAGTGTATCCCTGTGTCAACTGAGTGCACCTAAGACCATGCCTAGCGCTCCCCTGAAGCTGCACATTACAATGGAAATTATAATAACTATCAATCTGACTTTCAGGGATACTTGTCTGTATTGAAGGTCTTCTCAGTGAGGAACCTGTGATAAGCAAGAATCCCAGGGTTCCTTAGACTGCGGTCTGAAAAGCTGACTTAAAAAAACAAATATTTTTGCTAGTTATTATACACTAAGAAAGAGCAATACCTATAATAATCCAGATTGTTATGAGAAAGTATAGAGTCTCCATTCTACATAAAGGATACCAAGACTTGAACTTTAAAGACCATTCAGCTAGCATTTTATTGACCTCTTCCTGGCATGCCATGCTGACTTGGAGGCCTCTCAGATTTCTGCTCTTGCTTGCTAAGCTTCTCTAGTCTTCCTTCTCAGGCAAAGAGTATGTTAGTACATTGTATGAATATAACTCCTGTTCTTGCCAAAGCTGTGTTGCAGGTTGTTGAAAAACCTGCTTGCAAGCTGCTCAGTAAATGTCATTCAAACTAGTCTTATAGGCAACAATGGCATTTAGCGTTCCTGTGAAAGATTTTTTTTCCCCATCTTGTTGAAATCTGACCCCTCTGCCTTCTCTGAATTTACAGTGCCATAGGATAAAAACTGCTTTGTTTACATATGCTGTCACTGTGCTTTAGGAAATGGTTCTTACTGAAACTTCAAGAATGTACACGGCTATAACTTCAGCTCTTTTGTTTCAGTGCAAAATGGTTCTCTTCATCAGAAAGATACAGTTCACGACAACGATTTTGAGCCTTACCTTTCTGGACAGTCAAATCAGGTTAGTTAGCACTGCTGAAAATATTATTTGTTTCTTTTTTTCAAAAAAGGGCTTTTGGGGAGTGAAGATAATCAGAAAGTTGTGTATTATTTTTTTTTAAGGAAATCATTCTAATATATGGTAGAGAGAGCCAAACTTTTTCAGGCCGAGGGAGCGGGTGTTTGTCTGCAGACAGCTTTTTCCGGGTCATGTGGCCAGCATGACTAAACTGCTTCTGGCACACAGAACACTGTGACAGAAGCCAGAGTGCATGCAAATGCCGTTTACCTTCCCACTGCAGTGGTACCTATTCATCTGCTTGCACTGGTATGCTTTTGAACTGCTAGATTGGCAGGAGGTGGGACAGAGCAATGGGAGCTCACACTGTTGAACGGATTCAAACTGCCAAACTTACGATTGGCAAGCCCAAGGGGCTCAGTGGTTTAGACCACAGCGCCACCCATGCCCCTAATCAGTAGCAGCACCATAAATGAATTTGGGGGCTGTTGGGAGGGTGTTCTGACCCTTTTACCCCCTCATTGATCCTTCAACTTAAGTTATCCCGAAAGCTGCTGTTTGATGCAGAGCTTTCCCTCTGAGGATAATGGCAGCTTCAGGGGTGTAAAGGTAAAGGGTTCAACCATTTTCCATCATGTGTAGTTTGAAAAAAAATCACATGTAATTTGATCCTCAGTTGCATAGATGAATGGTTATAATGGAAGTATAAAAGCATTTAACTGTCATGATAGCCCTGTGAGTTAAATCTGTATGAGAGGTACTGGCTCCCCAAAGGCCACCCTGTGAAAATAGTTAATTGATATTTAACTTAGCTGGTACACACTTCAGCCCAGCTGCCTATGTTCAACACATCATGCTAGCCCAACACTTAAAATAGGCAAGTTGTTTGGGGGTTTCTTTTTCATGATGAGAGTTTTATTTTGTTGTAAAGTTGTCTTGAGGTGCTTCTTTCTGTATAAAGCAATTAAAAAAGGCCAAATAATAACAATAAATTACTTGTATGGCACTGCTGCTGAGCAGTTGCCCATCATCTTAATTAAATAACTAGTTTGTATAGGATTCTAAACACTTTTTTCCTTCTCAGTCATGGTAGTGACTTTGGAAAATTTTATCTTCCCCAGTAAAGTGATGCTTGACACACTTCTCTTGTCGGCTGAATTTATTCCTTATCTTTTAAGTGGTTTGGGCATACCATGGTTTGCTCCTTTTTGTTAACTACCATGCTATAACTTATGCGATATAGGGTTCTCCCAGAAATAGTTAGATATGGAGAATCATGCTTTATTACAGGGTAATGAACTAGGTTACCTTCAGGTCTTTTACTGCTCTGCTTTTTAAGGATGGTAACTGATGGTAACTAATTGCTGAAAAGAAATACTGGAACTTATATGGTGCATATTCTTGATGGCCTGTAGAAATTCATTTTTAATAAAAATATCATATTTGTATTAAAGAGTTTTAAAGTCTGAGTTTAAAAATGTATAGGTATTACCTTGAAGAAATGACATGCTCAAATTTTAACAGACCACCCAAAGGCAGAATATTTTTATCAGTGGAATATTTTAACAGTGGAATCATCTCAGAAAATACCTTCCAGTACAATACTTCTCCGTGTAGGCATGTGTATCAATATTGACAGTGCTTGAGTAATTTGATTGAATAATCTGAACTGATCCATCATTTCTTTGGGTAAGAGTAGTCCAGGAAGAAGTCCAATATGAGCTGGTAGCTATTTGCATGGTCCTTTACTGTGATACAGTCCTTCCATGTAATTGTACTGGAATTTTCAGCAAAGCTTGATGAGGCAATGCCTGCCGATGAGACCCTGGCCACTTTTTCAGCAGAAGGTATAGGGACCCCTGACTGTTAGGTCCAGTCGCGGACAACTTTGGGGTTGCGGTGCTCATCTCACTTTACTGGCCGAGGGAGCCAGCGTACAGCTTCTGGGTCTTGTGGCCACCATGACAAAGCCGCTTCTGGCGAACCAGAGCAGCGCACGGAAACACCGTTTACCTTCCTGCCAAAGCGGTACCTATTTATCTATTTGCACTTTGATGTGCTTTCAAACTGCTAGGTTGGCAGGAACTGGGACCGAGCAACAGGAGCTCACCCCGTCACGGGGATTTGAACCACTGACCTTCTGATCGGCAAGCCCTAGGCTTTGCGGTTTAGACCACAGCACCACCCGTGTGGTCTAAACCGGGTCTAAAGCCCTGTCTATATGCTGTGTGGCATTCACATAGGTGAAGCTTGTTGCTGGGGTGGACAGGCCATGCTGTTTTGTTAAATAGGTATAATTGTTACTTTTAAAACTTGTTTGTGAAAAGCTTGTAAATAAATATCTTCAATAAAGTTTGTTTGCCATGCTACAATCTTTCATACACTCTTAACTATCAAGCTGCACATTTGTAATACAACATCAGAAACCCATAACAGGTGAAAAAGGTGAAATTGACCAATTAGGATTTTAATTTCAAGAAGCCCGAAAGTGTGTATAAACAACAGCAACCCAGAAAGTTAAGATGAAATTGGTTGAAATGCAACTTAATAGTCAAACACTTATTAAGGGATCATGTGACAGAGGGCAAGCAAAATACAGTTGTACCTTGGAAGCCAAATGGAATCCGTTCCGGAAGTCTGTTTGACTTCTAAAATGTTCGGAAACCAAAGTGCGGCTTCTGATTGGCTGCAGGAAGCTCCTGCAGCCAATCATAAGTCATGTCGAATGTTCAGCTTCCAAAAATAGTTTGCAAACCAGAATGTCACTTCTGGGTTTGTGGCATTTGGGAGCCAAAGCATCCGAGTACCAAGGCGTTCAAAAACCAAGGTATGACTTGTAGTGGGGAAATTTACCAAAGATGAGTAAAACGGCTTTATTCCGCTACGGCTGCACATGGAAATGTTAGACTTGGAGTTATGAGATAGCGTCAGGTCACAAAGTTGTGCTAAAAAGGTTAGGATATCAAAAATACCTGAGGTTGAAGGTATGCTAGGTCACTTGGAATTACAGCTCCTTTTAGCTTGAATGGTGTGTGGTCTTATAAGATAGCTAAAGTCTCCATGGTTAGATGTAGTGCAAAGTTAGGGTGTCAAAGTGCAAAAGCATCGCCTGTTAGGTAGGAATCACTGTTTCTTCCTATGAATTATTAATGCTTACCTTTTGCATTTGTTGTATCCAATGGCACTGAATTAAAAGGCATCTATTTTAGCATAGATGCACCAGTAATATGGAACACTGCTCCTGTTGAAATTAGAGAGGTGCCTACAATCCTGATACTTTTTTGCCTGTTGAAAATGTATTTGTTTTGTCAACTGTGTGTAGAGAGTTAAATTGATAAAGTTTTGGCTTTTTGGTTCTATATTTTACAATTGTAAAGTACAGTAAGCCCACAATAAAGTACATTCGCCCGCAACTTATGTGAATTTTAACTTGTACACATTCAGCTTTACACACTTGGCAAAAAAATGTTTAAAAAGGGAACAGAAAGCAGACTGGTGTCTGGGAAAGAAGACTTTGGCAATCACACCTGCCATTGCACCCAATGTGCCCAAGCATAATTTTGGCTTTAAGTGCGATCTCCAGAAAGTAAAAACCCATGCGTAAATTGAGAACTTACTGTATCTTTATTATTTCTGAAGTATCGGTCATGGGACTGTAGGAACAGTGTATTTGGTTGGTGCCTGAAAAGGGATTAATCTACTGCAGGGTGAATGGAAGGAAAGGGAAGATAGCTTTATAATATTGTTAACTCCAGAATAGTGATTATTTTAATACATTAGAAGAAGAAGAAAACTGACTAGGCAGTTGGCTGGACCTTTAGATGACAAGGGAGTCCAAACATGTGCTAAAGGAAGTTGCAGCAAAGCTGATGATTATATCCAGCTAAGGTCCTACTCTGAGTAGGACTTAGTTGGATACACCCCTGAGTGGATTATTTGCACCTGTCTTTGTTGTTGAAGAGGTAGGGCAGATCCTGGTGCCTGAACTAACTTGGGAATCCAAGGAACTGAGGCCAGAAGTGGTGACAAAGTAAGCTCTAGGCCTTATTGACGAACCGACAAATCACTGGCACTAGAAGGACTAGCTGAGAGCTATTAAATAACTTGGGTGTGAAATTGCTAACCTTCTGACAAGTAAGTTGTCATTAAGATCAGCCTTCATACTTGAGGACAGGAAACTCTGAAACCAATTTTTTAAAAGGGAATTCAGGGGCATCAGATAAATTACAGCCCAGGCAGGTTAACAACTGTTCTAGGATAACTGGTGGAAAACATTATTAAAGGTATAATTATCAAGCGTCTAGAATAATAAATCTTGACAAGAAACCAGCATAACTCCTGCAGGGATAAATTCCATCTAATTTTTATAGTTCTTTGATGGTGCCAACCATCATAGATAATGGTGATCTAGTAGACATTATTTACTTAGATTTTCAAAAAGCTAAAGATTTTCAAAAAGCCAAAGTCATGGCATAAGAGGGCTGGTTAAGTAACAGAAAACGGGGAGTAGGGATGAATTCACCCTTATCACACTGGAGGGATGTAAGAAGTGGGGTTCTTTGGGACTAATATTGGCACTTGTCCTTTTAAGCTTGTTAATAAATGGCCTGGAGGAAGCCTTGTTTATGAGAATATGAGAAGAGCTTGGCAAGTTTCAAAGTGTTCAGTTTACAAGTAGGGAATCTGAAAATATTATAATGCAAACTACCCTGTGTAAATTCTCGATTTCAATATGCTCATATCACTAAGCTGTGCGGTTTGGTACTCCAAGAGTAATGGTCACCAGCTTTGCTTTAAAACATGTTTAGACAAATTCACAGAGAACAGGGTTGTCAATGACTACTAGTCAAGAGGGGAGTGTACTACTTGTATTTGTATGCCTTTTAACCTCAGTTTCCGAGAAGAACAAGTGATGGCAGTACAGTTATACTCATGCCCTGCTGGGAATCTTCCAGTGGTCATCTTGAGTGGCTGCTGTGAGAATACGATGCTAAACTGGGTGGGCCTTTGATATGGTCCAGCTGGGCTGTTATGACTGGCCTAGGAGAAAAGGAGCTATGTAAAGGCTAAATAAAAAAAGAGTGATAAAAGGTTGCTGTTGCAGAAATGACATGGAGAAAGGTTTTCAAGGTTCAGGAGCAATGACAACTTAAAAAGTGGGAGAGTCTATTACTGAGGTTGAAAGAAGGTGATTAGTCAGGGCTGTGAGGGAAGGGAATGCAACAGGAAACTGGGCAATGTAGGTAAGGAGACATAATACCTTAGGACTGGAATGGCGAGTTATGACCCACCACCTGTTCTTTGACTAAAACTCCATAATCCCTGGCTGCTGGTCATGGTGGTTGGGACTGATGGCAACAATATCCAAAGAGACACAGCTTCCCCATCCCTGCCTTGAGAACAAATTTGTCTTCCTGGGCTCCTTTGGGTGGAAGGGTGGATATAAACATAATAATAATAATAATAATAATAATAATAATAATTTTTTATTTATACCCCGCCCTCCTCAGCCAAGGCCGGGCTCAGGGCGGCTAACAAGCAATAATAAAAACAAGTTGAATGATTACAACTTAAAACAAAATTAAAATACAACATTAAAATATTGAAACATTAAAATATTAAAATGCCTCTTCGCAGGAGGAGAAGGAAAAGAAAAAAGAAAGAGAGGGAGGGAGGGAATCAAATTGGCTCCAAGCCAAAGGCCAGGCGGAACAACTCTGTCTTACAGGCCCTGCAGAAAGAAATCAGATCCTGCAGGGCCCTGGTCTCATGAGGCAGAGCGTTCCATCAGGCCGGAGCCAGAGTTGAAAAGGCCCTGGCTCTGGTTGAAGCTAATCTAACTTCCTTAGGGCCCGGGGCCACTAGGGTGTTGCTATTTATGGACATAGAGGCTCTCCGTGGGGCATACCGGGAGAGGCGGTCCCGTAGGTACGAGGGTCCTAGGCCGTGAAGAGCTTTAAAGGTCAAAAGCAGCACCTTAAATCTGACCCTGTACTTCACCGGGAGCCAGTGCAGCTTGAAAAGCACTGGGTGAATATGCTCCCATGGCAGAGACCCTGTGAGGAGCCTCGCTGCAGCATTCTGCACCTGATGGAGTTTCTGGGACAGCTTCAAGGGCAGCCCCGCATAGAGCGAATTACAGTAGTCAAGCCTGGAGGTGACCATTGCATGGATCACTGTGGCCAGGTCAGGGCGGGAAAGGTAAGGGACTAATTGCTTGATGCGGCGAAGGTGGGAAAATGTCGCCTTGGCTGTTGCTGTAACCTGTGCCTCCATGGAAAGGGAGGCGTCAAGGATTACACCCAAACTCTTAACAGAAGGCAATGGCACTAATTGGGCCCCCGCAAGAGAAGGGAGTTGGTCCCTCATCCCCATGCCATCCCGACCCAGCCATAGGACCTCTGTCTTCAAAGGATTTAGTTTCAATCGGCTCCCACGAAACCATCCCGCCACAGCTTCCAAGCATCTGGTCAGTGCGTTCGGGGCTGAGTCGGTGTGGCTATCCATCCGCAGATAGAGCTGAGTGTCATCAGCATATTGGTGACAGCCCAGCCCAAAGCTCTGGATAATCTGGGCAAGGGGGCGCATAAAGATGTTAAAAATAAATAAATTAAAATGAACTGAAGAACTCCCTTGCTAGATCCAATGACGACATTCACTGTAGCCAACCAGTAGAGTAAAAGGACAATAAGATTGAGAATGTGAAGTAGAACCAGTGAGTTGTAAAATGTGATTGAAATAGCTGGCAAGATGAAGAATGATGAGAACAATTCTGAACAGACAAACTGAATTAATCTGAGCGAGAAATGCTAGTGAGATTAATGAGTGTGCAAAATAACCAGAGCCATGGGCGAAAGAGCAACAGAGAAGATTGCAAAGTGCCAGGACTTTTCAGGGAGGCAGAAGTGACATGTTCTAGCAGGTAGTTGAAACAGAGAGAACGAGGAGAGTCAAATACGAGAGTTGTGCATTTGCAATAATTGGGGGTGGAAATGTTATTAGAACTTGCATTTATATTATATTTTCTCTCTAGGAATGTTTGTGATTGCTTGCACAGTATCACATTTTTATACACTTAGATTTTACCAACTAACTTCATGTGCTGAAATACTGCGTTTGAGAGCATTCATAAAAGTCATTAGGCATAAGTAACCCATTTCTAATATTGTAACATTGGCATCTTATGAAAGTACTTTAGTCACAACTCACTAGTTGGCTTAACATGCCCACTGAAGCAGAGAAGACAAGGCTTATGGTTTAGGTTTATTAATTTTGTTTTTCAAAAAGTTTTGTGTTTCTAAAGTCTCAAAGTGATTTACAAGCAAGTAAAATACAGTAACAGAATTACGAAAGCAGATGAAAAACAGTTTTTAGCGTATAATAAAATGATAGTGGGGCTGCCCGGGAAAACAAAAACCTCTCCATGTCTCCAAGATTCACCCATGAAACTGTTCGTTGTAAAGCTTGTGAACTAATACTAAACCTGTTTTCATCTGAGAGGCTGAAACAGTTGTTAAGAAAGGGGACACTTCTAAACATTGAGGGCATTTGATAGCTCTTTCAGTTACAGCAGCACATAAGATTTGTACTTCTCTCAAGCATCTCTTCTGGTTTGAATAACACTGTAAATATCTGAATCTGAAATTACTTTTCTTGTCTTTAACAGAATAACAGTTATCCATCAATGACAGATCCCTACCTGTCCAGTTATTACCCGCATTCTATTAGCTATCCCTACTCTCTCAGTGAAGCACCATGGTCAACTGGAGGAGACCCTCCTATTCCATACCTCACTCCCTATGGACAGCTCAGTAATGGTGATCATCATTTCATGCATGATGCTGTTTTTGGACAGCCTGGTGGACTGGGGAACAACATTTACCCGCACAGATTCAATTTTTTCCCTGAAAACCCACCTTTCTCAGCATGGGGAACAAGTGGATCCCAAGGGCAGCAGACTCAGAACTCAGCTTACGGAAGCAGCTACAGCTACCCGCCCAGTTCCCTCGGTGGTACCATGGTGGACGGGCAGACAGGATTTCATAATGATACTCTAAACAAAGCTCCTGGAATGAACAGCATCGAGCAGGGAATGGTTGGACTGAAGATTGGTGGGGACGTCACAGCTTCTGCCGTGAAAACAGTAGGCTCTGTGGTCAACAGTGCTGGAATGACAGGCACTTTGTCTGGCAATGGGGGATCAAGTATAAACTTGCCAGTATCTAAGCCAACCTCTTGGGCTGCAATTGCTAGCAAACCCGCAAAGCCTCAGCCCAAGATGAAAGCAAAAAGTGGTCCTGTGATAGGAGGGGCTTTACCTCCACCACCTATTAAACATAACATGGACATTGGTACCTGGGACAATAAGGGACCTGTGGCCAAAGTTCCAACTCCTCAGCAGATCCCTTCCCCTCAGTCAGTCCCACAGCCACAAATCATTCAGCCTATTCCTCCCCAGCCACCTCCACTGGCCCAGCTGCCATACCAGAACCCTCAGCCGCCGCCATCTCAAAACCGATGGGTGGCGCCTCGTAACAGAAATGCAGCTTTTGGCCAAAGTGGAGGAACTGGTAATGAGAACAACTCGCCTGGCAATACCCCATCAAACTCCATCCCAGGCAGCGAATCCCACCCTGTCCTTGAAAAACTGAAAGCTGCTCACAGTTATAACCCTAAGGATTTCGAATGGAACCTTAAAAATGGACGCGTGTTCATAATAAAGAGCTATTCTGAGGACGATATTCATCGTTCCATTAAATATTCCATTTGGTGTAGCACAGAACATGGCAACAAGCGTTTGGACAGTGCTTTCCGCTCTATGAATAGTAAGGGTCCAGTCTACTTATTATTCAGTGTCAACGGCAGTGGACATTTCTGTGGAGTGGCGGAAATGAGGTCGCCAGTAGATTACGGCACCAGTGCTGGTGTCTGGTCTCAGGACAAATGGAAGGGGAAGTTTGATGTCAAGTGGCTCTTTGTGAAAGATGTGCCCAACAACCAACTCCGACACATCAGGCTGGAGAACAATGACAACAAACCAGTTACAAACTCCCGTGACACTCAGGAGGTGCCCTTAGAAAAAGCAAAACAAGTGCTTAAAATTATTGCTACGTACAAGCACACAACTTCTATCTTCGATGACTTTTCCCATTACGAAAAGCGCCAGGAGGAGGAAGAGGTGGTGCGGAAGGTAAACTGGCTCTAGAATGTCTTACTGAACTTGTGGAAATATGGGAGGGCAGGGGGAGAGAGACCCAAAGGCTTGAAAGGGGCTTCTGATTTGTTTTAAAAAGCAAATGCCTATGTTTCACGTCTTGTGGGTATTCCAAAGATCCACAGCATCCATACGTAATCTCTGCTAGTTGGTCTAAGACAGTGGTGGCCAAATTTGGCCCACCAGCTGTTTTGGAACTACAAATCCCATCACCCCTAGCTAACAGGACCAGTGGTCAGGGATGATGGAAATTGTAGTCCCAAAACAGCTGGAGGGCCAGGTTTGGCCACCACTGGTCTAAGATGTCAGATTTGGCTTTCATCCTAGAAGTAGTATGGGTGGAATCCAAGCCCATCCACTACCACTTGCCATGTCTGCTTGCGCGCAGGGGCAGGAATGCATTCGGAAGACAATCTCTTGTGCCTTATGAGATGTCCTTCTGGGGAAGTCTCCCCCCACCCCACAATATTGGAGGTCCAATTTGAGGAAGCTTAAAAGCCTCCCTGTGTGAGTGGAACAAACACAGCTGGATCTTGACCTGTATTCAATAAAATTGGTGTCATTGTTAGTACTCATCAGCTGCACCAAATATTTTGATACCCATTGCAATTGAATTTGTACGCTTCTAATAAAACATTACAGGTCATATGTAAGACTGAAAAGTCAGCCGTTAAGTAACTTGCAAAATTTACAGAGGGATTTTTTTCAACTGAACTCCACGAGGGAAGGCCCAGGAAAGTGGGGTTGAACAGTAAATGAGCTTTAACTTTGAAGTAAATGGTTCTTTACTGGTGTAACCCCTCCTTCCACTTTATATGCACAGTACAACAATAATACAAGGCAGAAAATTAAAATCTGTTCAAATAATTGCCCTCAAAAATTGCAAAATGCAGTTCATTGGGAATATATTGTACTTTATTGTTGTGAACAGCCCTGAGATCTACGGATAAAGGGCAGTATACTACTACTACTACTACTAATAGAAAGAAGATAAGCATAATAGCAGTAATCAACATGGATTTAAAGGAGCCAAGAATGTAGGAGAACTGGAGGGACAACTAGGCCAAAGATCTCGAACTTCCATCAGCCTGGGCAAAAGGGCACATGATTCAGGCATTGGGAATAGTTCCCTCAGCTTCAGTCTGGAGAATGCTCCTTGTACATCTCTACCAAGTATAGGCAGCAAGTTGGCCTCTCAAGTCAGATGTGCTCCTTTCAGCTGCTCCACCTGCCCTTGCTCCTACCTGATGAGGAGGCTGTCTCAGCTGCTGTTTGCTTCAGGTTCCAGGTTTATCCATTTTTTTTAAAGAGAGCTTCTCGTCCATAAATTGCTGATAAACCTGGGAGTGTGTTGTATATGTAATGCTTCCTAGGGAAAAAGTAAGGCTGAATGAGTTTCCCTTGACTTACCTGAAATGCCTCCATTTTACAATTCCCTGGGGAATAAAGTACTGTCTCCCTAAGGAAGTGTGGGATCTGGTTTTATGAGTAGTGCTTTAGAAAATACAGCAGTGGAATTTTTTACGCCACTTAAGTATATCAGAATAATATACAGAACAAATTCTAGCATTGTAGACTTAGCTTAATGCTTGTATTAAAAAATTCTAGTGACTGATAATGCAAAAACAAAATTCTTAGGCCACTTTCCAGAAAGTAATTGGTGTGAGCAAGGTCACTGTTTCTTGCAGCCTTTGTTGTTTTTCTGAGCAGCAACTCCTGTTCCCGAAACAACAAGCTACTGTAAGGTTTAAAATACTACTTCGGGCCATAGTTTTGGAGTTGTTTCTTCATGACATAAAAGTGTTCCTTCAAACTCGGAGAGCAGGCCTGTTTAGGTGATCAGTAAGGCTGCCGTGGTTTCCTTCTAAAGAACAGTAGCAGGCTGGGATCCAGTGAGCCTCTTTCAGAAAGCCTAGGGACTTGCATGGTCCCAGTGTCATGATGTGGGGTGGACTGTGGTCAAAGAAACACAAGTCCCAAGTCCCCTTCTGCGTACTTGTGAGACTTTGCAATAGTTCATCTCCTGCTTTTCAGCCAAAGGACTCTCAAGAGTGGCTGACAAAGATTTAAAAGTGATAAAAACAACAGTAAAATGAACAGAGCAGCCAAAGCATATCGGTCCCAGACCAGCTTAAAAAAGCAGCTGCAAAATCATAAAAGAGGGTGTCTGATTTCATGACGTTGGCTGCATTCACATTACATGCTAAACTACACCTTGGCTTGGCAAGACCATGCAAAGCCAATTTCTGTTTTTTATGTATCATCTGAACTGGGACTTGAGGTTAAGCTCAGTAGCTCCAAGCTGCAGACTTCTTGGAAAGTGCATGGAGTTTTGTGTCGACGAAACACGATGGCCCTTGTGGTCTCTACCCAACTCTATGATTCTATGAAATTAGGGGGCTGGCTCTGTGCCAGTAGCAGCATGGGAAAGGCGGCATTCCTTGCCTGGCTTCTCAAAGATGTGCATTACTGCCAGTTACCAAAACAGTTGGTAAGGCAGTGGGGAAGTGTGCTGGCACAGCAGCAAGGGCGCAGGATTGGGTCCACCATTTTGCTTGCACTGTGCTCCCTACTCCCTCGCCCTTCTCTGTCTTGGTGACCAAAAGTGGCGTGCGCTTTTGGAAAGACAGAGAAGCTGTGCCACTGGTCACTACTGGGCTGTGCCCAACATAAAAGGTAAGGTACGGGTAGCTGCCAGGAGGGGTGGACTTTTCTTTTTCTACCACTCACTAGCAAACTAGTGAAAAAAGTGCAGGCCAGTGTCTATTGCGAGGTTCTTTGCAGGGTATTTTCTGTTTAAATTTGCAAGCAAACATTTTCCTCTACTGGGAAGTCAGCTGAGAATATAGAAGCCGTTGTCTTGTTTTTGGGTGGCCCAGTTTTGTTTTGAGGCTGATGGGCACACAACCACCCGCGTTTGGCTTTATTTGTTTACTTAGTTCACTGCTTACTGTTTTTTAGCTAGTACAGTGGAGGGGCCTGCTTGATCTCAATAGGCAGGGAGTTCCAAAGTTCAGGTGCTGCCACACTAAATGCTTGAGTTCATACCCAGAGGTTTATTTATAAGAACACATTGAGTTCTTACCAATTGTCTCCCGAGAGTTGGATGCCGACCATTGATCATAGTAAGTTTTTAAAAATGTCCATGGCATAACAGTAGAACCCAAGTTGTGTCCCCTTAATGAGGGAATTTTGTTGTATCCTTGTTCATTGTGCACACGGAACAAAACTCCTGAAATACGGAGAGAATTATATGTCCCGATACTATAAATCTGTGGTCATGGCAGTGTATCTAAGGTACAGGTACAAATAAGTGATCTAATACGATGTTTTTTTTTCTTTACAGGAACGTCAGAATCGAAATAAACAATAAGAATAAACATATATATGGTTTGCTATAAATATATATATAAATATATATATATATACTAGAACTGATATTAAATTTGATTATGAAAAATTGAATCTTTTTAAAAATTTGCTCTGATGCTGTATTCTGGCATCAGGAGACTGTAAAACTTTCAGCTCCAATATCTTTTTGTGCAGGGGAAATTAAATTGTTGCATCTTTTAAGTACATTGTAGTGTGTGTTTGGTTTTTGGTTTTGGTTTTGTTTTTGTTTTTTTTGCCCTAGTGAATATGCATTAATTTGTACCTTTTCTATGTAAAATGCTGTAGAATCCACAAATAAAGGTGTTTTGCTGGGGTTTTTTTAATGGTTAAAGAAGTTCATCTATAATTGAAGTTTCTGATAAATATTAGTATTTCCCAAAGACTTTTTACCTTCAACACAAATTATGTTTCTAATCTGAAAATTCACTATAATTTTATATTTATGTACTGCAGATCCTCTTATTTCAACAGTCTCCAAAATTGTCTTGCTCCTTCATGGCAAGCATACAAAAAAAACCTTGTGTGTGTTTTACTTTTTTGTCATTTATTTGGCGAAATAACATCCAAGTCAAAAGCATTGACAACGCAGCAAGTTCAGATCTCTTTGTATAGTTCACTTTTTATCTGTTTTGTTGATTGGTTTTTTTAAGAAAAAAAAATCCTGAAAGCACTTTTCTGTCTTGTAGAAAATGAAAAGGGAACAATTCACAAGTATCACATCTTGCATGGGCTGCATAGATGAAAATTGTACAAATGCAATTTTGCACTTGCATAATTTTCAGTCCTTTTCAGTGAAGTTTGCATGAGAAATGTTCCCCTTGGGTTCTTCCTCATGCAGCCTAAAAACAGCCTTTCATCCATATCTGATGAATTTTGTGTGCACCTGCTATATCATATCCTGCAACAAAAAGATGAAATTTTCTCTGCCATCTTTTTTTTCTTGTGTTGTAGTTTTTTAATGGTTTAAATGTTTTCAGCATCGCAGGGGCTTGGGGGCAATGTGGCTTTTAAAGGCTTTTTTTCAGCTTTCTAATACCCATTAAATCATTTTTAATCTGTCCCCTGTTTTTGTTCTTCACCCACCTTCTCTAAAATGTCATTTAAAATTTTATACCAATAATGGTGAGCTTTAATATAGAATCTTAGTACAGACTCATATGATGGATTATGCTTCAGATGTTTAAAACTGTGTGTATGTGTCTATTATTTTTTTTTTCCTGTTGGATGAGTAAAAACAACTGTTTTAAGAAACGGAATTTGCTGTCATGTTTTTGTGGAATGAGGAAGCTATTGAAGAAATGGCCACCAACCGGAGTTTCAAAATTAAGCATGAATTCTTGATGCTCATGCCTGTTGCTCTAGCACACCGAACCTGCACGTGTTTATTGTAGAGGATCTTTTACTTATATTAGAAAGCAAATATCTTCTGAAATCTACTTACTCAAGAGGACCTCCAATTTAAATGAAAGTTTAAGCTGTATCATTTAGACTTGTATTTAGAACATATAGCTTTGTCTCTGGACTGTTGCTTCCGATGTAAGGAGTGATGGGACAGCATCAGATTTAACTTTTTTCCTCTAGGAGAATACAAGCCTTAATAAATAATACCTACTTCGCAAATGTGATGTCATCTCATTTCTTCCCCCTTAGCACTTGGAAGCTCTGGCTTGTTTGCCCTCTGCTGGTCAAACACTGCGGGGAGGGAAACATGGTGGAGCCTTGCCATAGAGATCACCTTGAGGGCTTGATAGCTGCTGACATGACCTTATTGATGGATCACAGCCCACTTTGATGGATCACAAGTGGTGCCTCCAAGGAGGAAGTGGCAATTAATGTGAGCGAGGTTGGTCTTCTTCCCGTGTTGTTGGTGCTGCTTACCTGGAGCAAGGAACAGTCTTCCTCTGTTTCATTATGCTGCCACTTGTTGAACATGAGTGAATATGTGGAAAGTGGGCTGGATCCAACTAATAATAGTGTCAACTCACTGAAATCAGTGGGTGTAAGTTTATCCTACCCACTGATTTTGATTAGTCTGCACTGAACTGAGATGACTTAGTTGGATTCAGTCCAAAAGAGTGCTACGGTCCTGGGAAAATAATCATGATGCAATGTGTTGCCTGCTTTTAAACTCTGTATGGCTTTGAGACCAAAAGAGGCCTGCAGCCACAAAGCCTGCACTTACTTAGAAAAATCATAAAGCCTACTTAAATTACATTAAATCGTTTACATCACCTCTTTCCTCCAGCGTTGCAGCTAGGGTTATTACTCGTATAGTTTGAGAGGAGCCGCCTTTAACTTATTTTAAACTTTCTATAATTTGTTGTTCCTTCTGTCTTTAATGGGGTGGGCGGGGTGTGGGTGTGTGTGTGGACTCCAGCAGAATGGGAGGAGAGAGAAGCTACAGCAATTCTTTCCCATCCCCTGTCTCCCATGACCTCCAAATCTGCTATGGAGGTTCTGCCAGTCTGTTGATTAAGTGTTTGCCCAATGAAGACTAGCTTCCAGCAGTTAATTCTTTAGTAGATGGATCCTTCAATTACTTCAATTAAGAATTGCAACTCTGATCCATAATTTTTGATCTTGGTTTCAAAACAAAAGGTTACTCATTTCTTTCCCTGCTTTTGAGTGAGCCTGGGCTCACTCTTTTGATATTTTCTTTAACTTTGGCATTTTTCCTGGTAATACAGATACAGTAAAAACCTGTCTCTGGGCTGTATGGTTTAAGGTTGCAAGTGCATGTTCATAAGACTGAATGTTCTATATAAAAATTCCACCACATAGAGAACTGGTATATCAAAAGGATTCCAGCCTTTTCTCCCTACCACCCTACTTTTGATTGTGAAGTGATTTGGGGTGAGGTATATATGGAGAGGGACGCGGGTGGCACTGTGGGTAAAACCTCAGCGCCTAGGACTTGCCGATCGCATGGTCGGCGGTTTGAATCCCCACGGCGGGGTGCGCTCCCGTTGCTCAGTCCCAGCGCCTGCCAACCTAGCAGTTCGAAAGCACCCCCGGGTACAAGTAGATAAATAGGGACCGCTTACTAGCGGGAAGGTAAACGGTGTTTCCGTGTGCGGCTCCGGCTCGCCAGAGTAGCTTCGTCACGCTGGCCACGTGACCCGGAAGTGTCTGCGGACAGCGCTGGCTCCCGGCCTATAGAGTGAGATGAGCGCACAACCCTAGAGTCTGTCAAGACTGGCCCGTACGGGCAGGGGTACCTTTACCTATATATGGAGAAGAGTTTAATCATGAGCCCCTTCCAGAGGCCTAAAGTGGTACAGTCCTTGAAATTACTGCCTCGGTTATGGCAGAACCCCTGCTTTTAACTTGTCATGTGGCAGCAAAGCATTCCACGTGCTTAAAAGGATTGCAGTTGATCCTGGTCTCCCACATCTTTTCCAAGAATCTTGAGTGCAGCAGCTGTTGCCATAAGGGCCAAACCGCTCTCTCGTGAAGTTTCAGGCGTTAATAGGGAAAAGCAGATGTGTGTGTGTGATTCAAGCTTCAAGGTACTCCATAGACCAGGGGTGCCCAAACTTTTTTCAAAGAGGGGCCAGATTTGATGAAGTGAACATGTGTGAGGGCCGACCAAGATTGTTGAGCCTTTTTTAGGATTTTACCCCCAAAGTTGTTGACTCCATTGTGAATGCTCTCTAGTCTTGAAACACAAATTTAAACATTTGGCTGAGGGGAAAGCAAGCTTTTGAACCATGGGTGGGAAACCTGTGACCGCCCAGATGTTGATGGACTACAAATCCCATCATCCTCAACCACCACAACCAATGAGTCAGGGAAGATGAGAATTGTAAAAAGGTAAAGGACCCCTGGCAGTTAAGTCCAGCCACAGACGACTGGGGTTGCGGCACTCATCTCGCTTTACAGGCTGAGGGAGCCGGCATTTGTCCACAGACAGATTTTCTCAGTCATGTGGCCAGCCATTCCCAGTGCAAACAGAACACCGAAACCGGAGCAGCGCACGGAAATGCCATTTACCTCCCCCACCCCACCCCCGGAAAAACTTGCAGTTTTGGGGTGTGCTTTTGAACTGCTAGTAGTCCATCAATATCCAGAGGGCAGCAAATTCTCCATCAAGATTCTGGTTGTTGAAAAGGTACAGGAACAATCGTTAAGTACTACAGCACACATGGCCTTCGTGCTGATCCTGCCGCTGCGATTTCTTCCTCACGCTATCTGTATCAAACCTTTCCTCTCCTTAACCTTTGAAAGTTCATTTCTAGAGCCTAGTCCTTTAAGCTTATACTAACGTCTGTTGCTGCAGCGCTACCGGTTGCCATCGCTTAAAGGAGTCAACAATAGAGCTGGAATCCGTTTCCCCTATAGTTGCAAATATTTGGTCTTCCACCGCAGCATTTGACATAAAGCTATTTTTACGGTGTCTAACTAGGGCGAACGCAGTAGTTGCGGTGAATCGCAAGAGGCGTTTTTGTTTCGTTCATTTCACCACTCAGAAGACGTGAGTTCTCCACTTGCATACAGCGGAGGTTCAGAGAGACTGGGTCAACTTAAAAGTAATGGCAAGTTTGTGTAATGGGAGATGGTCAGTTTAGGTAAAATGGCAACAATGGCATCTCCCATTTCTGAGCCCAAATGCTATGGTTGGCGCCACTGTGTGCAGGTGAAGAAGAGGTGCCCTATCTTGTCAACTAGTAAACTGCAGGATGGCACCTTTCTGGGAGCCCCCACCCAACCCACATTTGGTGGGAGCAGTGCTTCTGAATACCAGTTCCTGGAAACCATGGGAAAGGAGAGTTGCTTTTGTATTCTTGTTCATCTGCCTGGTTTTTCTCACAGGCATCTGGTTGGCATCTGGTGAGAACAGGGTGCTGGATTAGATGGGCCATTGGCCTCATCCAGCAGCCTCTTCTTGCATCCTCAACCCTGGAGTTGGCCCTGGGGCACCCCAAACGCATTGGAAACAAAACAAGATCACTCAGAACTCCCCAACCGATGAGCACTTTCTCTGCCTGCAGAAGGTCTCAGAGTCCATCCTCAACATTTCCTGGCAGGGCTGGAACGTTTGCCAATAAATGGTGTGACACTGAATAGGGCAGCAGCCTGTATTCATCTAAATAAAGGTAAAGGGACCCCTGACCATTAGGTCCAATTGCGGATGGCTCTGGGGTTGTGCCGCTCATCTCGCTTTATTGGCCGAGGGAGCCGACATACAGCTTCCGGGTCATGTGGCCAGCATGACTAAGCCGCTTCTGGCGAACCAGAGCAGCGCACGGAAACGCCATTTACCTTCCCGCCAGATAAATTTACCTATTTATCTACTTGCACTTTGATGTGCTTTCGAACTGCTAGGTTGGCAGGAGCAGGGACCAAGCAACGGAAGCTCACCCCGTCGCGGGGATTCGAACCGCTGACCTTCTGATCGGCAAGTCCTAGGCTCTGTGGTTTAACCCACAGCGCCACCCGTGTCCCATGTTCATCTAAGTACTTCCTTCAAAAAAAACCTGAAACCCTGCAGTCTGCAGAAAGTTAATGGTTTTTGTTTCTAAATCTCTCCGTTTCGTCGTTCAGCAAAAGACAGTCTTTAGTTACTAATTCCTGACCTTGCAGTGTGCAGTCAGTGAGCCACACGGGGTTTTGCCACTGTTTGCATTTGGAGATGGAAGGGTGGAAGGGGAGAGAGATGCACACAGTTTTAAGAGGACTTGTTTTATAACCTATCAGAGGGATTTTGTACCTGGAACGTTCCCATGACAACAGATTGCTGCTCCGTTTCTTTTATTTTTATTTAATGCCACAGCCGTGCCCAATTATCACGCAGTAACTGCTAAATCAATAGGGGTCAATAATGCTACATACGACTTTCAGTAATGGAGGCGTCCTCCTTGGGCGGCAAATATTTGCCTTCCCAGATCTCTCCAAGGCCTCCTACAGTTCGGATTGTTTTGTACCTGGGAGAAGAATTTTGTGCAGAGCTAGTGCAGCTCAACTTAGATACTGAAAGGGGTTTAGGTGGTGAGGTAGTTGGAAAGGTAAGAAAACTGTAGGAAGGAGGGAAACGAAAACAAGAGGAAAACGAAATCATTGCATATTTATTGGAGAAGGGTTTCAGTTCTCCCTCCCAATCAAAGAGGCAGAGCTGTGCAGAGGGTACTTCATGCTAAACTAAAAACATACCAAGGAAATACAAATTTAGCGCCAAGATATACCTGGTTTTGGAAAGAATTTTGCATATATATATTTTTTCCCTTTCTGCATACAGTGGTACCTCAGGTTACATACGCTTCAGGTTACATACGCTTCAGGTTACAGACTCCGCTAAACCAGAAATATTACCTCAGGTTAAGAACTTTGCTTCAGGGTGAGAACAGAAATCGTGCAACGGCGGCACAGCGGGAGGCCCCTTTAGCTAAAGTGGTGCTTCAGGTTAAGAACAGTTTCAGGTTAAGAACAGACCTCCAGAATGAATTAAGTACTTAACCCGAGGCACCACTGTAATTGGAATCTATTTTAAACGATTAAAATATATGGTATTCTGCCGGAGTGACAACAGACCCATCTGTAGCAACTGGGATTCTCATTCTGCAACCTGTTTGGGGTCTCAGATTTCAGCAGACAACTGCCCACAGTATATTCAGCTGACTTCCAGATT